AGAGAAATATTGAACCTCAAGCAAAGTTTTTTTACTAACAACAGAAAAAGAATTGAATCACCTACTTTTATCATTTATTGAGGGTAAGCATATTAAATAATCATTAAGGGATTATTCTAATGAAACATTAATTATAAGTAAAATAAAAATATTTGATTACTCATATTTTTAAATTATTAACCCATTAACGCCAAAGTTTTTTTTGATAAAATGATAGTTTAACACAATATAAGAAATTCCCATTAAATATAGAATGCCAACAAAAAGTTTTATTTACGTTGATATATGGCAACACACGGTGTTAATGGGTTAATATACATAATTTGTTCAATTAATATTATTTACAATATAATTTTTTTTTTTTTTTGTCCGAATTATATAATATGAGTTGAATATGTATTTCGAATGCAACTATAACTAATACAAATGTTTTTCCATAAGTTAATAATTATACTTTTTTACCAACTAAATATATTATATAATGAATAAAAAATTATTTAAAAACAAAAATAACATATTACATCAATTGTTATCAATATTATTATAGTGCTGATAACACAGAAACATCTGTAGATTGCAGTGACGTCACGAATATGTATTAGACATAATGTACAGTACGTTTCACGAAACTAGCGACTCCATAGTGGCGCTTCCGGTGGCAGATTTTCGTGAGAGTTTCCTAAACGTGTGACTAAAAAAGCCCGGTATTTTAAAAATATTATAATTATTGTAAATATTAATGTTAAAATATCAAAAGAAAATGTATATTTTAGTATATTATAATAAATAATATAATGTATAATAAAATATATTATACAATAAATAAAATAATTATTTTTATTCATATTTTTTAAAAACGGTGCAGTATTCAAAATTGCCGCGTATTGTGTGCAAGTTTAAGAAACCGCAGAATACCGAAATTCCACCACCGGAAGCGCTATTGTGGAGTCGCTTGTTTCGTGAAACAAATTTGTTTTGTAGTAACACAGATTACATAATCTAGGGTAGTAGCATTGATTATAGAATAAACAGATGGTGCAGAGATATTTGACGAATAAAATTATAGTTATGGGTTATTTGTGTATATAAATAAACACTATACTCTGCGCCACGGGAGAAGTAACCCGTTTCGCGAATGCAAACTGTCGGCAGAGAGCGTTACTAGACTCCGTTTCCCCCACTTTGTCCCCTACAGTTCGTGATGTGGCGTGCGTATAGCGTAAAATAAGTGTTATACTGAGTGTTTGTATTATGTCATTTATAATATCGTATATCACGTGCAGAACAAATCATTAAACTGTCAATGGAGTGAAAGTAATCGCGCGGTTCATAGAAGAAGTGTCTGACGCATTGACACACTGTATCAAGTGTATGTAATAACTAATGATAGACACAATACATCGTTCCAACCGTCAACCATTGTGATCGTGCAACGACGTTATGTCAAATAAGTGGGAGATGCGTGAATTCGAACGCAATTTGGTCAGGACACGGATTAATTCTCTCGTGGAACGGAGTGTATGTATAATTTTATATTTTTATTTTTATTATGGTTCTTGTAGCGTGTATATGCTGGCAGAGTGGCAGCCATTTTCAGGTACAATGCCAGAAAAAAGAATAATTAGTTATGAAAATATTCTTATTATTATTATTTAAATGTGGTTTAATATTTTAAATTTTGAAATTTTAGCTAATTTTGATGTGGTTGAAAACATTTTGTTTTATTACATATTTTACATATTAAAAGTCGTTCAGGTATATATATTGTATGATCTATACAGTTTTTCATCGATTTATATAGCCATTTTGTAACTTTTTTATTATTTTTACACGCTCAGTTAATTGAAAATTATTTTTTAATTTAAATAGTTTTCATATTTGTTTTTAAAAATGTATTTATAACATTGTTAAAATTACTAGAGAGCGCTTTAAGTCCACTACCGTTATCAATTGAAGTATAATTTTTATTAAGTGAAAGTAATTGCTTTTTATCGTTTAAATTTGTATTATCTATGAAGTTGACAATAGTTACAATTAAATTTCTTAATACATGCATAGCTCAAATTGATTACAAAATATGCAACAGAACAGTCTTCTAAAGTAACATCATTATTAAGTAGGAATTAGATGGGAATTGAATGTGTATCTGTAAGCAATAGTTTATCGTTGTTTACAAAAAAACGATTCAGTGTGGAGTTCAGTTGATAGTGATGCTTTATCAACAATAAATATGTCATTTTATAGTAAAATAATTAAATAGGCTTTATATATTTTCTTTAATAAAATTTGTTTAATATTGTACCGATTTTCCCAATTTTTCTATGTTTTTCCGCGTATAATGGTAATTGTATATTAATTGTTATTTAATTTGTGTTTCTTCTATGGTGTTTACTGTTCTACTATAGTCTTAATCTTAGTTAACCTTGATCATTATCATTTCACCCTCGGTAATATTATTTGTATTTTGACCTATACCTAATTAATAATCATTTTGAATGCATAATGTCCACTGTTCTTTAAATATGATATAAACTTAGGATATTTCTTAGCCAAGATATTTTAAGTGCAGTGTCAAATTTACATTAACAAGTATGGTACATAATCTTATAAAGTGATTAAGTTGTAGGTTAGGTATGACATCAAAACACGTTTTGTTATCGCCAATTTATTAAATATATATTTACATTAAATAAAGAATATTAATTATTAATTTATAATATTTTGATAGTTATATAGTCATCATGTCAATAATGTAATTCAAAAAATCAATTTAAAAGTCACAACACTCACATGCATAAACAAAAATCATTTTTGTCATAGATGTTAAAATATAACTGTGCCATTATTTGGCAATGTGTGTAGGTCCTATTGTTTTATTTGTCTTTACACAATATGATAATGAATGTGGAGATTTTGATGACAATGGTTTTGGGTCGAATGGTATGCATTTCATTTGAGGTAAATGGGTTGATTATACATTTTGTGTATACTCATGTTCTGATACTTGTTTCCATTTACGATTTCTACCAGCGACTAGATTTTTTCTCTCTGTTCACCTGCATATATTATGTAATAACTATTACCTTTTTTATTTATTAATTGAGATTTAAATGTTAGCAATTCCTTTGACAGTGTTTTTTCTTCTTCAAATAATTTAAGAAACTTGGTTTCAATATCATTGGAAAGTATTTTATGCTTGAGAACTTCAGCTCTTAAAATTTGATGATTATGAATATGTTTTAAGTGAACCTTAGCCTTTATATTCAAATTATTAAATGAAACATCTTCACTGCTTAATGAAATAAATGCATATTGTGTTTGCTAAAAATTAGTTAATTTAGCTTACAAGGTAGGACTTTCTGACTGTAATTGTTCATCTTTGACTATCTGTATTTCTAATGCAATTTTACAATTGAAATGTTTTTGACTTGAATTTAAGTTAACTTTTGGTTTTGTATTGTGGTGACAATGATATTGTTTCCATTAAAAGTTATATTGTACAATTTATAATTTATAGTAATTTAATTCTATCTATGAATCAATTGTTCATTAAATATAAATTACCTTTAAAATAATATCAGAAGAATTTGGTTTTCGCACATTTGTAGTCTGTATGTAATGTTATTTTCATCTCACAATACCATTATAAAAGGAACAACAAATTGTTAACTCCAAATTTATGTATAAAAAGTTTTACTATGAAAGTTTTTTCTCCTAAACTCAAGTATTTTATTATTGAATATTTATAGCCAGTGAGAATTTGACTCTGAATCACATTTAAATTGTTTAATTTTTTGTTATTATATTAAGTATAATATTACTTAAAAAACGTATTTACTATTTCATATTACCTGTAAATCAACTTGCATGGGTTGACTATTTATTATTTTTGAATTTTCTAATTCTAATGAACCTGGACTTAAATTATCTTGTAGTGTCTATGGATCAGTTTATAAAAATATATTGTTAAAAGGGGATTAATAAAGGATTATTATTAAATATATTTACAAGCTATTTTTAACATGTATTGGATATCTGAAACTTCTTCCAAATGCAACTTCTTATGTCTAATCATATTTTTTCTTTATATAAATGCCTTCTCACATTTGAAACATTTAATTGTTTTCTTTTGGGGTCAATTTTTGAATAAATGTTTTTTTAATATACAGTTGTGTTTGAACTTTACTCCACATTCATCACAATTAAAGTTTTGTAAAGATATAACATTTAATTCTTTAATACCTGGGATTTTGGTGCTTATATAATATATTTGTACACATTTATATTAAGAACCATTTAATCAATTCAAATAAATATTCACAATCTGTGTAGTAAACATTAATAACAACAAAATATCAGGATAGTAAAAATAAATAATCAAATACATATACTATTACAAAAATGTATTAAGTATTAATACTTTTAATGTTCAAATAAAAGTTTCGGTAACATCAATCATAGACAATAATATACAAACTGCAAAGTACTAAGTTTCATCCAAATATTCTAAAATTCGAATACATTATTTAATTATTTATTATCACAGTTATAATATTTTAGGAAGGAACGGTTACAAAATAGATACATTTTATTATAGGTTGGTGTACATGAATATGTCATACAGCTCATACATCAATTTCAAATTTGTTTTGTGTACGTTGGCTACATTGAAATATTGTGACTGGCCTCTTATCATTTTTCTGAAAACTCAAACTGAAAAAAAAATAAAAAAAAAAAAAACAAAAACAAAATCCAAACTGCAAAAATGAAATGAAATATATTATAGATCCAATGACATGTTTCGAGAAATATATTTCTAAACACAATTTACAGTTTATCAGGAATATCCTGGAATTTTTCAAATTTCATTATACTCCGCGCCATGAGAGACCACACCCAGCCGGTGACCGAAACGTATATATTTTCGCGCATGCGGGCATGCCCCACCATAAAACCTAACTATAAAATCAATGTTTACTGTTTAGTAATGCACTCCGGAGGTGCGGTCTCTCGTGTGCGGAATATAGACTATTGATGGTTATTAAGATAATAACAATACCGGCTGGAATATAAATTAACTTATGGACTATGTAATATATTTTTAAACCTTGTTTATAGTTTATCAGCTTTAAGAAAAATAATTATCCATTATTAATGTTACTATTATTTTGCCATTTATTTTTCTGTCGACTGTCACCACTCACTCGTACCTGGTCCATGTGTTTTCTGAATAAAGTAAGTATTTAATCAAAACAAATTATAGGTACTTTAAGGTATTAGTTATAAGGTATTTTTTTCAATAATCGACCAAGTGCCAGTTGATTTAGAGTTATTCCCATTATAACCTCATCAGCGGCCCGGCACGTAGCTCTTACGTCATTTTGTTTAGCCTTGTAGACACTACTTAGTTAGTGGCACTTTGCGCTCTTTATAGGTGGGCGATAGTATATATCTTAGTTTTTCAGGTCTAAGCACGACCAAAGATAACACATAAAGATTTATATTAGGTTAGGTTATTGATTTCAAGTCTTCATATTATATAATTTAATATTAAAGCGGTATTGCATTAGGGTGTTACTCGGCCGAGTTACAAAAGCGGGCCATTAAATTGTTTTAACTTGAATCATGTAGACATTAGATTTAGTAAACATTTTAGTCGAGTAAATAAAAATTAATTCTATTTATTTGACCGATTAACTGTACTCACCTTTTAGTGGCTTAGTGTAGACCACAATATAAAATAGTATGGTTGCCCAACGACCTATAATAAAATCGTTTTAAACTGGCACACAAATTACCAGAATAAACAGAATACATGGAAAATTTACCACTAGCGTTTGCGACATGATGTGGCTGATATGGAAGCAAAAAGTTTAAGACTATTTTTACCCACACTTTACTAGTATTAAATATTTTCCCAATATTATCCATGACTTAAGATAGTATAACAATTATTTATAAAGTTTTGATGTATGTTAAATTAATATTATAATTATGTAATTGTTCTTAAAATTAAAATGCCGTGTTGTTTACTAAATTGTATTTCACATTATGAACATTTAAAGATTAGTACTTTCAAACCCCATTGAATATTGCCTTATGTTTTAAGTGGGAAAATTTTTTGGGCATATCTTTAATTAATAATTCTTGTGTTTGTCGTAACCATTTTAAAACGCATGATAAAATAGACACATGGGTATTTAGAAATGAAATAAATATACATGGTTAGTACATTTAATTATGGTTACATAATTTATTTTTATTTATTTATTATTAATATACGGAGCAAAACTTTATTTATTATATGTTAACAAATATGACAGTCATAGAAAACATTTTGATAAATTTAAATATGGGTAAAAATGTATGTGTGTTAATGTATAAAGTGTTTTAAAATAAGTAAACTATGTATAAAATAAAACAAGGTACAGAAATTACAACAAATAGCAATAAGTTTACAATACACACAATCAGTACTTTATAATACAATTAAGCATGTTTTCAATATCATTTATGTTACAAGAAAATAGATCTAAATATGTGGAATTACTAATTGACATGAATATATTTGTAGGTAAATTTAATAAATAATTGGTACTTTGTTTAAAGATAGCTAAGTTAGTAACAGTAAATCAGCCAGATCGAAAACCATGTTATTCATTAAAAAGAATATTTTTGGTATAATTGATATCTTAGATACTGGTTGACAGTTTGTTACAGATTATTGATCACCTTTTTTAAATATTGGTGAAATAAAATCTGTTTTCGAAAAAGTAGGGAAGACACCGGTAGTTAAAGATTGGTTGAATAGTAAGTGTAAAAGATATGATAAGATAAAGCGACATTCAAATAGAAATTTTGGAGAAAGATTATCTGGACTAGCATATAATTTTAAATTAATATTGTAAGTTCATTGAATATATCCATGAGAGATAAGTCTATATTACAGATAAAATTGAATGTATTATTATAAATATCATTTAAATTTGGTTGAGATAATGGCTGAGTGTAGATGCTAGAAAAGTATTTTTCAAAGATATTTACTATATATTGTCCTTCTTGGGCTTCTTTATTTTGTTACCTCATTATGTTTGGAATATTATTATTAAATATTTTATCATTATAAAATTTCCAGAAGTATTTTGGATTGTAATTTATTGAATTTTGAATATTAATTAAGTATTTAAGTATTATTATCATTTTTTCTTAAAATTTTATATTGATTTCTTAAAGATGATAATTTAATAAATAAATTGTGATTGAGAATTAGTCCGATTAAAGTTGGGGCTTTTTTTTTCTTAAAACTTTTAGTTCATCACTAAACCATTTGGGGAATAAAAAAAATTTGTTTTCGTAAGTAGGGACATAATTAATATAACATATTTATGAACAATTAAAACTATAGGTAAACAATAATTTAAATATATTTAAAGGTATGTCTAAAAATACCTAGACTTAGAGGTGGAGCTATGGTGTATGCCAACATTAATGTGTCATATTATTATTTAGATTTAAGTATTATGTACATTTATATATTAACTTTTTATTAAATAATTTTTATTTATAACTTAATTATTTATTTTTGCATAAAAAGGTAGAACAAATTACTTTATTTCGATCTGTTATGTGTAATATGAAGTTATTAAATATATCAGTAAATTGGTTCTGATACTAATCATACTGAAATTGGTTCTAAACTTCTAAAAATTAAAGCTAGCAAGATGGTAATTTCATTTCATAAAATGGGATCATGTAAAAAAGACTTACGATTGCACGGTTGCACGATGGGTGAAACACTGTTTGTAGATGAGAAGTTGGGGAGGTAAGATATAGAGGGAAATTTAATGTATATTTATAAATAAAAATAAATCATTGCTAACGAAAAACTATTCTGAGCAGAGCTTGGTTGATAAATAAGTATTGCTTTTTCAACAATGTTTATGTAATATAATAGTAAATAAATATACATTGAAACAATTTCTATGGACCAGTAACTAAATTTGTTCAACATAATGTTTCATTAAAACGATTTTAGTCAAATTTAATATAAAAATTACTACATTAAACTAATTTTTTTTTTTTTGTTCTGACCATAAAGTACAACTTCTTATGAACTTATGTTCAATTTTCAAACATTTTTATTTAGTCAACTTTATCCACAGGGTGCCTACCAAATAAAAATGTCTTTAAAAAGTTAAAAAATAGCTTGAATGTATTACAGTTTTATCAAATCTATAAAATGCAAAAATAAGTTATAATAATGGACACTTTTAAATTCCCTGGCAAAAATGTATGTACATTATAGGAGTTATAACCTGTTGATACTCCTAATAGTGGGCGTGGACACCAAAAACTGGTATCAAAATTAAAAATTACCTCTTATAAATGGACACAATACCAGGTGATACATTTAAGTGGGTACACTCATTATCTCAGAAAGTATTAACTTTTTTCAGAATTTGTTTTCTATAACATTTAAGAAACAAGCAGCTCTACAATTTTATATTTATATTTTTTTTTTCACCCTTATTTTTGGAGGTAAAACCACTACCCACTTTTATTTTGGTTTGAAGGAGAGTAGTAGTGCATTATTACACACCGCGCGCTATCCCACCAAACAAATGATACTCCACTACTCTCCTTCCACCCAAACTTAAAAGTATAATATCTCGTCAACAGATTGACAGAAATCAAAAATGTCAATACTAATATTTATTTTAACCAATACTTCATCTATTTATGGAATTTTTAATATATGTTGTCATTTGAAAATCAAAAGTAGGTAGTGGTTTTACCCCCAAAAATAACATAAACATAAAATTGTAAACAGCTTGTTTTTTAAATGTTCTATAAAACAAATTACGAAAAAAGTTAATATTTTCTGAGATATTGAGTGTTCCTACTTAAATGAATAACCTGGTATATGTACATATTGAAAATGTTTAAGTAAGAAAAGTACTATATTTATGTTTTATACATTTTGTTCATATTTCATCTTAATGGTTTTCCTATTTGAAAAATGACAAATTGTTCAGTTATATGTTCGGTCATCAGTTGTGTGCTACAAAAATTTACACAAAAAAATATAGATTTTTTTTAATTGTACCAAAACATTTAACATATTTATATTTTTATATCCACTTTTTTATACATATTAATTATGCATATACTTATATATATATAATAAATAATAAATACAAATTAAACTTAATATTATTCATATAATAAACAATTAATATATTACAGTACAGTAAATAATAATACATTTTTATAAATTATAAAGTGCCAATTTTAATGTGTATGTATATGAATAACCAATTCTTTATAGTGGATATTTTTTAATTTCCTATAGCTGACTACTATATTGAGGTTTTACTGTATTAAATTTCTATTTTATTTTATTGTATAATTATATATACTTATACTGTATTATATATAATCGTAGTGTAGACAAAACCATCTTTAGTAAAATTACGAGTGATAACAATATTTAAAGTTATCGTATTGTCAATTTGTATTTACCACAGTTCAATGTTTCTTTTAATCAAATTTTAAATTTTAAACATTTTTTTTTCTGACCATTTCAACAATAGTTTTATTATTATAATTTTAAAATAAAAAAATTATATTTCAAAAAAAGTTTTTCTTTACTAAATAATATATTAAAATGTAATAGGTTAATATAGTTCATTTATTAACTACCTACTAATTTTTGTATACTATTAACATTATATAAAGGACCTATATTATTATGTTTTAAGGAACACGAGTAGACAATCAACTTGGCATTGACACTAAAACAACTTCACAAATTAATTTTTAAGGGGTATGATACACATACATAGGTACATCTATTTTGCGGAGAACTCAATTATATTGTGAATTAATATATTTTATTACATGACTATGAATTTGTTTATTGCTGCATTAATTAATTGTTTTCATAATTTTAAAATGTCCTTATTTATCTTTATAAATCAATTTTATTTTGCACATTTGACTGTAAATTGTAATTTCATATTAGAAAAAAAATACAAACTAGGCAAATGCTTATGACATACAGGTTAAACATTTTGAAAACTATTCTATTGCCGATCATAAATTAATGATTTTTTTAGGAAAATTTTAAATAAAATTGTTTAATTATGTTATTGTGGAATTACTCATTAGTAATGTATAAACAAAATAACCATAAATAGAATAAATTAGTTGAAATAATTACTTAAACAGTTTTTTGATGTTATGATAATTAATATAAATACAAGTTTTAAAGGTAATGTTCTATAATTAAGGTTTTATCAGTATTTATTTTAGATAAAATATTTTTAAATTTAAGATGAAAAACAAAAAATAACCTCATTTAATTAAATTGCAACCCTTTTGCGAGATGGTAAGGGGTGAGTAATCATGACCAAAATAACTATTTTATATAACAATAAAAAATTGAGGCGCTCCCAACCCCTTTAAAAAAAAAATTAAAATTAAAATTAAGGACCAAACTAATATAAGTTTAGAAAAAAAAAAAAAACAATATATTTATTTTACACATATTATCAAAGGTAATATTATTGGTTAGTATTACATAATATTAAATAGTACCATAGTACCTACACAATATTTTAACTATTTTTACAAAAATAATTATTGTAGCAAGTTATCGAAATCTGTAGTTCATCATCGAAATCGAATTTAACAAAAATAATTACTAATGTACTAAGTACAAAAAATATAAAATCAACAAATGAACTTAAAATATCAGCAATAAAACTGGCTATAGCATATTATGTACTCGTATAGCATACCGATGCTATACGATTACAAATAAATATAAATAAATACATTTTTTTATAAGTACCTAAATATTTTTTACATTAAAATATTATTTATTTTCTTTTTAAATTTAATACAAATTTGTTATTGTATCTATGCATGATATACTATTGTTAATGATAATAATAATGTACCGTTTAAATCCAAATTTCTTTTTTCCAGCTGTTCTTATTTTGACACAAAAATATTTAGATTATTTATTTTTTCTACTAGCATGTTTATTTTTATATTTTTTGTACATACACTACAATAGTAGTTATTTTTGTGAAAACATTTAAAATATTATCATTGAATATATAATATAGTCAATCGTATTGAAATAAAGTGTAGGTACCTATTAAGTATTTTATGACACTATGTGCCATAAAATGCGTTTTATGTAGAACTAATCAATAATATTACTTTTTATATTATAATATTTAAAATAAATATATTTCTTTTTTTACCACACAATTTTTTTTTCTGAACCCCGCCTAATATATGGCTACCTTACCTATTTATTTTTATTAAAAAATGTTTAACATTTTTAGTTAATACATTTAGGACCAGCTGTTTCACTATTAATCTAGTAAGTCACTAAGTTGATATCAACTACTAAGTACCAGTGGTGTTAAGCAGTGGGGAAGTATTCTGAAAACAGATTCCACATTATTGTCTGTTCAAAAGCAAAATAAAAAAATTAATAGGTACACTTCCTTTATAATGGACAACATTATTGTTTTTCTTGAAGATCAATAGTGAAAGAATGTTTCATTATTATTATTATTACTAAATTAGTGCTGAATTTGAATTGTTCAAAATGTCATAAAATAATAAATCACAAATATTTATATAACTTCATAATTTGTACATTCACTTACAGTAATTATGCATTTCAACTTGGTGAATATTTCATACATTTTCTTTTAGAAAATAAGTTGTAGTGATAATGTTTACTATTCTAGATCTTTTTTTATTAGCAGTTGGTTGAATATCCAACTTTTAACTTATAATTCCGGGTTCCATTAATTAAAGGGCAGATCATTTACATTTGTAAATATTATTTTAACCGATTAGTGATAACATGTCATTAATTTATAAAGATGGTATTTTCCATTTGATAAACTTGTTAATTGTATGAACATAGAATGATAAATATATTAGGATTGCATTTTTTATTAAATATTGTCTTCTTATTTTTAACTACAAGATAAATAAAACTTGTTAAGTATGTACTGTGTACCTACTTTTTAGAGCTTAACGAGGGATCTATTGGTTTTATTATGTGTGTGTATTTTTTTTTCTGTCTGTGAACAACTATTTTACCAGAAAACTTGCTTCAAAGTGTTGCACCTTTTTTAAAAGTAAATTTTTTCTAGTTAGCGCAATGTGAGATTATTTTTTGATTTTATGAGATTTTTGCAAAATAATCTCGAAAAACCCTAATGGAAAATATAGGTAAAACAGGTAATATATACGGAACGCCACGTCTTTTTTGTTTGCACAATGTTTTTTATCAGAAATATTGCTCCAATCCAAAAATGACAAAGAGATCGATTTTGTTCCTTATAATATTTCGCCACTGATGGAAAATCGTTTTCGATATCTAAAGTATTTATGATCATAATTGGGGGCAGGGAAGAAAGAAATGTATAATTTTTTCCAAATTACGGTACAATGATTTCATTATTTTAAATTTGTACAGCTTATGTTTTCTACCACAAATATTGTTCCAATAGATATAAATGACACGAGACATCTTTTTTGATGCATTTTTAATGCTGTTCATGAGTAAGCTATTCGTTTTTTGATTTTCTTTGTAGTGTTTTTAATAATTGAGTTAAACTGAAAAAAAAGAAATGCAATTCCGGGAAAATGTATAAAAATAATTATATTATTTTCAACTTAGTTATAATATATTCATAAAGACTTAAAATGTTGACAGAAAACTTATATTTTCTTTATCTAGACGTAGTAAAATTTTCAAAATATTTTATCCATTTCTGAGCTAATCGTAGACATTTTAATTTTGCTGGTTTTGTGCGTAATTTTTATTGGGTAGGTACTCGGTAGATAAAAGTGTTAGACTAAACAGAAATGCTTGAAAATTTAACAGGAGATTCCTTAATTTTCGCACTTTGTAGTAAAAAAAAAATGAGTTGTTTTTTTTTTTTTATATAAATTTTATAAATATCAAAATCTGACGAAAATCGTAAATACTACGGCCTTTCTCCTGTATCAGTATTTTCGTATTGGTATACGCATGTTTTGAAAAATAAGAAATGTGTACACGACATGTATCGTTCAATAAACCACACCTAAGTACTAATGGTAAAATAGCTACTAATATAGGTAGTACTGGTATAGTGATATTAGTCATTATGTAATAATGTAACACATAAATGTAACGTAGGTACTACGTACAAGACGGATAAATCAGATAAACAGAATAAGTAGGTACATTTAAGTGCACGTCGATTAAATTATTTTATCATTATAATTTGCATTGATATAGTACACAAATTGTATTATTTTATTTTTACTAGAATTTTAATGACGTAGGTATACAATTATAAAGAGAGTAGGTAGGTACTGAAATGTACTTGTGTGTTAAAGTAAATAATAATATTAGATACCCATTTATTAATTATTACTATATTTTTAATGGTTTTTCAAATTTTATTGTTATTATTATGGAAATATAAAATATAAAGCCTGTTATAAGGTTTAACAAAAAGGAAATGAGATAAAAAAAAAAAAAAACGTTCAAGAAGAAAAGGTGATATTTATTGTTTTAATACTGGATAATTATACTTGTTTTCCATTGTATAATTATGCTCGTTGTATGCTGTATAATTTACGAGAACCAAATGAAAAAAAAAAAGTTTCCAACACAATATTCATTATGGTTTTATACAGTTTTAAAGAATAATTACAACACGTTTCAAACAAATGATTTTCAGCATTCTTAAAAATAATAACATTTTCATTGAATTTCGTTTCACTCCCGTGCGTAGTGTGTGTATCGCGAGTATTCCGAATATTCCCCATTGGACGCGGATTGTTGATAGCCAAAATTATTGATGTAATTTTGCATGGCTTTTACGGGACGGGGACAGAAAGGTCGATGAGCGGGTGCGCGTGCGTGCGTGTGTGTAGGAAGGGGGCGGGGGCGTCCGCGATCAATGATACGTTCAAATGTCGTAAGTCTCGATTGATGCTAGAACGCCTGGTCGGTATAATGCGACAATAAGTTTCCTGCCGTTTGTACTTACCACCACACCAAAACACCACTGACACGAAAAGGCTCGTTAGACGGGTTTGCGTTTGCCGAACTGTCGTCATCTGTGTTTTATTGTCGGAGAGCCATAATCGAGTTCGTGCAGTCCCGAGCGAAGATTACGTACGTAGATAATTAATATTTTATTGATTCCGGCAGTCGTTTTTTTTTTTTTTTATTATTCATAACATCCGTAGTAGTAGTATAATAGGTACATAAGTTCTTAAATATCGTAACTTGATATGTTAACTTGTTCTTTTATCGCGCTGCACAGTATTATATATTACATTTAGTTGCTGCGGCTATTGATATTTTGTTGAGTTACATGGCCACGTCGGCAATACCTATTATATTTCGTGTAATGGTACCGACGGCAATGGAAGACGTTAGTTAGGTACGTAAAAACCTAACAAAAAAATGGATCTATGGTTCAATTTTTGTTTCCAAGAATACGTTTGCCGCACCATTCTTATTTCTTAACCAATATTTATTCATAGTATACGAATACTCTATCTGTAAATAAAACCATTTAATTGGATGTTCAACAGCCGTTTGTAATAAATGTTCCATCGGTTATATTGTGAATGAATACGCATTGAAACACCGTCGTCTAGGTTATTTTATCCGAGCGGTACCTACGTGTTTAAAAAGTTTCGATAAGCGAAAAGTAGGTACTTCGTATAAAATATTTGGGTTATAGGTAAAATCCGTGAAGGGCACGGTCATTGTTTCGTCGGCCAAATCGATCTATATGATATTGTGATACGTATTCGATTTCTTGATAACAGACGAACCCGTTTTTTTTCCTAACAAATTAGGAACCAATACTTGTACTGTTCTCACGTAGTAGGATAAAATAAATGGATAGAATAAAAAAAAAAAAAACAAATGAATAATAACGTGTAACACGAATCGTAATATTTATTGTACAATATTATGATAATACTACTATAGAAAGTATATCGGTTGTCGAAATTGCCAGAAAAGACCCGTGTCCGGCCATCGAGCAGCTGTAAATGTAGACATTTGAGATTTGGAGTTCCGTTCAGTTGGTAAAATTGGTAATTTGTCTGCACTGTAACGAGAAAAAAAAATTAATTCTACGAAACACCGACGGAGGACGATAGCGAACCGCGGCATCGAAGACCAAACTAAACGAACGTCACACGAAAACCAATATCGTGCCGCAGCCGTCGCGCCACAACCGGGCAACTCGGACAGCTGATTATTACGGGCAGACACAACGCCACGCGACCGGGAGTGGGGGACTATACCGTCGTTTTGTTGTATGCACGCACACACACACACACTGTCGTCTGTCCGTATACTGAGTACGCGCTACTAGACTATCATCCTCGCTCGAACGCCGCCCCATTGGTTAGTATCGAATCCGTTGTTCGGTCCTCCGGTTGTCGTTTTGGTTTACATCTGTTATTACATTTACAATCGCTTACGTACTCGTTTTCCACGGTGTTTCATTGTTCATTACCGTCTTGTTTCGTGTCGAGTAAGTGACGGTCACTTGATTGTTGTGCGCTTTCGTTCCGTCAGCTGACGTTTGCCGTTCGGGCGTCCACTGCTATGGATCTTTTTGTGTAACGCACCCGGCGTATCCGCCAGTGTAGACATCGTTAAAATAACTACTTTTAATACATAGATATTTAACGCTGTCGTTTTACCACCGTTAAAGTGGTGTTTTGTCGACACCACTCTGACAATGCGATTTTCGTTATTCTTCGTACCCGTTCTCAGCTAGCCGTCATCGTGTCACGGCGCCACCTATGCGTCCCCCACCCTTTCCCGTTGGCCATCAGCCGCCATTTTGAAATAGTTTTGTTTGGTGTTAATCAATAATCATTCACATTTCACGTTCATTTGTGTATAGACTGTGGTTGTGTGAGTTTCTATTTTGTTCTGCTCGCGTCGCTGCATTTTACGTCCGAGTCACGCGCCCACGTGTTTGTTGACAATTTTGCCACTATGGAACCGTATGAAGAAGACTCTGATGGTAATCATTTTACGTTTCTGGCTTTGCGATTAATAATCACGTGGTTTTATTTTATCGTTGTTAAATACTGTTATTTTTTGAATACCTAGACGAAGAATATAAACAGTTGCTTGAGTCTACAAGAAAAGGTTTGCCAAATTTGCGAAAGGTAATTGATGAGTGGGAATATTTAAATATTCAGAAGCAACAAGTAGAAAAGTTAGAAGCTTTGTATAATATGCTGGATTCAAAAAAGTAAGTTACTTTGTTATTTATGTCTGCGTTTAACATTTTTAAATTCTTCAAAATAAACCCTGCCCACTTTTCTTGAATTTTACGAATGATGTTTGTAGTGAAGCGAGTATAGAAATTGATGGCGTTATTACATGTGAACAATTGTACATCCATGATATTAAGTGGTATTTACGCCTTAAATTGTATTATTGTTTTTTTTGCTCCCGTGTTTTTGAATTTAGAATCATTTGATTGTTATTGGTGGGAATTATTACCAATCAGACTAGGTTGAATTTATTTTATCCCAGTCATGTATAAAATATGATTAAGTTATAAAGTATAAACGAAATTGCAGTATAATTTAATCGTTGGTCCATGAATCACAGGGTTGTTAAATGACGCCATTTAATAAATACGATTAATTATGTTTACTATATACGCAGTGTGACCAACATTCAAGTATTTTTACAATACATTTTGTCAAATGTGTACAACTTGTAATTCACGAAATTGGAAACTATTTACGAGCTTAGATTTATAAGATGCGCAACTAAAGCCTGTTATCAACAAACTATTCTTCCTGAATAGTTACATAAACGATTGGTAAATACAGCTTGATAAGGTATAATATCAGGTCGATAAACTATTACATAAATATCTTTATTGGTTAGGTAAATTATTAGTTAAATCGATAAAAAATAAAAGTTGGTTTTTGCAACAGCCAAACACTATCAAACCAATTTAGGTGTTTTTGGTTTGATAACTGTTTAGTTATTGGTCGTTTATGCAACCTGGCACTAGTGCGCTAAAAATTATATAGACAAATAACAACAACCAGAAGACAAAGGCTTCTTATATGACATATATAGATATATAGATATATTATATTAGAATATTATTGCTTTGGTTTTTACTTTTTTAATGTTTGAGTTTGTTAAAAAAAATTAAAAGTTTGGTTCGGGTTCTAATTAAATTTGAAGGTTGGACATTAAAAATCAGGGTTCGTAACATCTTTAGTATTTATTAATTCTGATGTTATTTAATTTAAATTTATAATTTATCAAAGGACCATTGAATAGTGAAAGTAGATTACACTTGCAAGTCACTATAGGTATTTAATATACCTAAATTCAAATTTACTCTAGTATTATTTTAACTCATGCATTCATTATGATATAAATAATAAATACATATATCTATTTACTTGTGATATAAATTATCTATCCCTAATCAAAAGTTGCTACTGGTAGAATTTTCTCCAGTGCTTACTTTTCATGACCCAAAATATTTTACAAAATCACATCAGCCACATTCAAGCTCCAGCTGCTGTTGGTCCAATAACAAAAGAGTTTCATATAACAACTGATAAATGCTTGTTGTGTATCCTATGTATCTTATTTCGTGCTCTACTGTAGTGTGACTGGTGGCCAATAATCGAGAATGTGAGCTTGTTGGTATGTTCTTAGAAGCCTTACTGATTATTGTGCCACAGTATATTTTAATTTCATGAAACTATATAATATTACTTAATTGATATTTCTTCAGTTTTAGAGTTGAATATAGGACATGGGGACATTTTAAGGGTGTCTTTACAATGTATAAAGATAGTATATATTAAAATGGGCACGTATAAATTCACCCAAACATATTTTGCTACTAAATTACTATTTTATTTATTCTGAAAAAAAAAAAACTGTTCATTTACAAAGCAATGTGGAAGTTTTAATTTTATGTGAGGCATAAAATATGAATAATATTAAATAATAATTTAAATGTTGTTTGCTATGCTTGTATCTACGCGGTACATTTTGGATATATTACAAGAATAATTGTGTTTACAACTAAATATATAGATTATCACTAGTAAAACCATTCAGTATTTTTATAACAAATTAAATGCTTTACTTGTTTATTCTTTCATGTTCAAATTAAAAACTAATGTTATTTTAAAAAATTGAATGACAATTATTTTATCAAATACAATTTAAACAATAATTTATTGATAACTATCATGAAGCCGAACTTGTGATCATTTATCCTAGTATATTTTAATTTGGGTTTTGTTTAATCAAATCTTGGATTAAATTTCTTTCTACATGTTTCAGAATTTGTTTGGATTTACCGTGTGATTTATGGTAAATACTTGATCATTCTCTTAATAGTTAATATTATATTTAATTATACACATAATTGAGTGGAAATAAAATTTAAAATTCTATTTTTTAATTTTTTATTGTATTAATTACTTATTATATTATTCTTTTTAATATATTTATGAAACTAAGTTTATATTAATTCATTTTTAAAATCGGTGTTTATAATTTTAAGCACGAAGAAACACTGCTTGAAGTAAAGTCATAATATATATACAGGGTGACTTTTTTTCATGAGCCAGCAATTACCTCAGGATTTTAAATGAATTTGATTTCTGTTTTTTCTTATCATTATGGAATTATTTAAACCTTATTTTAAAACCATTTTTAATTTTTTACCCTTACTTCATATACCTTAAATAAGTGCATACTTTTGATTTTGAAATAAGACCCCCAACCTCGCTTTTTGAAGACAGATTTTAATAGAGAATATTTTTCTGGAAATTTTGTTTTGCATAACATTAATATTAAATTTACCATTTAAGAATCATAAAAGTTTAAAGTTTAGACCGTATAAGTAGAGAAGGGTCATAAATAGGCAAAATCACCCTTTATATATAGTTAAATAGATCAAATAAACAAACATTTTTATTTATGAAAATTTGTTTTTATTATTAAATTCTAATAAAAATATTGAAATTTAAATAATTCACATTCAATTCTATGTAATTTTGATAGTAGAGCCTAATCTAGTTTGTTTTTATACTTCTACATATGATCAAGTATACAACATTTAAATGTAATATATTTCTGTTATTCACTTGCTTATTTATTTTTGATGCACAATACTAATTTTAGTAAAGATTTAGTTATGATTACTTTTCCACTTTTATTACAGAACTAATCACTTTTTTATTCTCTTCAGATTTGTTGTAGAATGTAACCTTTAATTCCTTTTTTGGTCCCAAAAATAATTTTTTGGTTTGTTTACCTAAATTATTGAAAGTCTATTGTGCAAATTTAGTTATGTAATGTTTAATTAAAAGAAACTGAATGTGGTTAAACTTTTCACTATATATTGTGTTTAAGGTGTTGGGTATACTCATTATCTCGGAAAGTATTAATTTTTTTGAAATATATTTTATAGAAAATATAAGAAACAAGCAACTTTACAATTTTACATTTATGTTGTTTTTGTCACTTCTATTTTTGTGGGTAAAATGTCCACCTACTTTTGATTTTCAAATGGCAACCTACTTTAAAAATTCCATAAATATATGGAGTATTATTTAAAGTAAATTGTGGTGTTGACATTTTCTGTCAACCCATTAACGATATAGTCCACCTTTAAGGCTCATTTATATGTGATGAGCATTCGACCAAGCTCTGTCCCATGTGAACTCAAGGAATCAGTACTCAGCTCAGTAATTAGAGCCATTGGAACAAGTGAATAGAAACCATTTCTGTTCTCTAGACCAAACACTGTCTTGGCCGAGAATTTGTGACATGTAAACAAGGCTTTAAGTTTTGATAATTGGGATAAATTTTTCTTTTCACAAAAAATTTTTCTGCAAAATGAAGGCATGTTAAATATATTTTTATACGAAAATGGTTCTTTTGTTCTCCTTAATTAATTCCTGTAAAGTTATAATGTGCTTTATGATATTTATGTATTTAAATAAAATTTGTTTTCTCTCCTTTAGGTTGTCAAAAACCAAATTCAGATCTTGTCAAAGTGTAATGTGCAGTTTGTACAGTAAATACCATAAACTTCTTGCGGAAAAGGTAAGTTATTTTATTTTAAAATAAATTAATTTTACCATTTAGCATTATTCATTATTTAAGTATAAATTTAATTTAGATCTGAGTTTTATGTAGTAAGCAAAATTATTTAAATTAGAGATGAACTGTTTGAAAATTTTTTTTAATCTCAATTATATACTTTATATATATATTACATAATGCTAAATATTTTTCATGCTAAAACCAAATCACATTTTTTATCAGGAGAAATTGGATGCCAAGAATCGTAATCAATTGGATGAATGTGAAAACAAAACTAAGTACATACTAAATTTGTTATACTATTCATATGATACTGAATATATATAATTAATTGTACTGCTTATATATGTATATATATATATATATATTTATTTATTTTTTTTTTGCAGGTCATCAGAAATTAATGTGACATTAAATAAAGGTGATTTAAAACTAGATAGTTCTTCTGAAATTTCTAATAATACGGTCACATCAAGTAATATTGAAAATTTGACTTGTAATAATCAATTTAAGAGTATTGATAATGAATTTAAAAGAAAGAATGCAGAAGTTATTAAAAATGATGAGTCATCTAGTAGCAAAAATTTAAACAATGATGATATTCTACCTGAATTTTCAGATAGTCGGTTGCGGCTTAATAAGCTTATTGGTTTTGCAACGAATGCTTCTATAGAGAAACTTAATATAGCTGATGAGTTTATCTCAAGTGCAGAAATTGCCAAACAAGTTTTTAATGAAATAAATAAACAAAGTAAAAACACTGTTATTTGTCAAAATATGTTGAAAGACATCAATATGGATGAAATTGATGTGAATCATGTGAAACAAGTTATAGAAAGTATTAAAAATATAAATATGGAGCCTGTTAATCCTCCACCATTACCATCCATAGATCTAAAGGATTTTGGTAAAACACAATTTGAATTAACTTCATCTGGTGAACCAAATAATGATAATGTAATTCATGAAAATTTACCATTTTCGCCACACTCTCAACCACAGCCTATTGTTAATTCAGTACTAAGTAAGTCATCAACTGTTCGTGATAAATTAAATAGTGACATAAATGTATTTCACAAAATTGGTTCATCAAGTGATCCTAAACAAAAGTTTATCACTGCATTAAAACCAGGCACATTAATTGATCTTGAAAATTCAAAAGTGTCTCGGTCTTCATTGATTATGGAATCAATAAGATCAAATGTTCCATCAAAGGAGAAAAGTTCTGATAATAAACAATTAAAACCTTATCGTGATCCAAGATTTAGAAATAATTCTTTGTTGAATACTGAAAATAATAATCCAGGCCAATCTCTTTTACAGAGCAGTGTTCATCAAATGATACCTTCAATGCCTGCCTTAATTAATAATGCACCACAATTATCTCCGAATATAAACCTTTTACCTAATCTTGGATCTCAACAAAACTCATTGTCTGTTTATAATGGGCAAACTAATAACCAAATTTCATCAAGCTTTACTGATATACAGCCATTTATTAATTTATCTCCTACAGAACTAAACAATACATCAAATCAATCTCAATTTAAAAATTGCAGACCATCAACTTTGAATCACTATAAATCAAATAATGATTTTATTTCTTCCGATGGCCAACATTCTATTCCTAATTTATTGCATATCAATCCAACTATCCAAATTGAACCTAACATGAATAATCGTGACCCAGCTTTACCAAATACATACAAATGCAACAATGATTTAGTTGTTAATAGAGATCCAAGATCAATGAAAATAAACAGAAAAATACAAGAACCTCGATATCGGAACTTTAAAGAATATAGAGAAGCAAAATATGGTAAAGTGAAATATTCTAACTACAATGATCGAAAAAGCCATAATGAAAAGTATGGTCAACGTACCTTTAATTTGGAAAATGAAAAATTCAAAAATTCAAATAAAACAATTGTCAGTGAATCAACTACTAGTTTTATTGTTAAAAATGATACAGATAAAATAAAAAACTTTAAAATACCAAAAATTAAACATAAAGAAGAATTGGGTATTCAGAACTTGAAAAATGATAAAAATGAGAAAGGCTTAGAAATTGAAACAATCAAAAATAACTTTGAAAAAGATTCTCTTACTGACACAGTTAAAGACAATTCTATGAATACAACTTCTATAACTGAAACAATTATAAATAATAATGTAGAAAAAAATTTGAAAATTAGAACAATTAAAGATGATGATAAAATAGAATCAAATACGGATAAAAGTCAAAAAATCAATTCTGAGGAGTTGGTAATAAATAATGATAATAAAGTCAAATGTGGAATAATTGACGATAATGATAAACAAGAAGTTAACGCTGATAAAAGTAAAAAAATCAATCGTAAAAAGTCAATTATAAATATAGATAATAAGGAAAAAAAACAAATTAAAAATAAACAATATATCATTAAAGAGTGTATTGATGAGCCAACTAAAGCAAAAAAACCCAAAAAGTGTTCCAAAGAAAAAGAATTTGAAAAAATTGTTAAAGAAGCAGCAAGCTTAAATTATGATACTTGTGGCCCAAGAACTAGAACAAGAAGTTCTCTAAAGAAAATCGGAGAACCTCTAAAAAAGGTTAAGCTAAACAAAAAAAGTACAATTTTGGATGTAGGAGAATGTAGTAAAAGTATTGAACATGTTGAAACTGGACAAGATGTTATATCATCTACATCAAAAGAATCATCTGAAGTTTCTCCAGTTGAAGGGGATTGTAAAAATCTTGAAGAAAATTTTGTTTCTTCTAATGTGATAAATTCAACAGCTGATATGAAAGTTAATCAACTATTTCCCAATTCTATAATTGATTTGCAAAGCCCTGGATTATTGACTTTAATTGAGATACTTCAGGATGAACAAAAAAGGTTAAAACTTCAAGAATTTTTAAATTCAACAGACCCAAAAAGTACCAATGATGATAAACCTGTAAGTGAAAATATATCACATGAAGAATTTTCTCATTTTGAACAAAAAAAAATGAAAAAAAAGATGAAAAAGAAAAAAAAACGTAAAAGGGGTAAAACTTTTGTTGATAATTCATTAAACAATGAAGAAAGTAATAATGCAGTTTTGAATAAAATTTCAGATAATAGTTCTAACAAAGAAAGTATAGTAATTGATAATTCTAATTCTGAAATTGTTGATAATTCATCAACTAGTCAAGGTAAAGTTAAATTAAGTAAACGAAAAAAATCTAAAGAAAATTATGGAAGTTTTGAAATTAAAGATAAAAACTTACCTAATACAGAATTGAAAGACTTAAAAATTGTTCTTGCAAAATATGATAAAAATAAAACTTCTACTTCAGAAATTTCAGTTCAGTTACAAACTCCAAGTGAACCTAAACATATAGAGGTGTCAAAAAAAGTTCAACGTAAAAAACCAAGTATTTATCCTCTGAGTATAAAAGTAGCACGGGAAAATGTCGCTAATAATAAACAAAATAATTTAGATGAAAATAATCAATTCAAAATCATACCTGATAATAAAATTATTTCTAAAGAAAAAGCTAACAAACAAAATTGTAAATCAAAAAACAAAAAAATTAAAACTGATACGGTTGATGAAAAAGAGGTTCTCTCTGTTTTGGCAGAACCCCAAAATAAGGATTCTGTGGAGGAAAGTTCTACACCAGTGGAATTACCACCTATACAAGGTGAAAATAGTATAATTGACCAAAGTTCAGAAAAAATTACTCCAGTTCAAACCAATATTAACAATAAAACTGATACGAAAAAGACCAGACCCAAGATGACTGAATTGGATAAACTTCATGCTGATATTAGTGAAATGTATGATTGTGATGCTTTGTTAAATGCTCCTAACATTCGACATTGTAGACAAAATAAACAAATTGATTATTGTCATAATAATACTGTAGTTTCATCCAAAAAAAATAAACCTTCAACTATTGAGCAAGTAGATGATCCAACTAATAAGTTTATTAATAATAATAAAATATCAAAAACTAAAAAACAAACAAAGAAATCAAAATTAAAAACTAAAAAAAGAGTATATACATATAAAAAGTGTACCAAAAAAACAGTAGCACATAAAACTTTTAAGTCTACATTATCAAATAAAAATGCTAAAAACCATACAAAAACAAAAGAAAAGATCAATGTTAAAGTATGCAAAAACAATGAATTAAATAAGGAGTCTGATAATAAGGAAGAAACTATTCAAGTGAATAATTTAAAAGTTTTAACACCAGAAGATTTTAAGGACAAATCATATTTTCAAACTGCTGATAATAAGTTGGAATGCAAATTATGTAATTATAATGATGTAGGACTAAAAATTGTTCGCCATTATAAAGAAGAACATTCTGAGGAAGAAATGTTACCATCCAGGTTATCTGTAGAAAGTGCTGAAATATTGATAAATGAATCTGTAAAAGAAAATTTTGGATATTTAAATATTATAGATTCAAAGCCATTAAGGGATGAAGTGCTTGTAAACACTACTTTTACATGTGTTTTTTGCCACTCTATCTTTTATGATATTACATGTTTCTATGACCATATTACTTGTCACACTGGTGAATATAGATATAATTGTAAAGTGTGCAAAGTAACTTACCCAAGTGTACTTGAGTTAGAAAAACATATATTAGAGCATTCTAATTATGATAAATCTGAAGGAATTTTCCACCTATTACATTCAAAACCAGTTGGAAGTAATACAATTTTTGGATATTTATGTCCGTTTTGTTATTATATACAACTTGACTACCAAAGAATAGTGAATCATATGACACAATGGCATTTTGATGAAGATAAAAAGTTTAATAGCTATTGGACTATCATACGAGTTAATATGTCTATTGGGGATGATGATTACACAAATTCCATAATAGATTATAGCAATTTGGTTGGATGTTTACCTCCTGTATTAAATAATAAATTTATTTTAAAATCTCCAACTCAAGAAACTAGTGTGTCAACACTTGTTGCACAAAAAAAAAAGGCAATGAAAGATGCAGAATCTTCAGGGATACCATTATGTAATGAAGATGAAGTTCATTTGCCAAAATTAAATATACAACATTCTTCTCCAGTAGATATGATTCCACGTAAGTAATTATTTTTAATACAAACTAGAGATAATTTTTATAAAATTAAATATATTATTGTTTTATTAGCTTATAATGAGGAATTAATTACCATAACTGATGAGCCTATGATTGAACATCAAGAATACACTTTAAAATTTAACTCTTTAAAATGCACAGTAGCTGGTTTAAGTTGTGAAGTCATAAATTCAATATTATTGTACAAATGTTCAGTATCAAAATGTCTAAATAATCAGTTTTCTACTGTTCTTTTAAATGAACTTTTTAAGCACATTCATCTGAATCATCAACATATTGTTTGGGATAGAAGGTGTGACATGTGTCAACAAAAATTTGAGAAGATAAATGAACAATATTTATTAAAAGATGCCTTAGAACATATCGTTTCACACCATTTGGTTTTAAGAGAAATCCAGCAACCTAATATAATATGTATGTCAAGTTAAATATGTATTATTGATAATGTTAGTTTATAAAATATTTATATTTTTAGCAAATGTTCAAGTTATGGAAAAAGGACAGAATTCTCCATCTATAGACACAGTAAAAAGTAAAGAAATGGAACCAATTAGAGTCCATAGTCCACTAAGAATTCAAAGTCCAATTAGAGTTATTAGCCCACTAAGAATTCGTAGTCCACTAAGAGTCCGTGATGACTTGTTCTCAACAGCTGGTAAGTTCAAATTGTGTTATTATATCTTTTACATAGTCATTATGATTATGTTTTTCTAAATTATATAAAATATCGGAACCTAAGTCCAATTACAACCATACATCTACACAAATAAACTAACCTAACTATAATCATTAGTTAATTGGAGTGTGATTTCTGTCTGTATAAGAATTGCAAAAAATTATTTTTTATAGATTTTATAGAAAATAAAAGAATTATAGTTAGGATATTACTATAAGACTAAAAGAAACTCATACCTTGTAGAGTGATCTGATTTGAATGATTATTTTTTAGAAAAATGCTGTTATTCATCATTTAAAAAAAAATATATTATGTTAACAATGAGACATCATGGATATTTTTCTCCAAAAAAATTTGTTTTTTATTGGTGTACCCTTAATAATTATATAAACTGAGTATTAATGAATTGTTCAATTAATTAATTTTAATAAGACATTTTTTTCCAAATCACTTGAACCAGAAGTTGTATGGACCACCTTATCATATTTTTTTATATTAGTTTTTTAAACACATTCATATTTTAAATTAAATGAATATCATTATATTTTTTAGCACAAACATTGTTGTGTAGTAACGTATGTTTGTATAGTATGATCGTATTTAGGTAGGTAGTTTTTTTTGTGGTTAAACTCTATCAGAAATTTTTTCAAAAGTATCAATTATTACTCTCAAGATAAATACCAATATTATGTTGGTACAAAAAATAATGGATGATTTAATTGAATGAAAACCCCTCCCAAAAGTCTGATCCAGCTATTGCCTTGTCGTATTATATAGACTCTATACAATATCTAATATCAATTTCTAATAATGATTCTTATAGCATTTTATTAAAAATAAAACTATATAATATAATAAATACTTTTAATTTTTTGTGTATAAAAGACCTTTAAATAAAAATTTGATATTACTTTTGTTTGATTTTAAAATATCAATTTTTAAAAAAAATTTAATATATAAAAATAAACAACTATACTTCATTGTGTAACATTTATGACTACATTATTCAATAGTAGACTATAATAATTATGATAAGCTAGATAAATATAATAGTTTAGTGTGAAAAAAACCAAAAATACTATATGTATTAAGAAGTACTTTAAAAATATATAAATTGTAGATTTCATCTCTTATTTTACGATTCATATACAACTTGCTTATTGTATCGATTGTGTGGCAAAATAATTTGAGGGGATTGGAAACAACAAGTTTCGGTCTGTCTTACACACGTGAGATATAGGAATTTAGATAGGTTTTATTTCCAATGTATCAATTGTTATTGTTATTAAAATAATAAAAATTCTGAAAGCAGATTTGAATTTGTCGTTAAGTCTACTTAAAATCGACTTCCTACTTTTTTGATTTTGATTTCTCAACAATTAAAATATTCCATTTTTCAATTACTCTTTTATCAGTATGGCTTTTTTTAGAATTTAAGGAGATAAATTTAAAAAGTGAGAAAGTCCATGTCAAGTAGACTTCATGAAAAATTCAAATCTGTTTCCAGAATTCTTATCGCTTCACTAGATCAATCGGTACGCTGGAATTAAAACGCGTTTAAATCCCTGTATATCACTTGCTACGTAAGACAAAGACAAAAACTCGTTGCTTCCAATCCCTTAACTATAATATGAAATAGCTGTAGATAGCGAAAAATCTATGGAGACTTTTTTTCCTATTACCATGAGCAACACATAGACAGTGTATAATAAGAATACAAAGTACATAATAGTTAAGAATACAATAAAGCTTATTTGGGTAGCCATAAAAGTAAAAACTAAAATTGATTGTACTGACTGAGTATTCTATGTAAGAAGTGAATTGTATTGTAAACTGTAATCGAATACGAATAACATGAATATCACAATAATTGTCCATAACCATCAATTTTATCATTTACAATTTATATAATCAAATAAATCTATCCAACTTGTTCAATAATATACGCTTATCTGCGATATTATTTCTAACGCTTATCAGTATAAATTCCTTCCCATACCTTCGTTCGCTTAGATAATATATTAATAATGAGAGCTTCCCAGCAGCAGAGGTGTTTAGCGTTGTAATACCACAGATTATTTTATGGATCAGATGGTGCACTTACCGATTTACTGATAACAGTAACTTACTTCAAAGCAGTACATCATTTAATTATTGTTTATAACAGTTTAGACCGGAGGAGTAGGGAAGGGTAATAAATTGCCCATCTTATTTATCATAGTCTTATTTTCCTTATTCGTGGTGACACTGATCTGAGGTAAGTTTTATTTGTTTACATTTTTGAGAACTATATAGGCCAAAATAAGGATTGCACTTTCTGATTTCATATAACTATGAGAATACAGTTACTCCGTGTGTTTCTCAATAACTTCGATCATCAATCAGATGAACAATCTGTTTCATCTGATTGAATGTTAAGGAACACTGATTTATATTGAAACGCAGAATGCTCGACCACATGATCTAAACAATTATTTGATAATAGATTTTAGCCTGATTATATATGAATGTATTATATTATATTGAATTAGATTATAATGAACGTATTAAAATTTAAAACTGAAGAAATACGTTATAGCTAAATGTTGATAACAACAAATAATTTTGTTGATTGACGATCCAATGCATCGAGATAATCTGATAAGTAATCATATTAATCGAATTTGGTGTTATTTATAATATTCCATGTGTTCCTAAACTCAGCGGCTGACCAATCCGCTGGAGGAAAAGTGATCAATCAGATTGCTTTATCAGTAATCTGGCATTTTGTGGATGCCGGAATAGTGTTTAATCCTTAGATCATATTAGTGTGGATAGCATGATAAACGCGTACTACGAGTTGAAGACATATTTAACAAGTGCTAAAAGGACTGATGTCTATTGCACATACGTATCAGTACTCTTCGCATATTTATCGTATAATCATTATAATATCCTACCAGGCAGTAATGGTAGGTACGTCACACTTGATTATGTGAATTCGACTAATTGCTCGTGTTATAAATTTTGCGCATGCGAAAAATTCTTGATTGCTTTATCCTTTTAATATTATTATGAAAATCATTAACATGTACTGGTAATGGTTTTTAAATTGAAAATCGAATATCACAATCTTATTTAAAAGGTTTAACCGTTAAAATATTGTTGTTGTACAATTTCCTATAATTAACTTATAAATTTTTTCTTTGCGTAAATGTTTTATTAAAAAATGTGCAATTAAAATGCTAAACTTCATATTTATTAATATATTATGCAGTAATATCGCAGAATATTAAATACTATATTAAGCTAAAATCCAAAATGTATTAAACTTGGACAAGTAATATAATGTAATAAATTCAGGAATAGGATTTTATAACATTTGCGTCAGAGACGTCTTTGGGTCAATTTCATGGGAGAGGGCAAATCATTTTTACTCTTGAATACCACCACTTAGGTCAGCAAAAACTTAAAACCTTCATGTCTACAAATATAGTAAAACAGTACAATTTAAAAGTTAAATTTATTTATTTTAAGCATCGTTTTGCAAGCTGTTTGATCAATAATATTTTCTATATTAATGTTTTTATTTCGATTAATATTTAAAAGTGATAAGTCAGTTAGTCTGCTCAAATTTTTTTTTTTACCACAAAGTATGAGTTTTTGTGAACATCGTATGAAATTCTCAAGTATTTCTGTTTGGTCTAACAATTTTATCCACACAGTACCTACAGGAGAAAAATGATGTACAAAACTTGCAAAATTACAATGAATATAAATCGCTCAAAAATTTTACCACGTTAAGAAAGGCAAATATATGTTTTCTGTCTAAATTTCAAGTCTACGAATAGTTTTAATTGAACTACAACAAACAAACAAATTGAAAATAATAAAAGCATATTATTTTTGTAATTTTTCCCGTTTTTCTTACGTTTTATTCTTGGGTTACCTGACTGTTTAGAAAATCAAAAAAATGATCTTCCTAAAGTACCATCTAGTCAATTACCATTTCAACCACAAAATGGTGTTTCACTTACATATTGATGTAAGATTTCTGGTAGAAATTTTTGTCACATTATAAATTCTATTAATAGCTTCTTCACTACACTTAGAATCTAAAATTTAAATTAATCATTTCCAATTTTGATTCTAAAAATATATTATTTTATTTTATCTTTGCAAATTGATATTTCCCACTAAGTTTTCCATAATTTTATCTCACCCTTCAGAGAATATTTATTGAAATTATAAATGAGAAGTGTTTTATTCTTGTTTCAATCAAAGTATTTCCAAGATCCAAAATCATCTTTATGGCATTTGGAACCAGTTGCATTTGTACTTTAGAATTATGGATATTTTGTATAATAAACAAGAACATCATACGGTTTATAGGGGGGGTCTATCGTCCCCCTCCCCTCTCAGGGACACGACTAACTTGTGTGAAGCCAATAAATAACAATCCAAAAACACGTATATAGTAATATCATTACTTTATTACTAAATAATATTAAGATTTTGACTATTTTTTTAAAATATTTTTAGTAATAGTAGTAAAATTTGTACTGATTTTTAATAACAAGTGAAATGATATCACATCAAAATGTACAAATTATTAGTACTATTAGACTTCTAGACTCCATATTTCGTAATATCACTGAATATTATATTATATGACAATAATAATAATTATAATTATAGTATAATATACAATTGATATCATTATATCAAAACAATAAACATTCTATTATCACGGTCATAATATATTCATGATAATAACACTGTATTGATATTGGCGGATGCCAAAAACCTCTGCTGCTGGGAAGCCCTCGTTATTGTTATGCATGTTTAAATAAACAGATATGTCAGCGAGACCAAAACTCACCATAGATCAGAGGTTCCCAACCAGGGTGCTACGAAATTATTTGAAATATTTTTTTTTTTTTTTTTTTTAAACTTCTTGAAAAATATTGCAATGTGAGTAATAAAACAGTACTAAACTATAGCAGTGGTCTTCAACCTTTTTGAACTCACGGCCCACTTTTTTAGACGTACATTATTCGCGACCCACATAAGGTATACATAAAGAAAAACGTTTGTAGAAAAACAAAAAAAATAAAATCGAAAATTACTTAATACTTTGTAGCAGTACTGTTATAACTGAATAAATAAAAATAAAAAAAAAAATTACATATACTTCTTATATATGACTAGAATAATAACGCGACTAACATTTATTCGGCTTTAAACACAGCGACAACATCGGCAATGTTAGTAGATTATGGGACTCTAACGATAATAATATAATATATTTATTTTATTGCTATCCCGGTTTACTCGTAAATTATTATATTTAATGTCATACTACGTAGAATCATACCAGTATATGAAACATACACTGTGATTTGAAATCCATTATACTATTATATTTTTGAATATAAATTATATAATATTGTTTATATATAATATATTGCAATAATTTTCAAACTGTATAACAATTATTTGTATACATTATGCAATTGTATAAACTTAATTTTTATTTTAAAAAGAAAACTTATCGCAACCCACCGGTTGAAGACCATTGCTATATAGTATACAAATTATTGTTTACAATTAATTATATAATACATATAGTTTGTACATAGTAATACTGCGATGTTCAATCTATTTTCACACTGGTTGGATTGCTATAGTTAATGTTCAATGTAATAATTTGTTTTATAAAATATAATATGTGAATATACCAGATGGTATATTCACATATTATATACCTACTACTTTTGTTTATACTAAGTCACTAAATAAAACTGAAATTACAAAATATAAATTTTAAATACACGATGTATTACTATTGCGTATTCAGTATAGAGTATAGGCCATAGGGTGTCTCTGGATTTTTAGAAAATAATGAAGGGTGCCGTGAGTCAAAAAAGGATGGGAACTTCTGGCATAGGTAATAAAAATATGGATAGGCTATCCCGCGCTTTTCGAATGTACTTAAAGTTAGACAAGACTTTTCGATGGGAACACACGCTTTTATCACTGACAAAAGTCGGAACTGCTGTGCACTATTAGTATAATTATTTTTATAACACCGTTAAAATCTAATATCGGATGCATATAAAGTACATACGAAATTTATTCATAGACAATATTCTAATACCGTGTCATAGATATTTATTTTCTAATCCCTCCATAGTTTATGCAATTAATAATTGTAAACAATGCAAAAATTTTAAATCAAAAAGTCAACAAAAAATATGTCTTGTGAATTTTCAATTAAATCATTTTTCTGGTAAAAAACGTCCGTGTTTTTATAAAATAATGAAATCGTGAAATTGTACGTTATTCTACTTTTTTCCCCACATTAGTGATTTTATATAAAAAAAATAGCGTCGAAAATCAAAAAAAATGACCTCTTTAAAATACCATCTAGATAACTTGAGCTTTTAGAAGAGATGCTACATGTAAAACTTGGAGCAAATTTATTAGCAAAAAAAAAATAAACATTTTAGTAAAACCGATAACTCCCTGGCTACGCTCGGAATCTAAAAAATAACAAAACTTTGTAGGTACATCAAGGTTTGTAACAACAGATTAATAAATCATCAATCTATCAATGTATAATGTTTTATTTAATATCAGTGGTTCGTAGGCGCTGATAATTTAAGTGCGGTTATACGGTAAAATTCCTATGTCTTAAAATTACAAACAAATGTTAACACAACATTTTTACGACTTGTTGATTAACCGTTCTTATTTTAAATGTAATCGCCAAATATAATATTCTCTGCAAGCCTTTGAATTGAAAAAATATCATGAAAAACCAATTATTCTTGTTTTATAATTGTTTGGCCAACATATTGCTAGCATACGATTTGGATTTTCGTATACGGCTTGGGGATCCCGGAAATCAAAACCGAAAATAAAAACCAAATGTTCGTTATTTTTACGGATTTTGCCTATAAATTTTTAATTATTACTGTATTTTTATTACAAATCTGTGTATAAGATTATTATATATTAGGTATTATAAGATATATTACCATTTTTTTTTTTTTGAAAAAACAAATTTTTGTTAGGTAGGATATATGCAAGTATTTTATTTATATCTGTAAAGAATGATAAACTTTTAATAGCGAAGTTCGGTGATACATATTTTGAAAGGTCGTAATATTTACGAGTTTCATCAAAATTTGATTTTAAAACTCATAAAAAAAAAAAAATACTTCATAGAGATCAATTTTTTCTTTTAGACAATATTTATAGATCTTTAATACTCACAAAATAACGGCTACACTGATTTGTATAGTATTCCAAGTTATAATGTAGTAGTAATCATACAGCCGTAAGCAATCTAGTTTATTATTTATGTTTATAGGGATTGGGAAATAAAAGCATAGATATATTAAAGAATAGATAGGTCGTGGCTATACAAACAAAATAGAGGGAAATGTAGTAGTGTCGGAAAGAGAAAGACTGTTTTCATCAATGCCTCTTATTCTGGCATAGGAATTATCACAAGTTATATTTTGCGATTATTATTGCAAGACGTAGATATTGGAGATTATACATTTTATAATAATAAATAAATTATTAAATTATATTGTTGTTATTAATTTCATTATTTGACTTATTTACTTCTAATTGGATTTTTTAATATTTATGGTTTTAACAAATAAATTATCATCTCCTTATACTGTTATTTATTTGTGTTAAGACCTCTATAATTTTTATTTTCATGTTCGTTCCCGTATGATAGCGTAGGTGGACTATCAATTTTTTAATATCAATAAATAAAATGACGATCTGGCTGATAACAAAATTCAAAGATATGATTTAAGCGACTAATACGATTTGATGGCAAATTCATGCCTCAAATTCGAAAAATAAATTTGGTTTTTATTTTAGTAGTTTTTTCGTAGTGTTTTTTTCCTGCTAGCACGACTTGGACAACGTCGCGTTTTGTTCCTTATTATATATGGTAGCCGCTTTTACAACTTACCAATTTGGCCGTCTCACGCATGATACATCAAAATTACTTTCTTATTTTATGATAACCGACTGATCAATATAATTTTTATAAATTTTAAAAATAAAATTGTAAGTTCTCTTTTCCTTTAATTTTACGCAGGGGGTTCGAAAGAAAAAAAAGAAACATACAAACATACTTCGCACGATGGGTGGGTCATTGGTGTAGGTTAGAAGTTGAGAAGGTAGATTATAAATTGAATGTATATCTGTACGCAATCATAAATCGTTGCTAATAAAAACGATTCTGAGCGGAGTTCGTTTATACATGTTTTAAAAGGCCGTAATATTTATGATTTAAATATAATACATTTCGTAAATTTTCCCGTTTTTTCCATTTATCGTGAAAACCCCGTGAAAAATAGAAAAATTACTTCTTTAAAGTCCATCCAAATCAAATTTTCTTTTAGAAGTTATTACATTTGAAAATCTGAGCATAATTTCTTGTAAAATTCGTTCTCAGAAAATAATAATAATATTGTATAACCAATACAATACATTCCTTACTCCGGTTAGAATCTAAAATGTTAAATATTATTTAGCTTTATATAAACCGCTAGAGCGGTTTACTCTGCTACAGTTTACTCCGTAATAAAATCATTTAGGAACATCGTCTGTCTTACAATTGTTATAGGAGTAGCCTAGCCCTGTACATTTCTTTATTATCTATGACTAAAGATACTCCAGGTAAAGTAATTTTCTCATCATAGTTTATTTTTCTATGAATTAACTCATAGTAACATAATTGACACTGTGTAACACCATTTTCGATTATAGATAATACATATTATCTATGGTTTAGATGCTCATTGTTTCCTTGCTGACATGCATGTTAACATGTATGTATTGTATGTATTGTACATTATGCGAATAACTGGATGAGTGAAAAATTGTGTCTTAATAGTATTAATTTGATTTACAGTAAATCTGTTCTTCATGTCTCCTGCTCCAAAATCTCCCTGGTATTATTTCTCCTAAGTTTATTAAAGAGAATATTTGATAATTCTTTATTGCGTACGTTCGCTTTGCTTACTATTTATAGAACAATTGAGTATTTGCGTGCTTGATTGTTTGTATGTTTTCTAAAATATATTGATAACGAGACAAAAATTATTTACACCTGTTAAAATATACATATTTTAATTGTAAAATTTAAATGTTCTTTTCCAGTATAAAATGTATTTGTATTATAAATAAATATAAATATTAGCAATAACAAAATATAGGGGAATTACTTTTTTAATGGTTATAATAAATTATAAAAAAATCCATACACCAAGATGCATAGGTACCATATTACACTATGTATATAATTTTAATAAATTTATATGACAACTGAAACAATTTTTTTGCTGCACCACCTATATCGTTTAATTTTATATATTATAATACGAGATTAACACCTAATTTGAAATAAATACTATACAATATACAAGATAAATATTTTTTGTCTAATCAATTGTGAGTGTGGATCGATAATGGATCTGAACGTACCAATAGAGCATAATATGATGTATCCAATAGTGAAATGCTTTTATAATTGTTACAATTCATGATATAACCTTCTGCCCACTGTTTATACATTCCACTGTGATTTTCCATTTTGTAATAACTTTATATATGTTTCTATTTCATCTATTTTAGGTTCATTTATATGTTAACTGTTAAATGTGCTGTTTACAAGTTTTTCAAGAATTTCCTCTAAACATTGTTTTAAATTTGTCAATTATTTCACTTTTTTCCATTATCAGTATGCCGTTCCAAGCTTTTCTCGGCTTATAAACATTTTCATATCATTTGTGTTCTTGTACACAATTTTTAAATTTGTTTCTATTTCCTAAACGTTCTTTCCCCATTGTCTTTTTTTTTTTTTGATATTGTTTTAGTTTCTCACTGTTTGATCACTGTTTTTTTTATCTATTACTGAATTATTTTCTTCAAATGTTTCTTCTGCTGCTTATCTATTAATTGTTTCTACATTTAGTCTTACATTTTTGCTTTAAATAATGTTTTTCAACTATTAAGAAAAATGTCTATTCATTTTTTTGAGGTTAGATTAGGTTATTTGAATTTTGAAAGTTAATAATCCTTAAAATGGTCAAAATTCTATTTAATAATTAAAAGTATCATCTTTTTTAATACACTATTTTTAATATTGTTTCTTAAAAAAATTGAAGTTTTCTATATACATTTAATTATATTTTTGGTTTTTATACAGATAAAACAAAACAACAAATGCCAGAAAATATGTTGAAAAAATTAGAGTATGCATCAAAAGATACAAGTTCTAATAATGATGAAGGTAATAATCTATTTTTCATTATATTAATCTATGCTAAAATGTATCATCAGGTTTAAATATTATGTTGGGGCTATTTAAGTTAGCTATCTTTGATCCATGTCTGATTGATTTATTTTATTTAAAATCTGAAAGCCACAACAAAAACTGTTGCTCCCTTAAAAACTATTCTAATTTATGTATTAAATTTGTATGTTTTACATGTTAAATTATAAAGTTGTATTTATTAAAGTTTTTATGACAGTTGTGTTATTACAAAAGGTGTATTCGAATAATTTTTAACATCTCTAAAATCTTGGATTTATTGTCTTTAAATATATTACGAAGTCTGCAGTTATTTTCAATATTCATTTTGTTTCCAAGCATTTTAATGTTTAGAATAAAATCTTTTACAAAATTGCTATTTTGAAAAATGATAAAATGAAAAGTTATTTTTCAATAATTAAGGGATGAAAATAAAAACTTTATTTGTTTCTACATAAGTATCCCTCTCACATAAAACCCAATTAAAAATATAAAAAATGAATATTGTTAAAACTTTTAGCATAATGATAAGATGTTGGTACTTAAATTTTATTTAGAATAACTTAGTTTTTACTTTATGTATATGATATAAATTTGAAATTATTAATATTTATTATTTATCATTTTCACAAATTTTTCCAATAAAACATTGCTTAATTTAATTAAATTAACATTGATTATTGTTTAATTAATATAGTATACAAATATAATTGTTTACTTATTAATTAATCTTTTGATTAATAATTATCTAGCTAAATAATAATATCCTCTTACTTTTACCATTTAATAAAATTTGTTTTATGTTATTTATATTTAACTATTATTCTTATATCGTGTTTCCAACATGTTAAATATTGTTTGCTTGGGTAATTTGCTTCTTATTTTTCCTTGATTTTCTTTGATAGTTATAAGCTATACCATGGACAATTAAAATAGCATTGATATTATACATTTTACATTTGTTAAAATTATAGAAGTTTTTTTTTTTTAAAAAAAATTTAGAAATAGATATAGTTGGTAATGCAGGTGAAGAAGATTTTATGGTTGAAAATCTTGAACAACAACGCCCTATTGTACCAGATATCACAATTGATATACCAGGTATTTTATAAATAACTTTAGTTTTATTATTGAATATCAAATGAAGTAATAATTAATAGAATTTAAAATGATAAATACTGTATTGAAAATACTACAATACATTTAATTTATTGTTTAACTACTTTGGCTTTGTATTTATAAATCAAAATTTAATTTATTTTTAATTATTAAGTTTTATTCATTTGAGAATTTATCAATGTATTTTTAAGATTAAATTTTCATAAGCCTAATCGATCATGAAAAAAAAAAACAGCAGAATTCTGTCACTAGAGTTTAATTTTCACCCAGCAGGTTGCCGTTACCTGCAGCGCTATATTTCATGTTAGGTTTTACCAAAAAATGGGTACAATAGTTTTTGAGATTTTCGATAACATATTTACAGACCATGGTGTTGAGGTTTGGAAGTTCAAATCTTCTAAAGGCACATCTTCAATAAAAATTATTTTTATATTTACACATTTTAACCAAGTAACTTATTTATTTTTATGACAGCTATTTAAAATACAGTATTTCCTGTGAAAACATGAAAATGTTCATGGATAATTAGACAATACATGATCAATCTTATGTGTACCTTCTTAATACCTTATTCAGCAATTATTATTTTTTAGTTGAACAAACAAATAGTATTGAAGTTTCTAATGATACAATTTCACCGGTTTCTCCAGTATCAATGTTTTGTATACAAGATGTTAGAAGTTTAAGAGAGGTATATTATATTTTAATTCAATTCAACAAAATAAAAAATAAAACAATTTTTTTTTTTTTTTTTCTTAATAAGAGTGAATTTGGTATTTTTAATGATAACATATCTGTGGTGCAAAATAAGAATCAGTATGAAGTTACAAATCCAAGGCCTGATATTTATCTTGAATCAGGCCAACATATAGTTAACAATGGAGCACCGATAAATGGTACATATTGTTTAATAGACACAATGTATCAAAAAAATTATTTAAAAAAATTCAAAAAGTTGGGAGCCAATGCAATGAAATCACGATTAATTCTTAAAGATATGACATCTATACCAAAATTATTGGGACTTTTTAAGTGTATGGACAAATCATGTACAAAAGTTTTCTCAGACAAAATGATGTTTAAATTACATATGCAATTACATTTTTCAAACATGGAAAAAAAAAAAAGTAATGAGTGTTTTATTGTCTTTAAATATGTATTTATATAATCGGTGTTCTTTATTTATGATATTTGTTTTTTAGATAATCAAATAAACAACGCTGAACAGTTCAAACATTGTGCATATTGCTTTAAAAAGTTTGATGATGTAGAATCCTTGGCTAATCATATTTCTGAAAAATATTCTTTCTGTAAATTTTTTTGTCCATATTGTTTTTATCGTGCATATACACCTAATCATGTAATGGTTCATCAGGTAAATATTATTTCCACCTACTATTTTGATTATATATTATGTATTAAAAGTGTATTCTTATTATTTTAATTCTGATTTAGACTTTAATGCATACTACAAATAAACTAAAAATAATACAACTGGAGTACGATGAAATTGTTAATGATAATTCAAAAGAAATACTAATGGCAGTTGACTATAACGATTTTGTTTTGCCATATAAGTGCAATGTTGGTAAGTTAATCTCAATTTATATTCTAAGAGAACAAGGGCTGTATTTATTTTTCTATTATTGGTTGTTTTCAAGAGAACATATTTTCAAAATATTATTTGGCTCCTTTTTGTGTTTTTTTTTTTTTTAAAAAAAAAGTTTTTTGATTTTTGTTAAAATAATAGTTAGGCTATAGGTTCTGTAGTATTAATACATTTTATCAAACACGTACAAAGAAGAATCATGGAATATTCTATGATCTATTTCTTTATCGTTATTACGTAATAATGTAATTTAATTTTGTTACTGTGATATTAGTCTGCTTTAACTACCAATACTATTTAGTTTTCACTAAACTATATTAATCTAATGCTACCTTCATACTTTCGCAAGCACACCTTTAGTTTGCACGAGGCGGTGAGATGAGATATCACGAGTGCTTACCATCTATACTCTCCCAGGGTTAGACTAAATCTTGCTCAGTCATTTATTGTTAGAAGTGTGAATGACTTGCGTATTATTCAGGGGGAAATAAGGTTATTAATATGGATTTGGTTGAGGTGACTGCTACAGCTGTGTGTGCATAAAGTTATTATAATTTACTACATGTATCTTACACAAAAAAAATTGAACAACCTAGGAAGTAAAGATGCCATAAGATTTCTTTCACCTGATAAATCTCCTCACAATTAACTAAAATTGTATTCGTTCAGTCAATCATTTTATTTGTGAATTTTAATTTGATTGGGTACAACTTACATTAGTCAGGGCGAGAATGTAGTTTTTTATGCTTCGCCTCTTAACTAAAAAACGACACTGAATGGAGTGGATGAAACAAGACGAGTAAGTTGACTACACTTTCGTGCTTGTGTTACCTCAAAAAAAGTGTGGAAGGTTAAATTAAAAACAAAATAGAAAAGAACAAACTGATACATTACCAAGTATTTTTTGAACAGTATTTTTTCAAAATCAATCACTAATGTATTTGGTAGCAATACAAAAATGTGTGGAAAATCATTGCTAAATTAAATTTTACACAATGTTTTACATTTTTTAAAATATTGTAACTTAAAAAAAAAACCAATACAATTTCAAAAGAAATATATTTTTTTTTTTTTTGAACTGTAGCCACAATTTACTTCCTATTGTTATCAAAGAAATGGTTTAATTCAGTGGTCTTCAACCTTTTTGGGACTCACGGCCCATTTTTTTAGGCATACATTTTGTGACCCACATAAGGCACCTAAAGAGCAAAACTATGTTTGTAGAAAAACAAAAACAAAAAAATCTAAAATTACTTAATACTTTTTAGTAATACTATTATAATTGAATAATTAAAAACTACATTGTTGACGAAATAAATGAAAAAAAAACTTTTTAATGGACACGTAAATGTTATTAGAATAATAACGCGACTAATATTCATAATACTTTGTCTTTAAACATTAAACATAGCAACAATATCGATAAATAACGTTTGTAAATTGTGGGACTCTTTAGTGATAATATAATATATTCATTTTATTATTAGCCTGGTTTACTTTTAAATTATTGTTAAATGTCTGATGTCATACTACGTAGTATCATACTGGTACATGAAACGTTTACTGTGATTTTATATCCATTATAATATTGTATTATTGAATATAACTTGTATAATATTGTTGATAAATAATATATTACAATTATTTTTATACCCTATATAATTATATAAACTTAATTTTTATTTTGAAAAGAAAACTTATCATGACCTAAAAGTCAGTCGCTACACACCAATTGAAGACTACTGGTTTAATGAATGATACTGTTGCATGATAATATTAGGCGTGTTGTGTAAATAGCCAAAATAATATTTAGCCATGGCCAATCAACAGTAGGTTTGTTGATGGATGGGCATATAGGTTATTATTTTCTAGTAGTTAGAACCATAGCTGCTTGGTTGTTTGAGCAAATCAATATTAGTCCCTTACTGCATATTGTTCCTTAGGTGTCACAAACCGGTTTTTTGTTATTAGTTTGTTTGATATTAAAGATATTCCAAAACTGCATGTATGACCAGATTTGGCACAAACAGATCTATAAAAACGATACTAGGTGCTGTTTCTAGGATTAAAATTGTTAAAGTTATTATCAAACAACTTCTATAAGAAATCAATGTTACATTATCACCTGTGTTGTTGACTTCAAACAATAATAACTTATCATGTGTTTGTATAATTTACGTTTAAAAAAATACTACTCGATTTGAAATTGTATGGTGAATCGAATGAAGAAAAAGTCTTTAAGTTTATTTAATATTTTTACTTTTCATTAACTTTATTTTAGATTCTGAGTGGAGTAAAGAAGCTTATGGTATTACAAAGATTAACAACTTTTTTACCAGAAGACTTGGTTGGATTTCTAAGTGTAGCACCTTTTCTGAAAAGAAATCTGGGTAGGGAAGTACTTTAGGGAGATCTTTTTTCGATTTTCTCAAGAGTTTTCCAAGCTAATGTGAAAAACCAGGATAAAACATAGGAAAACTGGGAAAATCGGTACAACATTGAACAAATATTATTAAAGAAAATATATAAAGAGCCTATTTAATTATTTTACTATAAAATGACATATACATTGTTAATAAATCATCACTATCAACTGAACTCCACTCAGAATCGTTTTAGCAATGGTTTATTGCTGTTTACAGGTATACATTAAATTATCTATAACAGTGGCCGCACCCACTCCCATTATTCTAAGAGGTCTTTTTTATTATTATATTTTATGTTTTCTATGTAAGTGAAATATAAGATGAAAGTAGAGGTATTTAAATTGCATTATTCATGGTGTGCCAAATATGGCACGTACTAAACTTTTAAGTTATAACTTTGTAATTTTTTACTATTTTTCCCGTAATAAGTAATAAATTTGCTATAGAAAAGATTTCTATCCCAGTAAAAAAAAATCTTGCAATAAGGAGTTAAAGATTTTAATTTAATTTGATAATTATTAAATATATTTTAACTAATTATATCCATCATTTTTGGTTTTTATGATTTTATAAAAAAAATGGATGTTTATTTATTCTGATTACTACATAATATTGTTGATATGTGTTATTAATAATTATTTTTTTTATTCTGAAAATTATTTTAGGAAGCTGTACTTTCTCTTGTTTTGTCCCTGGTGATTTCATTTATCATTTAAACAAAGAGCATCAACAATGTGATAAATTCTGTTGCTACATTTGCGCTGATGAAGATAATAGTAAAGGATTTATTGCACTCCAACCAAGTTTAATGATAAAAGTAAACAGACAATTTTTGTATTTAATTTATAAGTTATTTTATTTACAAATTAATATTATTTCACGACCATATTCTAAGGTTGTAAATCTCAAATATACTTCATTCTAAACACTGGGAAATTCATATTTTTAAATATGTTTTTCTAATGACTGCAATAAATATACATATAGGTTTTTTTTTAAACTAAATATTCTACTCTTTGATAACTTCTAAGACTTAAATAATTCTATAAATCAAACAAGGACTCACCAACTTCAAGTAAATTTTTAAATGGAATTTATGAGATAACCTACAAATTATGGCAAATGCCAGTCATAAACTCAGTTTGAACAAAACGCCTTTGTTTAAATTTGTGAAAATTGCTCTAAATATAATTAATAAATAATTTTTCTTTTGTAAAATATTTTTTTAATTAATATCTATATTTTTCAGCACTTTATACTACACAATATAAACGTATACCAATGTATTTTCTGCTTGTTTGGTTCTGAATTAAAAGATTCAATGATGATTCATTTAGCCATGGAACATTTTGAATATGAATCTATATGTTTGGAGCGTTCTATGAAGTCTGAAATTTGTGTATGAATAATTAAATTTAATATTTTTTGTTATACTCGTATTTAATTATTTATAATATAACTGTTATAGGATTCTTCAAAAATTGAAAATCTCAAAATTATAAGAATAGAAAAACCTATAAACAATGGTTTGTTAGAAATAGTGAATTTACCACCTGGAATGAGTTCTTTTCCTGAAAATCTTATTAAAAAAACTAAAAAAAGATGTTTAAAACAGTCTAATGATGTAATTTCAAAAGCCATAAAAATTGCCAGAATTCAGGATGTTACACAATCATCAAAAACAGTTTCTTTAAAAGTTCCTGAGAGTGCACAAATGATAGACAGTAGTAGTAATTCCTTAGAACCATCTAATGTCGTGGAAAATACAAAATCATCAACAATTGTTATACAAGTTCCGACTAGTACAAAAATAATAGACTGTACTAATTCCTTAGCATCAGTTCAGGACAATGAATTTATTATGCTTGATGATGATGATCAAAATGATTTACGAGAAACACTAAGAATAAATGATATTTGGACTGAAAATGTAAATACTGAAGTACAATTACCACAACATGTGGATGATGATATCATTACTATTGATGATGATGATGATGATGATGATGAATTTCCTGATACACTAACTGAAACAGTAACTAAAAAAATTTCTACCCAGCAAAAACTTACTGTGGGCAATTTGCCCGAAGAATCTATTGATGGTCTAAATAAGTCCAAACGAAAACTTTCTGTAGAAAATTTGCCTGAAGAGTCTATTGATGATGATCCAAATATATCCAAACGTAGTAACCTTCCTGTCGAACATTTAACTAAAGAGTCTAATAATGGTCCAAATAAGTTCAAACGGATTGCTCTTCCGTTAATTGAGTTGAATAAGTTATTTTTTTGTAAAAAATGTGGTAAGTTTAATATATATTGAAATTGGCTATAAATATTAATAAATAGTAAATTGAAGTTCTTTATTTAAAAAAAAATTTTTTTTTTTTTTTATGTAGATAAAACTTACTCGAAAAGTACTGATTTCCAAAAACATTTAAGTAATTGTCCAAATTGGAATTTAAATTTAAATGAGCGCAGGCAATGTTTATTTTGTCATAGATCATTTAAAACTCCGTTTCATATGACAGAACATGTGAAACTTCATGGGCCAAATCGCTTCACATGTAATTTGTGTAATTTCAATTCACCATCTTGTCGTTCTATTGGACACCATATGAGAACTAAACATGACATTCTGAATTTGAATTTTATACCTGTGAATGCTAAATTTACTGACATGGAAAAAGATGAATTTATTGTTTATGATTCTAAAGATCAGCAGTCCCCAAAAACACCAGCAGTGGGTGGTAATATTGGTTTTAAATGTGGTGAATGTAACTTAACCTCTGTCCATCAGAAATATATATTATCACACATAAAAGATGTTCATAATATTGATAAATATGAGGTATGTGTAATTAATTCTTTAAGCAATGGTGACTTTAAAGAACTATACGAAATGAAAAAAATTAATTCTTGTGAAAAACAAATTACAACCAAAAGATTACGTCATAATAATTTGTTTGATGTAAGTGAATCATTTTATTTATATAATTGATCTTTTTAAATTAAATATTATTTTGCTATATTTTTTTTTATATTTACTATTGTAATAATTTTGTGTACATTGTTTAATTATTGTATTATTCTAATTATGAATTAGCAAAATATTGACAAAAAAGATACTGCAAAACCAAAAATTATTGTTGAAGATAAAAACATCTTATCATTTTCACCCGATACTATTGACAATATCCCAATGATGCATATCTTTTCAAATCCTATTGGATGTTTACTGTGTACATATAACACAAAGGTGCGATCTAATTTAATTCTTCATTTGAATGGACATAAAAAAGGACAAGATAATACAACTAAGGAGATTGTTAATCCAGTACCTTCCATTGGAAAATCAGAACTTATGTTTGACAAAATGATAAATCTGTCTGCCAGTTCATTTGAAGCTATGAATTCTGAAAAAGTAAGAATTTGTTTTGAACAATAACTTATCTTTCAAAGTTATCTTTAGTTTTTATAACCTAATATACATACCTGTTGATATTATTTTACAGACAAAAATTGACGAGTTGAATTTAAAAATTGTTGAATTATTTCCCATAAATGACTTAAACACTGAGTTATTTCCAAAGTTAATTCCAAAAAATAAGCGCTTTCAATGTTCAGAAGGGACTTGTAACCAACAATTTTTTTTAGATGTAGATTTACTCAAGACACACATGTCAATCATTCATAAAGACTACCAATTTTATTTGTGAGTAACTTATTACTACAATTGAAACTTGATTAACCGTTACTTTCTGTTATCCGTCATTGTTAATAACAAAACGTCAATGTTATTAATTAGTAATAGTAAACTCGCTGAAGTGTGTGCATATTTTGACTATTAAGCTTATAAAAATTGTTTGGAATATCCAACATAGGCGAACACTTAATACACTCAGTAAAATATTTAAATTTATTACAAAATTTCTGTTAATCGTCATAGTCCTGGACTCGATAGTGGCGGTTACTCGAGTTTTTACTGTAGTGAATTTTAGATAGTTTTACATAAAATATATTTATTTATAGATGTCCACATTGTCCACCAAATTCAATCCAAACTAAAGAAGTTAAAATAAATAACATAGAATTACATTTAATGTACCATACTGAAAACTTGTACAAATGTCAGTATTGCGATTATATTGACTTTAATAGAAATGAAATGAGAAAACATATGAGAAATGTTCATCTATCACTAATAGTTAGTGAAAATCAATCCAATATAATTGTAATCAGACAATCAAAAATAGAAGATTATTCTATTGATAGAAATATAATCCAAGGTATATTATTTTATATTTTTTATTAACCTTAATTTATATTCTTAATTATATTTATTTATTTATTTATTTTTAGTTCAATTGTCTATAGCTCAATGGATCTGCAATTTATGTACTTCTAGTATTAAATATACTGAACGTGAAATTATATCTCACCTGTTTTTGGCTCACAACGCAACAAAAATGTATAGATGTCCTATGTGTTCATTTGAACAAAATGATGATAATGCTCAAAAATTTGAAGAACATTTTAAGGCACAACATCCTAATATAGCATACAAGAGTCAAAAAGTATGCGATAAAGTAAGTGTAATTTTATTTGTATTATACTATGGTTTTGATTTCAAATTAATTTTTGTCTTATTAAGGTTACTGATTCGGAACAGCTACCTATTCAATCTAAAAATTTGATGGGTAAAACAACAAACAATCAGGAACAGCAAGCTTTAGAAAGTATTGAGCCACTCATGCCACCTTCATGTAGAGGAATTCCTATTGAATCAATTTATACAAGTAAATCCCGAGGCGTATCAAAAAGTCCAAAATCAGCAAAAAAGTCTCCAGTACAAGCCCGTAAACAGAAATTGTTTCAAGATGATTTTAATGAGGATGATAGTTTAGGAACAATATCTACAACAGGCCAATTTGTATGTCCTAAGTGTGATTTATTTAAGACCACAGATTTAGAGAATTTCCGCGAACACTTATACAAAGAAATTAACAATAAAAGGTAAACAAAGAATTATAAATATTTTCATTTTTCAAAATATACAATTTTTATTTTTTTTAGATGGCAATGTTTGACATGTTTTTTAATATCTGATTCCCCTAAAAAAATGGCATGGCATGTAAAAAAACATGGAATCGGTGCTAAGTATAAAAAAATTGAAAATATTCCAAGATTAAAATGGGTAAATATTTTTTTAAAAAAAATGTACTGAATCTAAGCTTATATATTTTTGTTTAGGTTGAACGGGTAATTGAACATCAACATCCTTTATCTATAGAATTTAATAAACAAAACGCAGAAGAAGATGTAATATCTGTTGGGAAGACTATAGCTGTTATAAACAAATCGATCTTAAAAACAGTACGTTTTACTTTTAAAAACAGTATGTAAACAATAACATTATTTATTTTATTTCATTTTTAGAAAAAAGGTTTTCCTGGAAAGAAAGTAGCGGTTTCTCCAATCACCCCACAAATGAGTGGTGAAATAATTAATTTGGTAGATGATTCTGATGACGAATAATTTGGTAACTAAAAAAAATATTAAACAAGATATTTATCATATTTTAAATTTTAATAATGTATTAAATGTTGTCCATTTTATGTGAAATAAAAATGTTTGGGTGAAGATGTGTTATACAACTTAGTTAAAAAAAATTATTCAAAAATTAATATATAAAAGGGTGTATTCTACGAATAGTGTATATTAGGATCTAAATTTAAAAGGACTAGCTCAATCATCTGAATTACACATAATTGTATTATGTATACCATAGCTAAAGATAACATAAAAAGGAGTTAGAGGGGTTATTAGGAGAGATATGTGGGTATGTGGCGTAGATAAGGAAAATAACTAGAGAGAGATAAGTATGGAAAATTAAAGGACAAAAGGATAAACAAAGTTTATTTTTCATGTAAAATATATTTCACACAAATATTAGCATTTTTCAAAAATATATGTATTTTTTTTTTTTTCAGGTGATCAAAAACTGTCATATTAGTAAGACTGATCAAATGGCTGTTTTATTAGTCTTATAGTATGATCCATATTTTGTAAATTTATGATACTTCATATCTATAGGTTATTTTGTTTTATTATTTAAACTACCGATTTAATAATAATAGTTATTAATTATGAAGACTGTTGCATTTATCATATTATTTCTTTTTTGTGTTTTTCATTGTATGGTATTTATTAGTTTTAATTTTTTTTTTTTTAGTAAATACTTATTAAATGTTCCTTTTTAACGCGAGGCTTTGTTTATTTTTTTATAGTGCCTAGAACTTTTAGCTATTATAACTTAATACAATTTATCAAAAAATAATAATTTACTTGTCTTTTTATTTTTTTCATTATTAAAATTATATTTCTGATGTATTTGTTGTCTATAGTTTTTAATATTCAGTGTTTGTTTTTCCAGGTAGTACTATATATTTTGGCCAAATAACCTTGGGTCTGAATATGTTTTTGGGATTTCATAAGGGATACTGAAATATTTTTGATTAAAGGAATATTTCTGGTAGAATACATAGTGCATACAAATTAAAACAATGAAATCTGGTGTGCCAGATATTAGGAAATATTTACATTTCCTATTTTTTTTTTTTTTTTTATTATTTTGAAAATTCCTTGGAAAATCAAAAGAATAGTAATAGTAATAATAACCAACTAGATCTAAATTCAACAAAAAAGTAATTATAAAGAAAGCTTTTCACTACCTGCAATACATGTTAACTAACTACAAGATATACAAATAAGTCTAAAATTATAAATGATTACATTAATACATTAAAACTAGATAAATAAACAATAAAAATTATACACTAATACACTTCGCACGATAGGTGGTCCTATGAGAAGTTGGGAAGGTAAAAAATATAAAGGAAATTTAACTAAGGTATATCTATACCCAACGATAAATCATTGCTAACTAAACATGATTCTGAGCGGTGTTTACCTAGACACTGGTGAACACCATTTTAAAAGGTTGTTATATTTAAGATTTTTGTCAAAATTTGTATTTAAAAAAAATTCTACATAACACTCAATTTTTTTATTATACCACAAAGTACAACTTATCAACTAATGAATCTTCTATAGAATTTTAACATTAACGTTTTTGCTTAGTACAACAATTTTATCCACAAAGTAAATACCTATAAAATAAAAATAAGCAAAATTAAAATGTCTATAAATGGCTCAAAAATAGCCGACATGTCTTGAAAAGTATAAGTTTTCTATCAAAATTTACAGTACGAATATTTTTTACTGAACTATATTTAAAAAGACGTCCTAGCATAATGGGGTCAGGTGCACCCCCTGTTATAAGTAATTTAATGTACACCTGTAAGCAACAATAAATCATTGCTAACGAAAACACGATTCTGGGCAGAATTCAGTTGATAGTGCTGCATTATAATATGCATAATAATCAACAATATATATGTCATATTATGGTAAAATTCAAATTATTCCAATTTCAAAATTAAAATTTTTTTTTTTTCGGTTTTTTACATTTGTTAAGAAACGTTGGAAAATCGAAAAATGACCTCTCTAAAGTACCCCTCCCCACACCGATTTTCTTTCAAAGAAGGTGCTCCACGTAATAATATGAACAAGTCCCCTGGTAGAAAAGTTGTCCTCAGAAAAAAAAAATAAACATCTTTGAAAAACCATAACGCTTCGCTCCATTCAGAATCTAAAATTCCATAATAGATAGAGTATTATTTAAAATAAATTGTAGTGTTGAAATGTTTAATTTCTGTCAATCCATTGACTATGGATATTCCACTTTTAATTTTAGATTGGGGAGAGTGGTAGTGCGTTATTAATAAGCCGCGTGTCGTACTGCCACACAAATGATACTCCGCTACTCTCCTCCAACCCAAATTTAAAAGTAAAATATCTCGTCAACGACATTAAAATTATTCCATCTATTTATGGAATTTTTAATATAGGTTATCATTTGAAAATCAAAAGTAAGTAGTGGTTTTACCCCCAAAAATAAGGGTAACAAAATATAAAATTGTAGAGTAGCTCGTTTTTTAAATATTCCGGAAAAAGTTAATACTTTCCTAGATAATGTGTGTCTTATGATAGATTGATCACCTCGTATACTTTACGAATGGCTAGGTATTTTGAAAATTTTAAAAAGTTAAAAAAAAATTATTTTTCAGTAATTATGTATGAAAATACAAATTTAATTTTTTCTCTATTCGTTTGCCCCTAACAAACCTCAATTGAAAAAAAAAATGAACATTAACATTTGACACAGTTGTTAAAATAAGGATAACACTACAAGACATCATATGTATGTATACTTAAATATATAAAATAATACTTTTAATTGTAATTTAAATCTATTAAACATAATAATATGTTAGATACTTACCACTTACCAAACGTTCAAGTTACCAAACGAGAGCAAGACTAAGAGCGAGAGTGGAGACAGATTCACATTCACAGACGAAATGTCGAGGTTTAGACGTCTCGTATTATTATACATAGATAATTATTGTCGACTAGTTTACTAATACATAACTATACATAGAGTAGTATTATGTATGAAATAATATTACTCTATGGCAACACTACAGCATAATATTACAGCTTCTGTGTTAAATTTTAAATGGCAGTTATTTGTGTCCAGCGGGCGCACGACTGGGACAACCGTGGTGTAGCAGTCGGCGATAAAGATAAGGGAAATTCCGTATAAACTCGTATCGTGATAAATAATTACAAATACATCGTTACGAATTCACAGTATTAATGTGTTATACTAACAACCCTGCATCTTTTACGAATCAAAATATTATTTTACTATAGCCCTATCATTATAATTGACAGTGGTAACAGACACCAGTGCTCAATGAGAACACAGTACTGTTTTTATTCACTGTCACAATTTTAGTACACCGTGTTAATATTACACTGTTGTACCATATTACCAAATACACATACAATACAAATGATTTATAGAACACATTTACACATTATAAGCACGGTAAATGTATTCACTGTTGCATTTTCAAAACATTGCACGCTGTTTGAACTGATGCACCATCTAAGAACAGAATATTTTGTTGAAAAGTAATTATTGTAACCCATAAACAAATTTTGCATCGTATATGAGGTTTTGAACACGCTGGTACAGTAATTGCATTGTGTTATGGGCACTATGGAAAATAACCAACACAGAACCTACGAAATGTTACTCGGTTATTTGGAGTGGCAACATTTAAAGGCGTCAAATGTGCCACTCGTATAAAAATGAAAATAAATTTAAGAACATATTTTTTTGAAACGAAAAGACTAAAACTATATGAGATTATATGAGACTGATTTTAAAAACTTTTTCGAAAATCGAAAAAAATTGTACCTATTATAATCAACAAATTGCTAGAGTAGCAACAAATTTCTCCGTGTGTGTTAAAATTTGGGAATCTTAAGACAAAAATATTGAAACAACGTGTTTTATGCCTGGCTACTTTTTATAAACTTTTAAAAAATAATTAACAATATATTTTTTAATACTATGTATGCTGTCTTTTTTTAGATTCTAAGTGTAGCTAATAGAATAGATTGGTTTCACAAAGATGTTTATTATTTATTTTTTTTTTTTTTTGTAATATTGTGTACAAAATTTTACCTGAAATCTTGCTCCAATATATACACACTATATCTGAAAGTAAATATTATCCAGATGGTGCTTTTGGGAGGTCGTTTTTTGATTTTCCAACAGATTTTCATAATATCTGAGAAAGACCAGTATAAAACATAAGAAAAATGGGATATTTCGAATAAAGTACCTTTTTCAAAATTAGGCTTCTTATAAAAATTTTAGTATTTTTGTTGCGATTTTCCCAGCAAATGTGAAAAACCGGGAAAATCGATACCACATTAAACAAATGTATATAAAAAAATAAAAAATAAATTAAATAATGAATGCGTCACCTGGAGTATTGTGGTAAGTGTTATGATGAGTATTATACGACCGGTTTTGAATTAAAAATTCATCATTAGGTATATTACAGTCAAAATGTAAAACGTAACTGAATATAAATAAAAAGAGCTGATACCGGGGATGGGTGCAGCCACTGTTGTAGGTGAAAAGTTGGGAAGGTAGGATACATAAGGTTATTTCATTTATATCTGTAATCAACGATAAACCATTGCTGACGAAAGACAATTCCAAGCGCAGTTCAGTAATACATAATTTGAAATGCCGTAATTTGTTACTTAATCGCCAAAACATAACTTTAGTATCGAAATAAGTGTTGTCTTTTTTATCAACAACAGTATAATCAATAAGCTGACAGAAAATTTCCCTGATTATAAATTGCCGGCAATTATAGCTGAAATTATCAACATTTTGTCGAATATTTCATTTGCAGTATGCACTGGTGCAATTTAAACAACGCAATGCGAACATTCTGTCAATTTTCGTCACTACAAATACTTTTTACTGAATTACAACTTCGTCTTCTTTTTTTAAAAAAATGGCGTTAAAGATCAAAAAATGACCTCTCTAAAGTACAATCTAGACAACTTAAGCTTTCAGAAAAGTTGCTAGACGTAAAAATCGAAGCAAGTTTACTAGGAAAAAACGAGTCCATAGACTAGAACAAAAAAAAAATAAATAAATAAACAGCATTGTAAAATCAATAGCTCCCTCGCTACGCTCGGAATCTGAAATTAAATAAAGGAATACATAAAAAAAAATTGTACAAATTGGTGGTTTTAGAAATTATTAATTAAAATGGGTTATTATTAGATATAGATATGTTAAGAAATATAAATTATTTAGTTATTATTTAATACCTAAAATGTATTGATAATTGATATAAGATATTATTTTTAAATAGGTTTATACATTTAAAATATTATTAATCCTTTCAGTCCCAAGTGCCATTACAATGGTATTACAATAAAAATAACTATAGAAATGATAATTGTATCTGGTACCTTCGAGGGAATTGGTTTATTTTGTCGACAAATATGTATGTATAATAACAATAATTGTGGTTATATTTATAAACAAACAATATTCTAAATAAATGGAGTAAGAGAAAAAAAAAGGAAAAGATGAGCCAGAATTTTGTTTTTTTGTCATAAATATTAATTATTAATTAACCAAATGGGGGAAACCTCATATTTTTATCACACTGTTATTATTGTATTATGACGGTATTAAAATGTGTGGTTATTTTCTTATCTCAGCGAGTGGTATCCTGAGTAATATGCCATTATAATGGGAGTTGGGCGTTTAGTATAATAGGTACTATAACTCATGTTTGAGTAGTTTAAAAATTTAAAAATTTGAAATCTCTCTTAATTTGAGAATGTTTCATGAAAAGAACACATGAAATATTTTTTTTATACCATCAGATCATAATTCGAGAATGAAAGAATTAAAATATTTTTTTTTTATTTCATTGTATTTGCATATACTTATGTAATTCTTTTAAAACTGAATTAATATAAATGTAAATCATTTTATTTATTTATTTTTAGATTCCGAGTGTAGCGTCATTTTTGATTTTCGATGCCATTTTTTTTAAATAAAAGCACTTAAGTGGGAAAAAAACGTAGAACAACCTTCAATTTCATGATTTCATTATTTTATAGAATCACGGATGACGTTTTCTACAAGAAAAACTGATTTAATCGAAAAATTACAAGACACTTATTTTTGATTAACTTTCTTACGGTATCATTGCCAAAACTTTTGAGCTTTAAAGACATTTTTATTTTTCTGAGTTTTTTTATGTAATTCGGTTATAAATACACGAAGAGACTTAAAACTTGGTAGTAATATTTATATTAGATTTACTTAGACGTGGTAAAATTTCCAAAATCATCGGACGACTTTTTTTTTTTTAATAAGCGTTTTGGTTTTGAAATCAAATTTAAACGAAAATCGTAAAAAAAAATTACGGCACTTCAAATCATGTATTACTGAACTGCGCTCAGAATCGTCTTTCATCAAGCAATGGTTTATTGTTGATATAAAATGAATATAAAATGAAATTAACTTATGTATCCTATCTTCCCAACATCTTATCTACAACAGTGGCTGCTCCCATCTCTAATATCACCCCTTTTTTTTTTTTATACATACATTTTTTATTTATATATTTATTTGCCATTTTTATAATTTTGTTTTTTCATTATTATTTTATTAAATAATAATTGACAAATAGTAATAACCGCGAAAACAGACTATTACAAGTACATCAAGTTTTATAATATTAATTTATTATCATATCATACGCCACAGCTATTTTGATAATGGCATTAAGCGCGATTAATAAAGGTAATCGTGCTTAACGAAACCATGATTAGTATGGTGAAATCCAAATGTTAATAAATCATTATTAACTTTTAACCCTGATTACTTTAATCGCGATTAGTTTGATTTTGTTGAAATCGGCTACGACACAGTGCGTCATAAATATTTTATCTATAATTTTCTTTTGGGTTTTTACCAATTATTTTGAAAACCGCCCACAAAATCAAAAATATTTCTATAATATGAATAAAATATTTTTAGGAACATTTTATAGTTTTAAGTTAAAATATTTTCGATTATTGTTAAATAATAGTGCACGTTTTATCGAAATATTTTTGCATAAATAGTTCATGTTTGGAAAATATTTCAGAATAACATTCATCAAACATTTTAGTTTCATATTTCTAAAACGTTTAATTTGTATATTTTTTTGAAGACATTATACAAATATTTAGAAAACATTTTTATAAATCATATAACAGAATATTTTGTTATCATAAGAATAAAATATTTATTATTTAACCACTTCAAAATATTTATAAAATATTATCATTTCCCAAATGCAGTGGCAAGGGCAGTGGCTGTACCAGTGTGCGAAGTATGTCAGTCTTTTTTTTTTTCGTTTTAAAAAAAGAAGAAAACTGTATTGTAATGATGAAAGGGTGGCAAATTGCTTAATCCGCCATTGCTGAACAACTGTGGCCATTGTTCCGTTTAATTTTAACAGCGGCCAGAGATGGCCTCTTCACCCCCCTCCTTTACGTCTATGTCAATAGCTATACCTTAAAAATTGATTTATGATTTGAAAATCTAATATTAATTGAGTAAATTACCTCCCGAATAGCCGTCAGTCTTTATACACGCATGTGTTCAGCTGTTCCGACATTTTTTTTTCTGTTCAAAACTAAAATTTCTTAAAAACTTAAAGTATTTTAATTTTGCTAGTTTTTTACGTAGTTTTTAATTGGTAGGTACCTATTCTGTGAATAAAATTGTTAGACTAAAGAGAAACAGTTGACAATATGATAGGAGGTTTATTATAAATCGTACTAGGTGGTCTAAAATAATAAATTAAGTGTAATGTAGTATACTATTTTAAATTTTAACGAAAATTGTAAGTATTATTACTGTCTTTCAAAACGTGTATAACCGAACTTCACTCCGAATTGTTTTTCATTTGCAATGGGTTATTGTTGGTTACAGGTATAAATTAAGTAACCATGTATCTCACCTTCCTCAGTATCAGCTCTTTTTTATTGGGTGTTTTGGTTTATTTTAACTCTATAGTGCCTGCAAGGAAAACCTAAGCGATTCACGAGTACTGTATAGGTAGTGGCGTACCCAGGATTTAGCAATGTGGAAATTTAAAGGAGTCTACAACCTAACCTGACCTGCAGTAAAAAAAAAATTAATTAAGTGATTAAAATACCCAAACCCCTCCTCCTAGCTACGTCAACGAATATAAATATTTTGTTTTTTCCTTAACATTAGTAGTGGTTTCTGCCGTTTCTGGTAGCAAATTTTGTCTAGTTAGTGCATTAGTGATTAAGTGTTTTATCTGTTTGTTTTTTAACACATTTATACTTATAAAGTTAAACAAAATTATTTTTCGCCGAACTAGTTTTTAATTCTACTAATAATTCTACTGGCATGTTCAAAATTATCCAATGCACACAGATTTGTCATATTATTTTGCCGTTCCAGATAATATGCCACGCGACCTGAATTCCTTACACAATAGTAACAATAATATTATCTAATAATAACAATGATGACAATCATAATAATAAATTATAAATTATATATATATAATAAACTGTCGTCACGAGCGCGTAACAAGTTAAACGGTATCGGCGTATCATCGTCACATATTGTTATTGTTATTATTATTATATAATACCGTAGCACGCGCGTCACACTAGAATACCTCCTGACCGCGGTGACGGGCACACGCGGACGTTCAAAACAACCAATGGGTATTATTATACAGCTATTATTATAGTATCATAATAATATCATAGTAAATACCTGTATTATAATGCTGTATATAATATGGTTAAACTGTCTATTATATTACCAGCAGCGTCATGTGCGTAACAACGGCCGCGGTAAGGAACACACGCGGGACGAGATATTGTTACCTACAGATATTATCTTTCGTACGATAGGCGTCTGCAGTACTACCGGCGAAATGCCGCCGCCGCCGGGCGCCGACCCGTTACGCTGACGACGCACAGACGTCACGTAGAGACGACGACGACGCCGCGTTACCGTAACCATGGCGACGGATGCGGCGACAGCGCGCGCCAATTTGTTTCCCGGCGGCGGCCGCTACCGCGTCGGCGCGCGCCAATGTTGTCGTCGGCGGCGGTGGCGGCACGTTTCGGTCTCTTCGGCGCAAGACCGTCCCGTCGTACACCGCACTCATGTACACACACAAGCGCCCGCGCGCGCGCGCGCGTATATCCTCTGATCAATAATTCCTGCAAATGTCCAGCTGGTCCTCCTGGCGGCGCGCCGTGTGTTGCTGGCTCTGTCGTCTTTCGGCCCCGTAGGTATATAACAATATTGCGCGCGGCGAATCGAGAGCACAGAGAGAGAGATAAAAAAAAAACAAACGCGGATCTTTCGCGCGTTTGTCGTCGTCGTCTCCCGAGCTGTTCGAAATGCGATTCGAGGGAACAGATGAGAAACGTTACGAATAACAAAAAGAAGCGACGGCCACCGTAACATACCCAATACAAACGTCACATTATTGAATTGTTTTGTGCGTTACAAAAACTAACCCCTCCGCCTGGTGCCCACCCTTAAACGGCGGTAACGGAAAAGAAGAACGAGAAGATCTTTTTCGCGCACGGAATGTCGGTTTCTATCTAACCACCCCCGACCGCGCCACCCTTATTTTTATCAACCCCCCCCGTGAGTGCGTGGGTGTGCGTAGCGTGTGTCGCACTGTAATATAGAACACAACAGAGAAGACAAGTGGTGTGTGTGTGTGTGTGCTGCCGCCGTCGCCGCCGCCGTCGTCGTCGTCGTCGTCGTCTCGCCGCTGCCGACTCCGTTGTCATCGCGTTTGGTCGAATGTACCTATAATATTATTCTATTTTACTTCTCATCGTCTACTTCTTTATATCTCTCCCCTCCAATAACCAATATTACCACCTTTGTACAATTAATTAATAATAATTATCGTGACCGTTATTAATTTATTATATTATTAAATTACATACGAACCTACCTACCTATTATTTTTAATATTATTAAATATTTATTATTGCTATTATTATTCTTTTTATTATTATTGTTATTATTATTACAAAAAAAAAAAAATCTCTCATTATTGCATATAATTACCGCAAACCATGATCTCCGTATTATTATTATTATCGCCCTGTGTTCGCGTCGTCCTAGTCGTTTTAGTGTACATCATAAGCGTTGGCCTTCTGTTGCCTGCGCACGGCCAGAGTCCGTCGGTTTCATATCACCACGATTCCGGTAAGTCTCACGGTTTTTATAGATATTTGCCTAATATTTTATAGAATACAAATCGATAGGTTACCGATTCTTGGGATAATCCTCTAACATCCAAACCATGGGTACCTGTAAATACCTCCACCTATCTATAAATTTAGGTACCTATTTTTAAATTTGGATTCTAAATTGTTTTACTTAGGGTCAATATTTAATCATTTTATTTTATCTCACTTGTAGGTGTATATTAGGTGTATATTTTTAAGTGCATTACCTTTTAATTTATAGGGCACTTTGGATTATGTTAATTATTTGATTATTTACTACTATTGCTTTTTTACACACTAATAGTTTATAAATTAGAATCATTTTTATATTTCTATAATAGCTTAAAATATTATCAAGTTAAGAACATATTGTAACTCCAATTTTCTATAACTTAAATATTCATGTACTACTAATTAATTATCCTAAGTGTACCCATTTATTCTTAAATTATACTTGAATTTAAAAATGAAATTTTTCAATTATTAATAATTATTAAATTTGAATTTCAGTAAATAGAAAATAACGTTTATTAAAATAACAACTTTTAAGAATATTATTAGTATAGTTTCTATTATAACCATGAAAATATGTTCCTGTGTAGTTTAAGTTTTTATTATTAAGTATCTATAATTTTTTTATAATAAGTACCTAATATCATCTGAATAGGCAATATAAAATACATATTATGTTCACAAAATTATAAGTTTGTAACTCAATATTTTTATAGTTTACATTCAACCTCAAAATGCTCCATATGGATCTTATGTTGTTGAAGACATTTCTCATCATTCAAATAAAGTAAGCTTATTATGCCAATATGCTTTACTCAGTTTTACTTATTTTATTATTAATATTAATAAAATTTGCTTAGGAAAAAGCATCCCATGATCGATCTAATCAACCTCAGTAAGTATACTTAATCCTTATATAAAACTATAAAATAGTTAATAGGGGTGTCATTTCAATTTTTGAATAAGGATATAAAAATTAACCAATTTTTCCCTCCATCAGGTCAAAATATATGGGCCAAAAACACATTAAAAGCTACCAAAGTATAGTCGGAGTCCCTCAAATGACACCCCTATAGTTAGTTGTAATACTTACTTATTACTTTATGTAAAAAACATTGCAAAGCAGTTTATGCCAATTATGTTTTACATTTATAATAAGTCAACAGGTTGACCTATATTGTGTTTAGTATTTCAATAGCCACATTAAATTAGTATTATTGCTATAAGGATAATCTAATTTTTTTTGTTAACAATCCATTAAGTTATTATGAAAAATAAAACTAGTTCCCTATTATTATTTGTTTTCAGAAAATAATTAATAGAAATAAGTTTATATCACTCTGATAGAAATTATTTAACTACCTAATGTTATTATTATTATTTTGTTTTTATTCAAATTATTTAAATTGTAAATTATATATTTTAAATACAACAAAACATTAATTAACATCAAAGTAACTTAATTTGAAGTTAAAAATACTCAATATTTGTTGATTATACAAAACAAAAATATTACATTGTATTATATACCACCCAATATTTCTACTTACATTTAATTTAATTATAAAATCTTGAAAGATGGATGTATTTTTTATTTATGTACATTTATATTTTTAGAAATGAGGCTAAAGATCCTGATATGATACTGATAAATATTAATACAGGTCCTCACCCACCTGTACTTGATGAAATTCAACCAGACACAGTTATTGGGTAAGTTTTTTTATTAAATTTATAATATTAATCTAAATAGAGTTTAATTATTTATTAATGTTTTAGGTTAAAATTAAATCTAAAATAATGAAAATTAATTTAATTTACTTAAACAATAAATATACAGCTTAAAATAATAAAACATTCATTTTATATTAATGTAATCATAAACAATAATTATTCATAAATAGTATACATTCACTATTAAGCATATTGAATTAATGTATTTGCACTTTTTCTATTCATAGTTAGTAGATTTTTAATAAAGGGCGGATGTTCACAAAACTGCATATTTGTTCTGTTTAATTGTATTGTATGCTAATAGACACCAAATATGTTTCACAGTGTTATGAATAAAAAGTCAGAATGGTTGGATACATATAGTTATTTCATTATATCTGTACACAATGATAAAATATTATTTCTACAAGAAAAATGATTTTGAAATGTCCTTAATTTTTACAATTTTTGTAAAAATTTGAACTTAAAATGCTTATAAAAATAAACTACTCTATTTTTATTTAACTTTTCTTTTACCTCCAAGTACAACTTATGATGAATTTTGTTTTTCAATATTTAAGCTGGGTCAGACAAATTATGTTTTCTTAAAACTAAATAAAAACTCAAAAATTGTTAGAATGTTATAACCATTTTACCTTGTTTACACAGAGCTAATAAAAGCTAGTATTTTGTGAATATTTTTTACATCTCATTCAATTTTTTTTACTTAATTTTACGTAACTATGACTTACATAAAAAAACTCGATATGTATTTGCTATCTTGTTTATTTACAAAATTGCCATTTGGCATTAATAAACAAATTAATTAATTATTTTTCACCAAACTACAACAAAAAATCAAATGAAACAGAATATATTTTTATGGCATATTTTTCTAATTTAACTACGCTTTTACAGGCTTTCTTTTAAAAAAGACTAAATTTAATGATTGAAGCAAAATTTTTCATGAAAAACATTTTGCAGTGCATATTCATAATTTTTTTAAATTTTGAGGATTCATTTTATTTGTTTTAAAATTATTTGCATATTTTGTAATTTTACCTAAATTCTAGGTATAATATTTAAGCCTTTCATATTCTATCAAATATTGAATTTATATATGGTGCCGACATTTTCATTGAATGGTCAAAAAAATAGTTAATTAACACCAAAATATGTTTCATGACCTAAAGAGTGTTTGTATACAAAATTTTATTTTGCATATTTTGGAATTTTTAAAATTTTAAGGGCATATTTTAGGATTTTGTGTAGTTTTAGAGTATAATGTTTCATGGATTTCATACATTTTAATTTTTAGGATTTAGTAAACTAAAAAGACGTTGAGAATCATAAAATAATTCTTCAAAATTTATAAATATCAGCATTCAGAAGTTGAGCTGATAATATACTAGGTACCCGTGTTTTAGATAAAATCGGTTAAGAGTTCAAATTTTTTTCATTAAAATATATTTTTGTTTGGTTTTCATATAAGAAAAAAAAAAATTCAAAAGAGAAATATAATGTATTAAATATACAAATATATATATAATCTTTGAAATACTATTTTTTTTTTAGAATACCTACAGAAACAGTATAATATATAAAATAATTTATTTTTTTTAAGTATTTTAAGGGGTTTTTTTAATAATTTTTAGGTCATAACTGCATATATATTTAATAGGTTTTTAGGATATATTTCTATCAGGCCTAATTATATATATATATATAACTAAAACTGGTCTTAATTTTTTTTAAAGCCTTAAAGATTTGTATTAATAATCATAATGTTTATAATCCATTATAATCATTAATATATTAATTTATTATAATTGAGTTATAATTGATCACTAATAATAATTGTATAGGTTTAAAAAAAAAATTAACTTTACTGTTAATTGGAAATATTATGATGCATTTTTCATATATAATGTAAAAAAACTTTCAATTAAATTTTTTTTAGTCCAGATGAAATGTACTATTTTGCTCCAAAAAATCCTCAGAACAATAAAAGTTCAATTGTGGGTCAACGATTAGATGTTACAATTTTTGATGATTTTCTTAATACTGCACCGGTAAAGAATAAAACATACGTAAATCCAAAATTTTTTTTATCAAATAATTCATTGAAGTGCTCATTAGATTAACAATTTAATATTTTTAGGAAAAACACAGAAATCGGTTAGATTTTTATAAGGTTCCTTATTTAAATAATCTCGTATTACCACTAAGAGCAACATTCTCAGCAGCGATCTCAATATTCAATCCATACTCAGAAGTTTTACAAGTTCGTTTAATATTAAAATAAATACAATTAGTGATTACTAGGGCTCGGGACTTATTACACTTAAAATCCATAAAAAAAAAAAAAACACATTAAAATTTAAAATGTAAAAATGGTAGAAGGGTTTAAAATTTCTGCCTTAATTGCTTTAATTTATTAAATAAAATGTTCTAACACTCTACAGCTGATTAATACCAAATCATTTTTTTTAAATAAAATTGTACATCTTTTTATAATTTTTATAGTGTTAAAATATTGTTTTTAATAAGTTAGAGCTGTTAGACAAAGACATTTTAAGCCACTTTACTAATTTTATTTTTTTTAATGTTTTTTTTTTTTTATGAATTTTAAATACAATAAGTCCCAAATTCTTGTGGTTACTATATTTTTAATATTTATTTTATTTTAGGTTGTAAAAGTATTTGGCGGGGGACCAGGGTTTCACCTAAGCTTACCGTCTGGTCAAATGGAAGACCAAAGAAATGTTTGGGACATTATGCCATATCAAACAAAGCCATTGATTCGATTTACATTTTCAGAACGATCAAAGAAAAATCACTCCACAAAAATAGGGTTAATAAATTAATAATTGCAGGTTTTTTTTTTGTAACAAATCTTAAAAATGTATTTCTTTTTATTGTGAAAAGGTTATTTTTGAGTAATCATGAATACATAAATGTGCCTATAAACATTGTAATGGTATCAAAACCAGGTCTTTATAGTTCAGAACATATAATTGATTTTGGTGTTGCCAGTAGAAATGGTTTAGTTACATCAAAAGCTCTAAACTTATGTAATTCAGCAAAATCTAGTATTATTGTTCAGGTATGTTTTTAATAAAATTAGTTCATTAAATATTTCTTAGCAACAGTGCATCATTGTTTAAACATTGTTTAAGAATGTAACGTCAGATTCTCACTTTGTGACTGTGGATTTTCCTCATGAAGTAGAAGTACCTCCACAGTCTTGTACAGCAGGCCAAGTTGCTCATATTAGTTATCATTGTAAGAGCTGCTAATTTTTTGCATGCCATTATAAATAATTAGTTTAAATACATTAAATTGGTATAAAGAGATGATTTCATTGTTTTAGGGGATTATGTTGGATATTCATATGGTGAGACTCATTTTGGACAGTTAACTGTAAAGAGTAATAAAGGAAATGAGTTGAATATACCATATCATGGTAGAACACTAGAAGGTGATTTGGTGTATGAAGAACAATCATTGCATTTTGTCATGTCAAAAGCTATTCGTTCAACAAGCATTATGAAAACCTTTACACTGCTTAATAATTTTTCATCTACGCCAGTTGCTATTTCTCAAATAGGAATTCCAAAAAATGCCACCCAGTATTTTAAAGTAATTATAAATATAATTTTAATTACCATTTATATTGTTAAATTTAAAACTTTATCATAGTTGTATACTTTCCTCTACATTTTAATAATATTAGTATAAAATATTTCCAAATTAAACTAAATTTTATCACTTATTTTTCAATTTAATTTTTCAGATAAGAGATTTTATCCCTGTAGTTTTAAAACCGGGTCAAAATAAAACATTGTTTCGTGTTGGATATGTAAACCCTAACAATTCAAAAATGGATATCATATCATATTTAGAATTTAAAACTAATGCTTCGGATTTTACAATTCCTTTGTTGGTGTATGATGGACAGCTCGCACAGGTGTGTAGGCTAGTGTATAAAATTGGTTTAAATAAAAATATTATATGTAAATATTTGTATATATTGAAAAAAATAAAATGTTTTGACTTTCATAATTAGATTTTACCAGCTACTAATATTATCACTTTACCACCAATAAGAATCAGTTCACCTCGCCATACCTATATAGTAGTTGCTAATGAAAATCCTGTCGCAATTATGATCAAAGATTGGGGTACAACATACACACCACACGTCTCATTAAATTTAGTAGAAATTGGAAAATTTAACTCTTCAATGCGCCGCAATAGTGCAGACAGTTGGTCTCGCCCAATGATACGAGAAGATCAAATACCAGCTGTAAGTATTTTTAGAATGATTTTCTTATAGTATTGAGTATTAAGGTTTTTTTTTTTAATTTTTAGCCAGTGGCTTTGCCTATTAAACACTACGCTATATTTCAATTGTTAGTATCTACCCCAAATCCTGATCAAAATTTAACTGTGAAAATTTGGATTCAAACACAACATCAGCATTACAGTATACCATTGAAAGTATCTGTATTTGATAAGAATTTACAAGTTATAGCTGAACCATTAGCATTTGAAAACTGTCATCCCGTAAGTATTGAGTATTTTTATATTACTCAGTTTTTTATAATTTTCCTTTACTTAGAATTAATTTATAATTTACAGGGTGCCGTGTGTACTGCTGAAGTGAATGTTATGTCTTGGTTAGACAGAACATTAGCATTAACATCAGTAACAAGTGAATTTGTTAGTGAAAATGTCCGGTTTGTTCCCACTAGACCATCTCTTATACAACCACAAATGGTTTCTTTAGTCGGCCACATAGAATGGATCCCTACTCACCATAAGAACTCGACAGGATGGATAGGATTGTTTAGTAAAGCTGGTAATGTGATTTATTTTGAATAAAATACAATTTGTGTAATCTAATGACTGTTGTAGAAAGAGCAATGTGGTTATCAAGCTTTCATTTAACAAATTCTTCTGAAACAAGCTATATGGATTTTTCATGGTTTTATCGTAGAATGGGAAAGTATTATGCAGAGGAAGACAATCGCACTCTAAGACATCAATTTACATTGGAGACTGGTAATGATTTAAAATTATTTCAATAATGTAAATTAATCATTTTTAAGGTAGTGAAATACTAAATAAAAAAGTTAATTTTTATAATATAGCTTTTTTTTCCTCCTATTAATTATTTAAATTTTATATATTTAATTATTCTTTTATTTAAGTTCAATTTTATTATTACTCTTAATGAGTTAAGTTAATTTTAAATTCTGAGCAGAGTAAGAAATGTATTGGTTTTACAATGTTTTTTTTTATTGTGTGAACAACTCTTATACTGATTTTTAAGTGTATCACTTTTTTTGCATAGAAATCTGACAGGTGTGGTACTTTAAGGAGGTCATTTTTTGAATTTTCTTGGAGTTTTCATAATAAATAGGAATATAATCTGGAAAATTTACAAAATGTATTATTTTCAAATCATAAATATTATAGCCTTTTAAACATGTGTAACTGAACTCGGCTCAGAATCATTTTTCGTTAGCAATGATTAATTGTTGCATACAGATTCACATTAAATTTTCTCCCTCTATATCCTACATTCCTAATTTCTCACCTATATCTGTGGCCTATCCATTGGTGCGAAATATATTAATTTGTTTTTTTATTAGGCGGAGCTGAAACATGTCAGTTCAGTGTACATCTTCATTTAAAATGGCCAAAATTTATACAAGAACCCGGTGAAAATCGACAGCAAACTACATATGAGCTACCAACCATGGAAGTGAAAGGCAAACCCTATTATCAAAGAATCAATGTGAAAAATACATTTCACACTCAAAATATAACATTACATTTAGCTATGTACCCCCATCCATATTGGTGTAATATTACGGAATTCATAGATCTATTTGAACACGAGTATGTGGAATACTGAAAATAAACTAAAAAATTAAATTAATATCTTATTAAGTTATTCAATATTGATAAAATATTTATAGGGTGAATTCTTTGTTAATATCGAGAGATGATTGGGAATTGGTGATGAATAATTCTAGTCCTTATAGAAGAAAAGTCTTAAATATTAAAAATTCTGTGTATGTTCCACATAAGAAAACTATGATATTTGTTTTGCCTCCACAAAAGGAAATCGATGTATTAGTAAGATTTCAACCAAAGAAACCTGGTGTTAGCACATCAATACTTTTCATTAGGTATGTTGTAATTTGTTTCATTTTTAGTTATGAAAGTATTATTATTTTAAAAGGCTTTTTTTTTAGAAATGATGTGTCTATTTTGGAAAGTATTTTACTAAAAGGTATGGGGGCATATCCTGTACTATCATTTGGATCTAAAAGGAAACTACCTCCATTAGTTTTTGATATGGAATCAAGTCCTATGGTTGATCTCATATGTAGTAAAAGTATGCAGTTTATTTAATCAAAAATAAAATATAATAATTTTATACATATGATTTTAGATAAAACTTCTTTACCATCAGAGACCCGAATATTTTTAATAAAGAACCCTGGTAAACATACGGTTAGGATTATATCTATGACTATTAATAGTATACTTTGTAGTGGTTATGGTTTTAGAGTAATAGATTGCAGACAATTTTCTCTACTACCAAATCAATCTAAAGAAGTATGTTGTTTATAAAGTTATTTAAATTTTATAAATAAAAATATATGGTACTATATGGATTTTATTTGTTAGGTGTCTGTAGAGTTTACTGCTGATTTTACACTAAAATCAGTTATTCGTCAATTAGAAATAAATACTGAAGAAACAATTGGATCAGAGATAACTAATCGTATTTTTATCTACCAACTGTGGGGTATTGTGCCATCTGAATGGGAATTATGTAAAGACAAATATACATGGCAAGAGTTTCGCCGAGGTGACAGTTGGGCTAGACCAGAATGGGAGTCTTCAATTGGTCAAATTATGCTTGTGGCTGCTGGAATACTCATGGTGGTTGCTTGGCTTGTTTCAATTGCTGCTGTGCACACTATAGATAAAGAATTTTTAGCAAAAAACCTAGGACCTCCTTGTGTCGGAGCTCATGGAAAAAGATCATGTCAGTCTGTTCTAGCCCAAACTGGAAATGTGAAAAAAACAGATTTTAAGTATGTCTATTTATAATTTATTACTAATAATTATCAATTAATACTGAAATAATAATTCACATAAACAATTACCAGGAGTTCAAAGCACAAAGAAGGTAATGAAGAAAAACGTACTGAAATAATACCAGATCCAACATCTTTGGGTATATCACAAAGTGAAAACAGTTATATTAAGCCCTCAGATTCTACACCTATTTGGAGTTTTACGTTGCGCGATATAGAACCAGAACCAGAACCGGTAGTTTTTCTTAGCCTGATAATTTTAAATTTTATATAATTTATTTTGTTTGTTAAATTAAACTTTATTGATTATGATTTGTTCAATATTAGAAACCCGAAAAAGATAGAAGTAGTAGATCACATTTATCTGATAATCACCCAAAAGAAAAAACTAAAAGACGTCATTTAACCCAAGAAACTCTTGATTCTAATCCAAAGTACAATGTTTCTGGATGGCAAACAGCAAGAAATAGGTATGTGATAGCATTAGTCAAATATATTCAATCTTTTGTCTATTATTTTACACAAAACATGTATATTTATGGTTTTAAATTTAATTTTCAATACCAAAACCTTCAAAATAATAATGTTTCTTTTTGAAATTTAATATATTGCACTCTTTTTATATTTAATTTTGAGATATTGATTGTACTTAAATACATTTAATTTATATATTATAAAAATATTAACTTACGTAGTATTGTTAAATACTACCTTAAATGTTTTACTTATAAATATAATATGTTTGATTGTTTCAAAATTCTTAGCTGTCAAATTTTAAATTTCAAAAGTATCTTACAATTTTCTTCTCTGTCATATCAATTATTTGGAGGCGGCCACCTTCATCTTAATCTTCCAGATTACCTTATTTACAATATCCTTGCATACACCGGCTGTTCTCATATCATTCGTAATTTTATTATTTTTAGTATTCCTTCGAACAGAGTTCATTCTTCCTAAGTTTATTTCCATTACCATTTTTACTGTTCTAGGTTTGTCATGACATAACCAAAAACCACCTATTTTCTCTCATTATGTTCAATATCAAATTCACACTTATGCTACCTCTTATATAACTATTCCTCATCTTATCTTCTCTTGTCACTCCACTCATCTACTTAAGTATTCTCATCTCTGACACACATTATCTTTTATACTTTTCTGTCCATCACTCAACATTCTTTTAATACTTTCCTTTAAATTCAATATAAATTTTCTTGTTACATAAAGTACCTGATGGTTTTTCCACTTAATTCAACCACACTTAATACTATGCTAAAGTCACTGTTTTTTTTTTTTTGTATAAAAGATCCTACAATAAGTTCTTAAAGGAAAATTGTCAACCCCCTCCAGTATTTCCATTAGCTGTCTCCAAACTTATCCTCTTTATACTCTGTTTTATTTCTTATCCTTAGTCCTATCTTTTCAAATTCTACTTTCTATTCCTCAAGTACATAGTTATCTTCTTCTAGATTTTCTCTTATCAAAAATATATTATCTGCAAACATCATGCATCATGGTACTTCCCTATAATTAACTTCATAACTTTATCAATTACCACAGAAAAGCCAAATCTTGATACATACCTACTCCAAGCTTAAAATCATATACTATTCCACAAATATTTTTGCAACCCATACTTAAACCTTACAACACTCATACATATTCTTTATCAAAGTACAATTTTGGAACTCATTTTCACATTAATAGCTACATCAGAACTTCTTTTAACACTGACATATATCTTCACTAAAATTATAAATGCCATTTATAGATTTTTCTTTGGTCTGTTTCACACAAAATACTGGTTCCGTCATCATTTTTCCTGGCAATAAACTGGTTCTTAAATATTGATACCTTACTTCTAATAAATTGTCTCTAATTTTTTCCTAAATCTTAATACTATGACTCATAAATTTCATTCCTATGTAATCTGATACTTTTATATATCTCTATTGTCTTCAATTAGTGCTGAGCACCAATTTTAGATTGATTAAAATTCAGATTACTGATCCAGATTGAAACAAAAATTACAATCCATTTAATCCAGATTTAAAGTACCTATCCAAATTCTGACCATCCTAAATAGTAGATTATTTTTAAATGCTGCCCGTATTGTTATTTTTTATATACGTTTGGTAGATAATAGTATAATTTACAATTGAAATTTGAAATAAGCATATTAATAACGGCAGGCTCAACGCATCACTGCTACATATGATAACCCTGCATTGTGTAACCTGTTTTATTTAATTTTTTGATCGAATCCAAAATCTGGATTGATTAATTCAGATTATGTAATTCTTCTATTTTGGAATTTTCCTTTCTATTAACTCTTAGTTAATTAAAATTTCTAACCATCCAATATTAAACTTATTACATTTTCTACATTTTCACTGGTCCTTCATTTGGACCTACTGCTCTTTTCTTTATTTGTATGTTAATTTAAAAAAAAAAGTAAAATGTGTATTAAATATATTGCAATAATGTTAATTATTTATATTTGTATAGATCTCCAGCATTAATAGCAGATTCTCATTTAAATAAAAATTCTAAAACCGATGAAGGAAAATTCGAGGTTGAAAACCGTAGACGTGCTGAAAAAATATTAAAAAAGCATTATGGTTTAAAACCTGTAGATAGTTGGAGAAAGCACAAGAAAGCTCTTAATGCTGCCAAGTATTATGAAGAACTAACAGAAGAAGAGAAAATTAGTTCAAGTCAAGAATCAAAAGTCTCAACAGAGATAAAACCTGAACCTAAACCTTTCAAAAATGGCAAAATTAATAAAAGAACATCCACAATCAGTCTTCCAATAATAAAGCAGGATAATAATAAAGAATCACCAATATTGCTGTTAAACTCTTCTTCATCTGATGTTGTAAGGAAACCAATAGCTTCTGTTGCGCCTTATCAAATTGTTCTTCCTAAACAGTCAATTGTACAGTCGGAACGTTCAATTGAGAAGTTCTATAATTCAAAATCAAAACCAGGACAAGCTATACAGAACAAAATCGAAAAAGAACCTGTTACAGTGCGACCAGTGATATCAAAGAAATTGATTAGTGATGATGATGGTTTATTAGCCGAATATAAATATATGAAGAAAAAAAATAAAACCGAAAGAAAAACCTCGTTAACTCCCTCGACACCGCCAGCTCTAGTAGTACCACCTGTTATTGTTAAACCAAAGATTCAAACTATAGAAAGATTTTGTTCTCCAGAAATAATAAAACCAAAAGTGCATGACGTGGAAAGATATATAAAATCACCAGAAACACTGAAACCAAAGATTCAAGCTGTTGAAAGATTTATTAAATCACCCGAAATAATAAAACCAAAGATTCAACCTGTGGAAAGCTTTGTAAAACCACCAGAAACTTTGAAACCGAAGATTCAACCTGTGGAAAGCTTTTTAAAACCACCAGAAACTTTGAAACCAAAGATTCAACCTGTGGAAAGCTTTATAAAACCACCAGAAACTTTGAAACCAAAGATTCAACCTGTGGAAAGCTTTATAAAACCACCAGAAGCTTTAAAACCAAAGATTCAAACTGTAGAAAGATTTATCAAATCACCAGAAATACTAAAACCAAAGATTCAAACTGTGGAGAGAATAAATTCATCAGAAGTAATAAAACCAAAGATTCAAACTGTGGAGAGAATAAATTCATCAGAAGTAATAAAACCAAATGTTCAAACAGTGGAAACACTTAATCCACCAGAATTAATAAAACCTAAAGTTCATACTTCGGAAATACTTAATGCACCAGTAGAAATAATAAAACCGAAAATTCAGACTGTAGAAAGAGGAACATCACCTGATATGGTTAAACCAAAAGTTCAGACTGTGGAAAGATGTACTTCCCCACAAATGATAAAACCTATGGGTCAAACTGTGGACAAATTAAATTCATCAGAAATAACAAAACCAATGGTTCAGTCTCCCAAAATATTGAATTTCTCAGATGAAATAAAATTTAAGGTTGAAACTGTGGAAAAAATAAATTTATCAGAAGAAATAAAACCAAACGTTGAAACTATGGAAAAAATCAATTCATCAGAAGAAGTAAAACCAAAGATTCAAAATGTGGAGAAATTGAATTCAATAGAAGTAGTAAAACCAAATGTTCAAAATGTGGAAAAACTAAATTCAGTAGAAGTAATACAACCAAAAGTTCAAACTGTGGAAAAATTAAATACAATCAGCATAATTCAACCAAAAGTTCAGACTGTGGAAGAAATATGTACATTGCCAGAAACAGAAACACCAAATATTCAGGTTATAGAAAAATGTACTTTATCAGAAATAATAAAACCAAATGTTCAGACTGTGAAAAAATGTGATGATTCACCGGAGATTTTAAAACAAATAATTTTAACTGTGGAAAAATGTGATTCACCAGAAGTGATAAATCCTAAGGTCCCTGCTGAAGAAAACTGTGTATCACCAGATATAACAAAACAAAACATTGATGATGTCGTTATTCTAACTAAAATGGAAACAGAAGATAATGAAATTTTATTATTGAATGCGCCTCAAACAAGTGAGCAATCAGATGTTCCAGAACCAATTACTGTATTAAAAATGGACTCGGATGAAGACAATTTGGAACTTTTGCCATCAACTTCAGCTGACAAACATGGTAATCAATTGTATTTATTACTTGAATATAGCAGCAATAGTAGATATCTTTTGGCTTTTGGCACTAGCAAAAAATATCTAAAAAGTATAAGAATACATATAATATAAGAAAACTTTTTTTGTATGTTCTCATTAATAGGGAATCTGCACAGGCTAAAACTTTAAGAAATTTATGATTTTGGTTCCAGTTCGTGTATCAGATTTTAGCTTAACTTATTTTTTTTATCTAAAGGCTTTGTCTTGTCATTATAATCAATCATCTATTCTACTTAAAACCCGTATTAATTGGTTAAAAAATTTATTTATAGTACCAGGTGGTCTATTTAATTGGGTACACTCATTATCATTGAAAGTATTAACTTTTTCCAGAATTTGTTTTCTAGAATATTTAAGAAACAAGCTACTCTACAATTTTATAGTTATTTTTTTTTTGTCACCTTTTCTTTTAGGAGTAAAACCACTACCTATGTCTGATTTTCAAATACCGACCTATATTAAAAATTTCATAAATAGATGAGTATTAGTTAAATTAAATTTTAGTGTTGACATTTTTAATTACTATCAATCTGTTGATGAGATATTCCAATTTTAAATTTTGGGTTAGAAGAGAGTAGTGGAGTATTATTTGTGTGGCGGCACGGTATGTATTAATCATGCACCATTACTCTCCGACCCTAATTTAAAAGTGGAATATTTTGTCAACGGCTCGATTGAAAACAAAAATGTATTTTAAATAATACTTCATCTGTTATTGGACTTCATTGTATAGATTTCCATTTGAAAATCAAAATTAGGTAGAGGTTTTCAGTAGGCAATATTTTATTTTGCACCCCTTTTTTTATTGGAATTTTATGACATTGATAAGAACCTAAATTAACGAAAAATATTTTTATTTCATTACGGATTTTAAATGTAATGTTATTATTTAATGCTGGATTGTGTCTACCCAATATGAGCAAAGTTTGTATCTTACTTTTTTTAATTTATTTTATGGTGTTTAGTTTTTATTTTAGGGCCTGTGGGTTCAGGCAGAGACCGTAAAACTGAGGATAAAATAACAAAATGTGAATCAAATTTGGTTTTGGTTGAGACTATTAAAGAAGAATCAGGTTTGTTTTATGTATATATGTATTTAAAACTATATAAATATATTCTTAATTAAAAATAATTTTTACCTTTTATTAAATATTTTAAGAACCTTGTATTTCAATAATTGATACCATGGCAACAGCAAGTACATCAAATTGTGACAGTCCTACTAATATTATGACATTTTCAACCAACGACCCTGGATATAATTTGTGGACATCATTTGTGTGGGGGCCAGTTTATGGGCAATCTACAAAAAATCCTAGTCCACAAAAATGAATCTGTGAGTATTTAATTATGAACAATCATATACTTCTTTAAGGTGACCGCACACTGATAAAATTAACTACTTAAAGTCAATTTCAATATCTTATGTATAATAACACATGTAATTTATTTGGACTACATTTTATATGGATTATTCAATTAAAACAAAACCCATGACTATTTTCAATTTTATTCATGTGCTTATTTTGGTTTGTTATCAAAATAATATATGTAATCATATATAATTATATGTTTAGGAACTTGTATACAAATTTTAATTTATGGTGAAAATTCAAGGAAAAAATATATTATGGCCTTAAAAATTATTGATTGTTTAAATGCTGAGTCTACATTTTTGTTTTTATATTAATTTTTAATACTAAAAATATCGAAAAATTCCATAGCATAGGAATGTCATTATCATCAAACATGATGAGTAGCAATGATTTGGTTAATTATATTTTATAAGTGTGTAAGCACCCTTAATAGGTATAATTATAGCATTCATGTGTTTTTTTTTTCTAGATACGTACTGGAAGACCATTGCCCTAGTAGTTATGCAAACTTGTTTTGATGTCCTCTTAAATTTTTAGACTTTCATTGGGACAATTGTAAGTTTCTTCTGTGTTTTATAGACAAATGGATATGTTTGATAGTAGAAACACATTGTGATTTTTTTTTTCTTTGTGGACATTTTGCGAGTATTAATGAGCACGATTTTCTTGATATTTCGTTTCTACTTTATTGTTAATTTTTCCCTTCTTTAATATCTGTCTTAATTAATAAAGACAATTTTAAAAAGAAAAAATTGTGTTTATTTCTTTGTCAAAAATAATTAGAACCATAGATAAACATAATACTTCACAGAAGTAATTCCTAACAAGTTTTTTGGCAATTCAATATAAAAATTAGAAAAATGTCATAAGTTACTAAAATTGAATATAAATAAAATTCAATTAAAACAAGATTTTACAATTACTAAATTAATTATAAAACTATTTCTAATACTGATTTGAACATTTGTCTCATATACCTAGTGATATTCAGAATATATTTTTGACAAACCAGTTTTCAAGATAATTTTAAATATAATAAATAACACTTAAAGTACATACAATCACTAAGTCTCTGTTAAATGGTTTCTTAGTTTCTTTCTACACATTCTTTCATATCTCTCCCTTTGGTTTCGATTGGCAATAATGAACTTGCTAAAGCAGCAAGAAGTGCTGCCGTAATGTATATTATTATTGAAGTAGTAAACGATGATTTGAGCAATACCTAAAAAAAAAAAACCTAATATGATGTTTTTAAATATTAATAATAAAAAATTACCTGTGCAATATACGGAGTAACCATAGCACCTAAGCGAGCCATAGCACTACAAGTACCAACCCCAATAGATCTTAAAGGTGTAGGATAAACCTATAAATAATAATTATTAATAAGTAGAACAAAAATTATTAAAAACATTTAGACAATTGCAAGATACCTCTGGAGTATAAACATACACAGCTTGAAATACCCCAGCAATTATACCTCTTGCAAAAAATAATGCAATTGTTAACAAGACACGACTAAAAAAAAAAATAAATAAGAAATAATGCCATTTAAAGATAAAAAATGTCTTACTTTTTTGCACACTGGAATAGAAAAAATAAGCTTATAGCAAATATTGTAAATTGAAAAACTAAAGTAATTTTTCGGCCAAATCTATCGATCACAAAAATAGTGGCAAATATTCCTGTCAAAAATAAATTGTTTAGAGTAAAGTCTTTATACTTTCTAGCTAATACAAAAACAAATTACCTGGAAATTCTGCAAGTGTTGTCCATAGTAGATCAATATAATCACGAGTTGTCAGATAACGAGATTCGGCAGTACATGATTGCACAGTTTTAAAAACACCCCCATCTAAATTTGGGGAACAGATTCTGTTATTGTTACCACTCTCAAACAGCCCGGTGGACATCAATACTATGCCATAGTAACAAAATGCACAAACGAGCCTAAGAGTATATAAAACTATATTAAATAACTTTTTTAATATGTGTATGGAGTGGATGAACTACCAAATAAACCAGAGTAAAACTGAAGTAATTCTGAGCTGTGGCAACAGAAGATCAGTGAATTGACCACGTTTTTCTTCTAAAACAACATCATCAACAACTAATCTTCCTAGAAGCATTGGTTTACCATTATCATATGCTACTTTTTTCAATGTATCAATTGCTTTGTCAGTTTGACCACTAGCCACTAGATACCTAGCTGATTCTGGCAACCACTATAAATACAAAAATATATTTAATTGATAATTAATGATGCTGTTATAAATACAGTAAATATAAATTAGCAACTAAGTGCAACAAGTGTTTACTAGGTGGTTCATTACCGGGCAAACACATGCAAAACCTAGCAATGGTGCTGTGGACAGTACTAAAAGCCATTTCCAGCCTAATGTGGGCATCACTATTAGGGCCAAGAGAACTTCAAAGCATGCTCCAAGTGCCCAAAAACACTAAATGAAAATTGTAAAAAGAAGCAATTATTAATATCTGTTCAATGATTAGAACAATTTATGAAGTGATACAAAAAAAAAAAAACTTATTGATTGGAACTAAATTAATTATCCTTATACCAATAAAAAATGTAATTAATTTTTTTATTTGTTATTTTGAAATAGTATAAAAGATAAATATTGTTGATCTTCTTGTATCACCTCAGTTTGTATGTAATGTAAAAATGTATTATTTATAACAATTACACAATGCTAATATCAAAACTTACATCAAGTAAAACAACGCATTTGGCTCGTTGTTTACAAGGCAAAAATTCTGCATACAAAGTAACACTAACAAATACATAATAAGTCAACAAATAATTACTAAATGCAAACCAAATTAATTAATTTTACATACGACTGTGGAGAACAACCAATAGCAAATCCAACTAATCCTCTTAAGATTAATAACCATGTGTAGTTTGGTGACATTGAGCTCAAGATTCCAAAATAAAACAATAACACTGAACATAGTGTTAAAGCCTGAAAAATATAATTAATTATGATTTTTTCTAACTAGGTAAATCAAAATTCCAAATGGTATAAAATATTTAATATACATACTGGTTTTCGGCCAAATTTGTCACTGAACGATCCCCAAAATGGTGAACTTATCATCATACCCAGAAAAACAATCTAAAAAGAGTTAAATTATAATAAATAAATAGTATTAAGTACATAAATAATATACGTGATAAATTGAATGTAGAGCATTTAAAAATTAGTAATAAACTTACAGTTGTTGCTAAAGCTTGCTGAAGACGTGTGATCTGCCATTCATAATGCAAAGTAGGTGACAAAATACTCAATATAGTTGTTTCCATGCTGTCAGCCATCCAACAAAGTCCTGTGAATAATGATAACTTCACTTGAAATTTACCAAATCCAAAAGCATCCACTGCTTGGGCTACAGTGTACGTTTCTATTGAACAACATACATTTTTTTTTTCAATTTTTAATCCAACAAGTACTGACTACTGAGTGGTGTAAATTTAATGGTTGGTATTTACCATCGGGAACAATAGTAACATTACTCATTTCGAAGTCTTGCGCTTGTCTTTTAGCTGTAAAAGCATTATTGATCTTGCGATCGGATTCGTTTAAATTATGGTAACCTGATGACGAGGATTCCATGTTTGCTTGTTTTTATCGAAAACTCAAAAGAAATTAAATATGTAACATTACATCATTCCACAACTTCAACCGCTGAATAGCAATTGAATAATTATTGCAGAATAAGGTAATTACTAATTATTTGACAGAACTAAACAACAAGTGTTCTTTTGAATTTGGAAGTTCGAATATTAGGATAATTATTACAGTGTAATTATATCAAATTGATGACGGTGGTTGTAAATGATAAAAAAGTAGCGGTTCCTTTATCACGTACCGTAATTTATTTCTCCATGGTCTGAATGATAAGTTGCAGCTGTTTAAGAGATTGATTAGTGAATATCTTTTAAAGGGTCAGCTAACAACTTACTCTAAAAATTAAAGCCTTTATCTTTTTTATTTCTAAAACACACCACTTCTTTGGCTAAGTTTGTAAACGTCTTTTTACGTGGTGTATTCGTATCAAACGAATAATTACAAATAAGTATTTTACACACCTCAAACTTAACTATTATCAACTAAAAGTGAGTATGTTTTCATGTTCTTTTATATTTACCTTGAACATTGTTGTAAAGGTCAAAAAAAGAAACAGTATAATATACTCACAACCTTATAATTTGTTACAGGATGTTTACCAGTATAAAAGAAACAATTACCAAGTTTGTGCAATCGCCTTTTGTCATTGTCAATGCCGATGAAGAATTAGTTGACCCTGCTAAAGTTTTGAGAGTATGTTAATTAAATAAAATTACCTGGGTCATTTTATTTAACTTCTATGAATCTTTAGGGAAAATGTGAACAGCAAAAAGAAGCACAAGAACGATTCGCCAAGTTGCAAGAATGCAATGACCGTGTCAACTCTAGAAAGAAAACTGCTGAAACCTGTGTCGAAGAATTGTGGGATTTCTTAGAGGTCGTTGATAAATGCGTTGCAAAAGACTTATTTGATCATTTAAAATGAAGAACCATATGCAGTGTAACAGCTAATTAGATTAGGTATTTCATGTGGTTAATTTATTCAGTAATATAATATAACCATTGTTTCTTGTTTTAATTTTGCAATAAAATAAATAAATTAAAATCTTATAGTCAAATTATGTACAACTTAATTCTTGAATTTGTAGAAGTTCCCATATCAAAAAATATAATCTTACAACCCACTTGTTCACACACTAGAGGTGGTTGACATTTGTAGCAGCAACTTGTTTTTCATAAATAAAACATTTTGGTTGAGTAAAATTTAAATGTCTACTTGTAACAATAAATTAAATATTATTATTTATTTATTTTTATAAAAAATGTTTGTTACTATTGTTATTAAGATCAAATGGTATGAGTGTTCATAATTATAATATAGTATATACTTATACTATATATTTATGTATTTATTTTAGCGGGACGCTAAAATGCTGGAAGTATGTTTTCCATGCTGCAAGAAACAGCAAATGAACAATATGATCTGAAGATAATACACATGTTATATAAACAACAGATATCAAAATGTTTGGAGCATAACACTAGATGGGTATGAAACTAATAGAAAAACACTAGAAACACTGGAGATGTGGCTCATATAAAAGATTAGCTGGACAGAACAAAAAGCCAACCATAAGGTAGTCAAAATAATTGGTGATAAACACTCATTGATGGTTCTGATCAAAATAAGATGACAGAAAGTAGTAAAACACGCAATTAGACATTTAGAAGAACTAAACAGTATAATAATGGAGGGTATATTAGAAAGAAAAAAATTACCCAGGAAACATCACAATTCTTTTGTCAAATCAGGAAGTATTGGGAGCTAGAAGCTATAATAATTGAGAATGGAGAGGAGATGCCATAAGCCAACCTAAAGGTTGATAAAATATTATATATATTTATAATATTTATTTTATTTTATTGGAAATATAGGATAAGCTTAAAAAATAACAACTTTATAAGACAAGAAGTACAGACAATATAAGACAAAAAAACATAATTTACAAAAGAAGTGGTTCAATATTATTTAAATAACAGTTTACCTATACAATAACAATGTCAGTGACTTAATAGTGAAATAAGGATCTAAATTTGTATGCAGAATAAGGAGATGTTTAGGTTAATATAAATATAAGACTATAAGAATACTGAGGGGTAGGTTTATGTGAATATAATAATCATTGATCTACAATCGAGTAAAAACTGAAGTTCAACACATTTAAAAAAAATCAAGTAAAAACGATTCTGAGTGTATTCAAATTGTAACATTGTAATTTACCAGAAATCTTGCTAAGATATATACGCACGCCACCATTTCAGAAAGGGAATATTGCCCAAATGGTACTTTTAAGAGATTTTTTTTTTTTAATACCCAAGCAGTTTTCATATCTAGGAAAACCCATGACAAAACGTAAGAAAAACTAAAAATTTAGTAAAATAATGCTTTTATTATTTTTAAATTTTGTTATTTGTTGTAATTCAGTTAAAAATATTCGTGGAGACTTTAAATTTGGATAAAAACATATATTTGCCTTTTCTAGACGTGGCCAAATTTTCCAAAAACTTAAGCCATTTTTGAGATTTATTTAATTATTTAATAATTAATATTTATTTGAGACATCTTAATTTTGAAAGTTTTGTACGTAATATTTATTTGATAGGTACTCTATAGTACAATTTTTAGACTTGAACAGAAATGCTTCAAAATTGAACAGGAAATCTTTCTTATCTTATCTTAGTCTTTCTTTGTAGTATGTAGTATTTTTTTTTTTAAAGGGAATTTTAATATCATATTTTGACAAAAATTTTAAAAAAAAACGTTTTTGAAGCAAGTACTGGTTTATTTAGAATACAGTCTTTAAGAGAAACAAACAAATGAGCTAGGAATTTGTCTTTATGAATTTTCGAGCAGTTATTTTTTTGTTGATGTGTTGATTAAATATTTCTCCCTACTTCACCCAATCGAAAACTAAAATAATTCCACTATAGAGGGGGGATTGTACCCTATGTGATGAACTATACAAAGAACACAAAAATAGATTTTTTTTAGCTATATTTACTAACATTAAAAAAAAAAACTTAATTTTAACCTCAAAAACAGAGAAAGATCAATTCGACTGATTTTCAAAAAGACAATATAGTTTTCTTCTGATCGTAGTATTTTGAATAAAACTGATATTGCAGACCTAAGGGGTGAACTGGAATGCAATCCAGCCGGGAAATCCTTAATATTTCCACATCTCGAATCATCAAAACTTAAAACATGGCTCTTTTATATTCATTTTATAAATAAAGAAAATTTGGAAGACCGTTATATTTACTATGTTTGTTAAAATAAGAAAGCAAAACTATCATTAAAAAAAAATATACTAAATTACATTCAAATTAATTATTTTAAATGTAAAATAAAGGAATTCTATAGCGACGTAAATTTATCAGTTTTCATTTTTCGTCATTTTCTGTTTTTTTTTATTATTAATTATTAAAAAAAAGGATTACTTTCACGCGAACTAGATTAAAAATTCAACAAAATAGGTCTCTTGTCGTTTTTCTATTGGAACAATATTTATGGTAGAAAATATAAGCTGTCCAAATATAAAATAATCAAATTGTTGCACCGTAATTAAAGAATATCATATTTTTTATGTTTTTGATTTTTCCCAATTATGATTTAGATATCTAAAAACGACCTACTCTGTCAGTAGCTATATATTAAAAAGAACAAAATTGATCACTTGTCATTTTTCGACTTGAGCAATATTTCTAGTAGAAAATATTGTTTGTGTAATTTAAAAACAATGAAAACGATTTCGTCGAGTTGTGCCGTAAATATTTGCTATTTTTCCTATGATTTTCTTTCAGGTTTTTTTCAATTATTTCGAAAACCCTCGGAAATCAAAAAATGACCTCTCTAATACACCAACTAGACACAATTTTATTTAGTATAGTAAGTATAGTATCTTTCAGAAAAAGTACTATATTCTGTGCATCAGTGGAATATTTCTTTTCAAAATTTGTTTACAGGAAAAAAATCACACCAAATGAGCAAACCAACAGATCCTTCTCAGCGCTCCGAATTTAATAGTTAATGTGTTCTAAAAGTTTTAATATGGCGAAATTTTTGCGCCCAGGTCTACAAGTGTAAAATGGGAAATAAAAAGTAATTTCTGCATTTTGATACTTCAAACATACCCTGTACAATGTACTATTTACTATGTAGATGTATATACGTACAATAACTATACGATGAGTTAAATTTAAACGTGAAAATCTTCATTATTTTCAACTTGAAATCGTTTTCAAATCTAAAAATGTTGATTTATTGCCGTTTTTAAGTATCTATTTCAAGAAAAAGCTAACTTTTAAAACAAAACACATTTTGAATCATTAACCTACTAGAACAGAAATGTTTACCCAATTTGCAAGACGCCCCTTAAACGGCCTTTTCTGGCTTCTCCGTTTCCCGAAGTCTATAGCCAAGAACTGTCATACGTTTTAGTGACTTAGACGGTTTTTTTTTCTGCTGCGTTTTGATCGTGTCACAGATGGCGAAAACGGATTTCATTTGGAACTAGTTGATAACATTAATGCGTGTAATCATTTATGATGTCATTTTTGTAAGACTGATTATTTTGCGGAAATGTATTTGTAAACATTGCCGCGTGAAAATGCCTCTTCAATTACCGTCAGCGGATTCTAAAATTTGTTGGAAATCTTTTAGTTTTTATTTTTCTTTCCTTATTGTCTATTCGATATTTCTCACTCACGTTTATTGATATGTCAATCCTACATAAATACTGTGTTATAAAATTCATAAAGGTGAAAAAGTAGGGTAGGTAGATAGGTCACCTAAATTAATTTTTGATTTCACCGGGTTCGGTTATAATGGAAAAACAAAACTATCTATCAAGAAATCAATAAAAAAAAAAAAAAAAATTTTACATATCTGCCCGTACTCAAACCTCATATCACTAATAAGTTTTCACTAATTTATATACTAATTATATGACCAGATAAAATACTAAATACATCTTGTTGAAATTAATAAAATATTTAAAAACTTTTCATTTATAATAATTTATTTCAAACAACTTAAATAATTATAAGGTAAATACTCTTAATGAGTTAATTATTTCTTATGGTTTATAATATTATTATTATGTCCAATCTGTAACTTTCATCCTCCTAGGGAATTTTTTTAATAAAAACATTCAATATTTCTTTTTCGGTGTTTTCGTATTCTAATTCATCTTTATTTATTGTTGTTTATGCCAAACCCTTTAACCTTTCTTCATTAATTGTAGCGCGTAGTTAAGTTTTCAGTCTCTTTAGAACAACAAAATATACATTCTGGGGTAGCGTATGTTACAGGCAGAGTAACAAATAAATGAAGAATCTTCTTTATATTTGGAAAAAGCTCTGTGCAGTGTTGAATTGCTTCTACAGCAGTCTCTGGGAAATTTTCTTTCAATTGTCATTGTTTTCTCTATATGAATAAATCTGCTTTCGAACATAAATTCATACTAATTAAAAAGTAATTTTCGTAAATAGAAGTAGCAGCTAAGATCGATTGGTCGTCATAATATGTCAAACTATATGGTATGAGTTCTTCTAGTTAAATAATTATTTCTAGTATTTTATCAAATCTTGAATGTAACTGAATAATTAGATTATCAAGAAATGGTATAAATATTGCTATTTTATAATATTTCTCTGCGTCATTGGCATTTAGATTGTTTCCGGTAGTTAGTATCCCATAGGTTTGAAGCATGGATTTTTAACGTCTAGTTCAGAAGCTATTGTGGTAATATTTTTCATTATTTTTATAGTGGTCATAGATTATTCTAGGCAAACTATACAATTTTTTTTATGTAATACCGAAATTAAATACAAAGTATAGAAAGAAAAAAAAAATCGTAAGATTATATATTTTTTATAATTCGTAAATTTTCCCGTTTTTTTTTTCGGTTTTTCGCATTTGATGAGAAAAAATCGAAAAATGACCTCATTAATGTATTTCCTCACGTCGATTTCCTTTCGGAAAATCTGCTACACGTAAAAATCCGAGCAAGTCTTATGGTTTACTATAAGCTTCTTCGCACCACTGAGAATCTAAAATTGACTGCATATTCCAATCATGTTTAGTGTAACAAGTCCCGAAACCTAGTTTATAGCACTCACATGTAACGACGCCTTGATTGAGGATTCAGGATTTGTATCATATTTTTTAAGATATTCTAGAGTAACAATTATACAAATCTAAAGTTCTTTGAAAGTAATAAGTGAATCTTGTTGATCGACCCATCGTGTTTCATCAAGTTTTTTCAATTTTGTATTTTTGTTTACTTTTATTAGAACTACTATTTTTTATCAAAATCATTACTTTCATATTGTAATTCGGATATAATATTATATTAATTACATATTATATATTAATATTATCATAGGTACTTACGTACTCAAAGATATAATATTATATACTTATCTATGAATTATCTAGAGACCATCTAGAAGTTGAAAATTATAAATTTAAAAGAAAACATAGTTTCAAATATCTAAGCGTTACAATTATTAGTACAAATGATAACCACGAAGAAATTAAAATAAGGACAGCTGCAGCAAACAAGTGCTATTACCTACAGTTTAGCAAATGTCTTTAAATCAAAACAGGTGTCACTCAATTAAAAAATCATATTATACTAGGTAATCAATTATTAGACCCAGAGCCTGATTTAAAATTTTTCAGGTCCGGGACAAAAAGAAAAAGTTGGCCTATTTTTAATCGATTTAATACAAATATTTCTTATCCCGTACCCATATATTTTGTATGAAACTGAAAAAATAATTTATATTTTTACAAGTATTTTCGACTGTGTAAACTTTTTTTGGTATTCTTCAATTTTAAGGATTAATTAAAATTAAAAGAATAATTAAATCCAGTAGGTGGGCCCCTGATCCGCATGAACCCCGGACAAATACTCACAATGTCCTTGCGTAAATAGGGCCCTGATAGATCAGTTATTCTATACGGGTGCGAGACGTGGCCAACAATCAAAGACGATGAAGGAAATATAGCAATCTTTGAAAGAAAGATATTACGAAAAATATACGGCCCAACAAATAACATTACAACTCAACGTTTCGTGGTAAGAAGTTTTGAGAAGTACTGCGCTAGAGATGAGTCGCATGGGCTGGCCACTTGTGGCGATTTGATAGTCTGATGAGAGCAGTTCTAAAGTGGAAGCCCAAAGGAAAAAGACCACTGGGCAGATCGAAACAAAGATGAATGGACAAAGTTGAAAAGAGCTTAAGGGAAATCGGAATTCAGGATGGAGAAACATTGGCACATGTTAGAGGTAGAAAAAGGTATATGTTGCGGAATTGGGCCTTAATAGCCTTTAAAAAGGCTATTAAGGCTATCTTTACTATAGATGTACTGATATAAAATCAATAAAATAAATACATCTGATGAGGGAAGGCATGGCCCCTCTGCCCCTCTGGCTACGTCACTGCCTACGACATAATATGTAATATGTATATGTATAATGTAAGTACGCTGTACGCATTTCGTTATAAAATTATTAGGTAAGTATAGTCGTAAATCCTAAGTAACTTATTATCATAACTATATATTTGTAGATATATAATAAATAAACTTTTCAGGTGTAGGAAAAACAAAAAACTTTTTTTGATACTTTTTTAATATATTATATATACCGTTTAATAAATGGTAATAAAACTCATCGATAATGCAGTTCATTCAAATATAATAATAATATTTTTATCAATGTTGTGGATACATTTTATAAATTTTTACTTGTATATATTCATTTCCACAATAAAAAAAAAAAACTGTGCAATAATTTTTAACAAACAAACTCTTCATGCTTATATATTTTAATAATAATTACCCTAGTAATATAATATACATAATATATATATATATATATATTATCATTATTTTTATGTTAATACAATATTTATTAAAATTCAAAATAACAAAACGAAAACTTTAAAACAATAAAACATTAATCAAATATTAGGACTAGAAACAAAATAATTATTATTATAGTACACAAATACGTATAATACGTAATACATTTTTAGGGAATTATAGGATACCTATACCTCTTACGGGCTATTAGATCGCTTATACATAATCAGTTATTACATAGGTACGAAACTAACCGATTGACTAGAAATTGTGGAAATTCTATGACTAGGTATACAAATTACGTTAGTACAATATTAGAATATTATAGGTAACGACGATTTAACATTTTATAAACGTATAAGTGGAAAATCAGAAAATTTGGTAAGTTCAGTTCTGGAAGCAATGGAGTAAGTGTCTATAATAATATATTTATAGGCAAGCCAATACAGTTTCACCGGAAGAATATCAACAATATAATATATAGTAATATATCAACATCGGAAATAACTATATATCATAAAAAATAATAATTTCAACTCTATAAATATTCAATACTGTCCCCGTTAATTTATTATATTTGTGGAAGCAAACGAGTATCGTAATTTTTAGCATCAGTGACAGCGGTGGAAGATAAAAAAAAAACGATGTCTCTCTTTCTTTTTGGTAAATGTTAAAATTTTCAAAAATAACGAATAAAACATTATACATTATACATTTATACGATAACGTCTTTATAAAGGAATTTCGATTGACCACGTTAGGTTTATAGGTAAGTATACTATAGCCGTCCACGGACCTATAACCACGAATTCAATAGTTTGGGCCGGCCAGGCTCAGTTACTTCGTGTTGTTTGGATGGACCGGGCCGAACAATAATTAATTTTACTATACAAAACCATTGAGTTTAAGCTTAAAATATAAGGCACGTAGAACTCTGGCAGGTACCTATATAAACAAATAGAATATTTAAGCTGCTATACGTATGTATTATAAGCCTACATACAATAAATCAAATCTTTGACGAACATAATTATTTTCCAATAGCAACGATTTACCTTTGATATGTATATCTATTATTATACTATATTTAGGTACTATATACTTCCAGTACTTGACTTGAGGAGAGGAATCGAGTATGCCAAAAAAAAAAAATTTCATATATTTAAGTAGAAGTACAACTTTTTCTCTATACTTATTTTTTCAAGTCAAACACATATACAGGATGGTATATGCTATTATTTTTACCGGTGTTCAAATAATGATTAATGAAAATGGGTAAAAATTCTAAAATGTATCCGAATACAAAAAACAGTAGGAGAAGGTTATTGTATAAACATTATTTTGTATATTATTATAGACAGGGTTGGGCAGTATCTAAAAAAGTATAGGCGTGCGCACAGGGGATGTCTGGGAACCTCCTGACATTCTGTAATTGGTGCCTTAAAATTTAACTAAGTACCGAAATCAAGAGCCCGTATTTCATCAGATGTTAGTACGTAAAATATAAGGTGAAAAATAATAAGTTCCGTGTTATTAGACAATATTTATAATAAAAATTTCTCAGAAATTCAACTGACAACAAAAATATTCCTAAAGGTACCACTAATGAATCTCTGTTTTTGTTATTATTTGCTGATTTTTGAGGCTAGTAGTAATCATATTAGACGTAATAAGTACTTCAAATTGTATACTCCTAATATGTATTTATATGAAGTCAAGCACTGGCTATATATTATATTATATTGGTTACGGTGTAAAGAAAAAAAGTAGCCGTAATGTCAAAATTAATAAAATATAATAGACGAGTTTTTTTTTTTTTCTTTGGTCTTTAACTCGCAAAATATACATAACATGTACACCTATGACCTAAAAATATCTATATTTCACGTGCAATGACCGAGATTGCGATTTTGGCGTATCGTTTACGTATAAGTATATGTATTATTTCGAAAACGCCGAAGTATATTATCCACCTAATATATATCTACCTACTGATCTAATGGTTCGGTTGGACATGAAAAATCAGAATACTGAACGCGTTATGTGCATTCCGGACTCGGTAGGTATTCGTACACAAAAACGACGAATGAAAATAATGACATTAACGAAAAAAAAAAAAAATGCGCACAATAGAATATTATTATTATTAGGTAACTCGGCAAATATTCTAATAATATCGGGATCGACGTACGATACGATGCGATACGAATAATATTACGCATACAGCAGCTGCTTAGGTAGGTATCTATACGGCTATACATAATAGACCGACTACAACGGTCACCGCAAAAATACAAAACGAAGAAAAACGAGCGTTTTCGACTTACGAACTTGAGTAAAAAAAAAAAAAAAAATACGAATAAAATAAATAAAATTTATTTACGGGCGTATATTAAGAAAGAAAAAAAACGGTTCATTCAGAAAATGTTCGGACCGAAGAAGATCGTGGACGAGGATAAAACAATAATAAATCAATAATGTAATAAACATTACAAGTATAATATTGCACACGATGAGCGGTTGACCTATAAGAGTTGTTACGGGTCGGTTATCATACGATAATAATAATACAGAGCGATCCATGAACGCATCGTGAACCAGCAATTTTCTCGGAGGATTTCGTGCGAATTTCTTTTAGATTTTTTAAATTATTATGGAATCGTTTCAGAACGGGAGATTAGTAAAGGGTGATACGCTTCGTAATATATTAGGTATCCATTTTTAGACGATAAATCGATAACCGCCATCCGTACTCCTCCGGTCTAAACTTTAAACGGTACATTATACACAACATTTTTGGAATAACATTCATTATCCTAGGATATAAGGATATGCTAGGAATATAAGGATATATTGGAAATAGGTAATGTTAAAACAATGCATAAATCGTGCACAATTCAATAATGATTGAAAAAAAAAAACGGTTTCACTTAAAATTCTCCGAGAAAATCGCTGGTACATAAGAAATGAATCACCCTGTGTGTATACTTACAAATTTAAATAAATATTAGACGGTGTATATTATATGGAAGAGTTAGATGCATTTGTGTCTTTCGAGAACATAATAGTATTATCATTATTAATTCATCAGTCGGTTTTCAGTGTTGGGAAGTGTTTGGCGACAATCAACTGTTCGTGCGGGAAGTCCAGTGTTATGGTAAAGTGAAACGCCATGTTTGACACTGCCAGGACGTATTCGCTAAGCGCAAACCAGGTAAACGCTAAAAAAAAAAAATAAAAAAACCAACACTATCGAATTATTCATTTTTCCCGGTGATCGTTAAAAAAAATTTGACCAGATAACCGGGTATTTTCAACTATTGATTTTCGGAAGGCGATAGGAAGGAATACTGTTATACACATTTTACTATTTCGGGATAAATTCTATAACTATAACCCTTTCGGCGCATAATGCAATTCGCTTTCATAAAAATTCCTATATTTTTAACACGGGATTAGAACAGTTGAAAACTTTTTTTTTATGTGATTTTAAGTAATACAATTCTACTGCTATTTAAGAAAAGTATGTTTTATTGAACATGCGTACACAAGCAGTGTTAACAATTTGAAATTTATCCTAAAATGTGTATTTTATCGGTACACTTACTCCAATAGGTACCAATAGGTGGAATTTTAGGGAAGGGGCCAGATGAAAATAATTCCCAAAATATACGCCAAATGAATGTTTGTGAATTTCGAATTGTTAAAATAATTAGTTAAAATTATTTTTTTCAAGGGGAACAATATTCTGTTCGTCTCCCCCGCCCTCCCCTACCATGACTATTCCATATTAGGTAATTTTCCCCCATAACCCCCAGCATTTCGATTCGCTACCGGTTTAATGGATAATACGTATACTTAAGTAGGTACGTACCTAAATCGTGGCAGTAAAACCGATGTTTGATGAAGAAAATTATCAACGTAAACGTAGACGTGATACAAATGGCGAAAAGTATTTTCTTGATTGTATACGACAGACGCTGTCGGTCGGTCATTGTTTTGTGTGCCATATTGAACGTCTTGATCATGACGATCATGTACAATAAGGAGCTGAGCATGAACAAAACGAAAATCTTCTCGTGCACGGCTACAATACACATAATAAAAAAGATATACGTGCCGTTTTATTAAATCGCTGTTTTCAACAGGTATTGAATGTGTGCGTTATTAATAGAGCCCGGATTTAAATGCAAAATGTTATTTTGTTTTTATTTTTTATAAATTTATAACACGCGACAATACGACGTAATACGACAATTCAACTCCATGCAAGTATGTAAATTGTAGATAATTCGATTGTCAATCATTGCAACGTTTATCTCGCATTATTTTATCATTTTTAGGTGAATTTGTTAATTTTTAGCGTGTGTATTCATACTGTGTAACATTATAAGAGTTTTTTTTTTTTTTTACGTAAAATTAGATAGATTATTCACAATAGTCATGATACGAGTAGTATCTACTCTCGGAAAATTGTATTTTCATTATCTAATAATAATATTAATAAAAGTTTTATAGCTAGTTTTATAGTTTTGTAATCCGTACCCGATTTGTCGATTAATTGTTCTATATACATAAAATATATTATTTGTTTGGCCTTTTTATGCTACTTAGGGTGCTCGTTACGACGGTACTCTATTGCAAGACAGTATGCATTCCCTAGTACACAATCATTGGATTCATATGGATACTTCAAAAGTGAAACTTTATTATTTTATTGCATTTCGGTGTTATTTTACTTTGGGTAATTCTATTTTTTTTAACGGGCAGACGGCATTTAGTTTTTTAAGACATATAAATTCGGGCCCTATCAGGTTATTACAATAAGTATTATAGATATATTGTGATCGTAGTGGAAATAATGATTATAATTTATTGTTATTTATATGAACGATATGTGAATGATGATAAATATGTACGTACGATAGTTTTCTCTGTTGGATATGTAGGTAACGCCACAAATTGCGGATACTTCGATTATGTTGAGCCAGTAGCAGAGATTGACGAACAGAGACTTTGTCGAACTGTCGGATTTTGACATTTCACTGATAAAGTAGTTGTAGTACACGTTGGCGATGACCATGCGAGGACCGACGTGAAAAGCGACGGCTATCCGCCACATGTACGTCTGCGGTGTAACGCCGGTGATGGCGCTAATTGACGGTATTACGTTGTACACCTATTATCATACAGATAATAATATTGCATTGAAAAACAAACAAAAATGTCAACGAAGGAGGACGAAAACGGCAAGTCTATGCACGCGCCAAACCGTTTCGCCTACACGGTATAATATGAATACAAACGGTTTTCGACGACCCCGAATCTCATATCCCTCGGTGTTTGCGGGTACATCACGCACGCACGGTTTGTGAACCGAGTCGAACGGATAAACCGTCGCGTTCAAACGTGCGGCTTATTATTTGGAGTACTTTGGCGGTGTTCGATTCAACCGTGGACCGGAGGGTGGGTTATTAAGATAATAGATTTTTTGAAAATATCTTTTCTATAACTAACTGGGTATACGTAACGTTATACTATTAACATCTTGTATTATTATTATCATTAGCGGTACGGGAAATGTCCGTGGATTAACGCGTCTGTATTGACGATTGTACGTCATTTCCGACGCTCTCCATTCAAACACTGCTCGAGTACCTATACTATCCGTAACAACAGACATAGCAACGTGCATCGTCGTACAGAGACGGCGCCGCTTACCTTACAGTGCGTCTCGTGCACGTCGTCGTATTGGAATATGTACGCCGTCACCAGGCACGTCATCAAAGTGATCAGCGGGAACGACACGCCGACGAACGCGAGTTTGCGTATGCTCAAGTTGAAGAACAGCAACATGTTTTCCAGCTGTGTGTCGCTGTTCTCGTCGTCCTGTCCGTTTACGGACTTGGCGGTTTTCGCGGCCACAGTCTGCATCGGAGCTGCAGCTGAATAGGAAGCACACCTGTCGGAACATCATACAGCGTGTGTCGATACACAGTAAATAAACGTATAGAAACAATATTGCGGCGACTTACAGTATTAATATTTATTTACTGATGCTGTGCAGTTGGTGCCGTTTGGCCGCGTCGTCTCGTAGGGTCCCCTCGTTCCACCGTTGTCCAATGTCGTCCCCTGGCGGTCGGTGGCTCGTCTCCCGGTTCTGCTACGTGGCTCAGACGGTCGCCGGATTCCGGCCACCAGCTGCAGCCGTCCCGTAGAGTGCCCGGCGTGCCGCCGTCGCCGCCGTCATGTAGCCGCCACAGCTAGGACCGTGTGGTGCGCGTGCGCAAAATTATTTTCGGCCGTTTTTCTGTACGCCGTGAATGTGTCAACAAATATATATATTTAAAAAAAAAAAGAGACGCAATAGGTACACGCGCGAGCGGTTATGTCGACGTGTATACGTGAACGCACCGCGGACTGGCGAGTAGTACACGACGACAACGACGACGAGTGCCGACTGTTATTGGCGGGTCAGAAGCGGACAACTTTTGCGCGTTTTATCATCGATTTATTTTGTACTATTATTACGATATTTTATCAGGGCGACCGCCGGCGCGACCGCAACTTGTGCGCAGGTCCGTCCGGCCCCGCGTGTGTGCGTGTACACGCGAAACGTTTGCGCGGGCGCAGCAGTTGTTTCACCGCTCGAGTACACGTTTTCTCGCACTTTTATCGCGCAGACCGGGTCAGCGTATTTTTAGCGTTTGGTGCGCGCGCGCTCGCCAGTCAAATCGTACCCTCTAATCGTCGCTCTGCCTTCCCCGCAACGCTCGAAGTGCGCGTCGCATAATTATAATAATATATTATTGAATCGCGGACGGTCGACTGCGTTATTCGTTCGCGGTTCACTTCGCGTCGTTGCCGCCCGATGTGCGCGTGGCAGCCAAGCGGCACGTAAACAATCCACACATCCACCGCCGCTGACGAGCAGAGCCATAGTGACGGCGCGCGGCGGCGTATTTACCCGGGAGGTGGGCCAATCCCCTTTGGCCTTTTATTTATTTTCCTATTTGTCTACCTTATAACCTATATAATATATACATATATATATATATATATATATATATTTACTAGATACACATTATACGAGTAAATTAACGAATGTTAAAAAGTTTAATTAAATTCGTATTTTGATTATTTCCAGTTTAGTGATGCCTAAGCGATTTGTTCGATTTTTTGTGCCGTATTTTCGTGTCACCGAACTGATGGTGTTTTAAAAATTGGCCGCAAATAATTATTTTTCGAATTACAAGGTTAAAAAAAAAAAACTTGAGACTTGACATTTGTTCATATAATTTGTCCAAATGATTTGTGTTTAACGAAATCGGATAACTATAACCTTGGTGTATTCGTCGATTCGAGGTTTCCGATTGCAATTCCGCGTAATCACTTCCCTGATACCTTTTTTATTATGATGGCTTCCATCGATGATAACCATGAACAATTCAACATTCCCTCCATCTTTTCTCCTCGCTCCGTCGATTGCCGTATAACTTTCCTAATATTATACGGGGTTACCCAAAGGCGTCCCCAAATGACCCTATTTCAATGTCCCGAGTGAGTCCGGAAAAAGGAATTACCCGAGTGCGTCCCAATAAAAAAAGGTAATTTTTGCAACGTAGCCCGAATGCGTCCCCCAGTTTATTTAGTTACCCATGGTGCACCACGAGAAGGTCAACTGGCTTACACTCTGAAAGTTTGTTTGTTTTTTATATTTTATATTGTATTTGTATTATTTTTTATTTTTCTTGAACCCATTCATTAGTGTACTAATTTTATTATACTAAAGTTTTAGTACAATTTTATTATTTTAAAAGCCGGTGTTTAAATGCCGTTCTTACTGTGTTCGCTTAACATGCTATCTAACAATGACATTTTTTTGAAAAATTAGAAGATAACTTCAGTATTAAATACGACCAAAATAACGGCACTACTTCGTTTTTTCATTCACTAGAAGACTAAACGACTACTAGCCGTAGTCTAGATTAGTTATTATGAAATTGAAATAAAATTCTGTTTCCCTACTGTTTGAATCTTAAATATAAAATGGGTACCTACAGCTGCGGATAATTTATCATGTGGCTGTGGACAAACTCAGATAATTCAATATAATTTATCGATAATATTACGGACGCACTTGATTTATGAAAAAGGTAAAAATGTTAAACGTATTGCACTCGGGATATCCTCATATAATACGCTCTTAGAAACCCCTGCTCCAGGTACATCGACCTGTAGGTACAAGCAGAACGAGATCGACCCGGGGTGGATCCAGAAATTCTTCATGGGGAAAGGAAGGTGCGCACTGCGCAATTCTGGATTTAAGATTAGCTACCCTTATCCTTGGATCCAAGCTAGATCCTAGATTTAAAAGTTTAATTTTTGGCCGGATGTTTGTTAGCGGCTTGCGCGAATTAATTCCTTATGATGAATGATTAATTATATTATTTAGTTACGGCAGCTTGTCATAGAACGGTCGTCATAATATACAAACACACTGCAGTAATAACACTGTATAATAACCGGTACGACGTAACTTTAAAAACTATAAAAATGTAAATGTAATCATTCTTTAAGTGGCCCGACAAGGTTTGATTGGGCCAGTGGAGTACCGGGAAAATTGCCGATGGTCTGCCACATTTTATATATTTTAAAACAGAAATGTCATACTTGTGGCCATCATCATTGGGCCACGCAACGGCCGTCCACGAACAAAAGTCGCCGGACCGTAATTCGACGACCTACTGTTTCTGTGATTCCGGTACAATATATTTCCATTTCCGGCCTAAAACATTTAAAGTAGTAAATATGAAAACCCGGGGAAAAAACATGAGAAAAACGAGAAAATCGGTACATTAAACGAATAATATTAAAACAATTATATAATGCCTATTTAATTATTTTACCATAATATGGCAAACATATTTTTGACTAAGCTTCACTATATCAACTATACTCCGCTAAGAATCGTTTTTTTGTTAGAAATGGTTTATAGGTATACATAAAATGATCTGTACTGGTGGCTGCATCCATTTCCATTATCCTAGGACAGCCTTTTTAAAGACTGTATTCTAAATTAATATAGTAACTACCTCAAAGACGTAATTTTGGATTTTCCCAGAGGGACTAAATTAGTATATTTGTTTTTTTTTTTTTTGTATAAATTAAATTAAAACAATTTAAAAAATATATAACCAATTTATTTATTATGAATATATTAAATATTAATCATATTTATAATCAATTTTGATTATTTATTTAATATTGTATTATAATTTGAACATCGATAATAAAAGTATCTTTAATCTATTTTGCGACTTTAAAAATGTGTGACAATGTTTTACGAGTCAACTTGTGATTTAAAATTTCAATAAAAATAAATTTTAGAATTTTTTTTGTTCCAATAATAACTATTAAAAGAACAAAAAAATGTAAAATTAAAATCGAATACAATCAAATATCATAATATATAGCCACTGCACACTTTTTAATTTCGTACTATACACCTAGCATTGCAGATTATACAAAGTGTGTCGTACTACACACAGTTTTTAGTCCTTGATGGTGTGTATTAATATTATATAGTTAAATTGTAAATAATAGGCACCTTAATATATTTTTTGAGTAAAAAAATTACAACAACAATAATTAATCACTATATAGTCTAATTGGTTTAAAATTGTTATAATGACTTTTTACATAATATTATTATGTATGTTATATCAATATCATACGAGCGTCGGTGTGTGACAAGCAATATTGTCGCGAAAGGCTACTGTAGTATTATAGTATAATACGACGGGTTATAATAATGATTTTGTATCGTAAACATAATATTACATTCGTCGATGTATATTTTAATTGACAAATACACCCGGTATCATTTGTCAAATTCGACCTTCGTCAGGAGATGTACCTATATACAATAGACTCCACGACGTCACGTATTTACGGACCCCAACTGAGCTGGCGCGCGAGTTAGTTAGCTAGTAGGAGCATCAGTTAGTATCCGTAAACGCATCGCTACTACGAATCCTAATCGTTCTAGGACACCTGTGCCTTGTATCAGTTAACCCCTAATCTATTTGGGGCATATTTTGTATATTGCATTAGATGAAACATTATGAGACGCTGTGTATAATTATTATGTTTTGATATATTTTATCATAATTATTAGTATAATTAAATAATACAAATTTAAAAAATACAATATTAAAAAATGCTTACATCTAAATGACATAAATCGTATAGACTATAGTTAAGTTATACCTAATATAATATTACAAATGATAAAACATAAAATATAAATTTAATGGTGTTTAGAATTAAGCGTGTTTTTTTCTATGCTTGCATCTAATTTTTTTTTTTTTTTTTGTCTCTTTGACCAATAACTGCAGTTCTTCCAGCTTGTAATCTTTTTGAGCCTGAAGTAATTTGAGTTTTTCGTCTCGAAATTGCTGTTGGTTGAACATTTATCCTGGATATTATCCCAAATATGTTTGGGTCTGTAGTAGAGACGTGTTTACGGATACTAACCGATTTCAGGCACTTGTACCCAAGCTCAGTTTGGGTCCGTAAATATGCTGCGAAGGTTATGCACATAATATAATGCCTATACCTCTGTTTAGAACTCAAAACGGCGAATCGAAAATATTATATTGGGTATAACTCATTACACGTATTGTTATTAGGAAACGGATTTATATTCAAATTTGTTCAATTCTTATACTCTTTGCGCATTATAATAATAATATATTAATTATCAATACCCACGACGTAAATAACATATTTTTTAAAACGCTTGTCTTGTAATACTTGTGCGAATATTTGTGTTGGAACACACGGGAAAAAAATATATAGTTATATGTAATAAATTTCTCACATAAATGTATACATCCATTCAAATGCAGAATCGTATTTAGATATAAGAAAAAATAACGTCCCCAATCCAAATTTTTTCAGAAATATATTTGTAAAATAATAATTTATTTTTATTATTATTATTAATATATTTTTCAAATAAAAAAACAGGTGATACGCATAAATTAAATTACATCACCCCCTATAAGCCAAGCTTGTGCTAGGGGAGCGGTTCTTATCAATTGACAACCGCTTTTATTTATTTTTGTTATTATTAAGTTTTATTATTTTGAATCTTTTTTAAACAATTAAACATTGTTATCATGGTAATGCTCATTGTTTTAATTATTTTAAAATTAATATGAGAAATGTATTCATATATTGTTGACAAATCAACAATATCAACTGAACTCTGCTCAGAATCATTTTTTCGTTGTTTACAGATATACATTGAATTCGCATCTGCATCCTACCTTCTCAACTTCTCACCTACAAAAGGTGCTGCACCCACGTGTGAAGTATGTTCGCCCTTCTTTAATTTAATTATTATAATAAAAATTATCACCAAATCACAATAATTAGCGTTTAAGTAACATTAATCGAAGTAATATTAACAATAATAATGGGTTACAATAATAATGATAATAATAATCATCATTTTAATTAAATTATCATAGTTACTTAAACAAGATTAATAATAATAATAATAATTACAATAATATTCATTATAATATTGTAATAATAATAATCAGCTTCATAATTATTTATTTATTTATTTGATAATCAATGAATAATAACAATACAAATCAGCAATTTAATAAGAACGATCATGAATAATAATAATAATGAGCATTTTAATAATAATAATCAACATACTAATCACAACAATGAATAATAATAATAATAATAATAATCATTAAAAAATGTAATAATCAGCATTTTAATATAATAATCAAGAATAATCATAATCATAATTTTAATAAGAGTAACAATAATAACATAATGATAATAACAATAATGAGCATTTTATAAATCATAATCATAATCAGCATCTTAATAAGAAGCATAATAGGTAATAATAAATATAATGATCACCAATAATAATAATGAGTATTTTAATAATAACAATCAAATCAGCATCATAATAATCATCAATACTTTTAATATTATTCAGCAGTACTCATAAGCATAAATTTAATAACAGTAAGTAATAAAGATTATAATAATAATAATAATAATAATAATAATAATAATAATAAAAATGACTATTCTTATTTAAATGCTGGTATTATTGAACATTGTAAAAAACATAAAAGGGATACAAATCGAGTGAATAAAAATGATGTAGGTTTGAAGTCAATAGGACGATGTATGGGTGCCAGGGAGACGAACCTTTTTACACACCAAAATACATTTTAAAAAATAGGGCTGCCAAAGTATAGTCCGAATCCCTCAAATGACACCCCTGCCTGTATCTAACTATAATATATTATTATTATTATACAGTTTTGATACATTTGATACAGATAAATTGTTCTTATATGGAAAGGAGCTATTAGGTTTATAATGTCTAGATGTTAAATATTTCAAAGTCCTAATCTGATTACATAGTAATCATAGTATTATTTCAAATAATTGAAAAGAAAAGGGGTTGAAGATAGGTTGCCAAGCAACCATGTTAATTTAATGCTAGATCGATGTACAATACATTACGCGTGCATCAATTTTTAGTGAAATATTTAGTTGAATTGATAAACAAAATATGGCAAAACGTATTGACAAAAGAAAAAAACAGTTAAAAAGCAATACATCAAAATTATATCCTCAGACACAGGAAATCGAAAAATCTAGATTAAAAGCTTTACAGGCACAAAATAGTGAAAAGTTAACAATTTTAGAACAACAGGTAAGAACTTATCATTATTTATGCATATTGTATTGTATTCTCTAAAATATATCCTATTATAAGCATTTTAAATTCATAAACTTTTGCAATTATAACTAATAATAAGCGATTTGCGTTTACTAATTAAATAACTTGAAAATTTGAAAATTAATTTAAGTCATTTAAAAATCTGCCTTTAGTTTGGCAGAATTAAATATCTAGTGAACGAAATTGTTAAAAATAATGGAATGGTCAAAAGTGGCATAGATGCAATTTAAATCTATAGTTTCTCTATTTATCCAAATTGTATCAAACATTTAAAGATTTTATATACATTACCCGTTTTAACTTCAATTCCAGATATAATATTTTCAACATTAAACGAGTGAAAACATACCTAAAGAATTCAATGAATGAAGTATTGTATTAATAAACTCATTATTTAAATAACCATATAAAACTATTCGTATTATATTTCAGAATCGTTTAAATGAATTAACTTTGTTTGCTATCCACAATGATGTAAGATGTTTATATCACTCCATATAAAGTTATAAACTAATTGTCAAAAAACCAAGGAAATTTGAATTTGTTCTATAGTTTTATAGTTATATTGGTTAAATATTTAAATTAATTAAAAATTTTTAAAAATTTAAAAAAAAAAATCTTAATTTATTACATAACATAATTAAATACTAATTTATTGTATTTAATATTATAAATATAATAAAATATTATTTATCCCCCCCCCTCCTTTAAGAAAAAATTTAGCATAACACTGTTTCCTTCATTCAAATTTAATTATTATGCATTATACTAAAATATATTACAGTGTACGTATTCTTATGTATACATAATATTTTTTTTTTGTAAATATTTTGCTGGAATATAATGAGAATGGAGTGAGAGGGGGTTTTTGTTCTCTCCTAACCTTACCTACCTTAAGCGCAAAACAACTAAATATGTTTATACATATCTATACCGAAAATTTACTCTTCGTGAATGAGAATATCTATTTAATATTGAAGAACATTGATTACAGACACGCGAACAACAATTGAAGCACACCTGTGCTATGCTATCAGAATTATCGCGAAAAAAATATGAACACGACCGAATGTACCGCGATGAATTAGATTGGAAACATTGGATACAGTGTGATGGCACTCCCAACCCTCTAGTTGTACAAGATATTAACACATACCTGTTTGTCGAGAGACAAGTGACCTACACTAATGACGACCAAAACACTTATGTGAATAAGTGTTTAGAGATTTTCAACATAATGGATGCTGTAGATGACATTGTGGATTTGCCACTGGACTTTAGTAAGATAGATTATGGATAAGTTTATGCAATTTACATTTAAAATAACCAAAACTTTAGTCAAAGTTTTGTAAAGTTATTACGTAAATACTTAATAGGTAATAAAAATGAATTTGTTTTAGATCAATTTAAACTCCAATGTTTTCGCGAAGCCAGGGATAATTTGGGTAGATTACTCGTAGAAATAGTACACGGAGTGTGTTATCATCTGTTGAGTGATTACGATCATAGAATGATACCAGTGGATTTAAAAACAGTGGAGTATAAAAACTCATGTGAAGCATTTGCAGTAGGTTTGCATGTCGTGTGCCACAGACCTAGGTTGAAAACCGACAACACACCATCTCCGAAATGCGATTTTCCCGAATGTCTGGTTATGGTAGAAGTACCACCACAACTATCGCAGCATTATATAGCAATAATGGCTCTTTGGCTACGCTGGGACCCTTTTACAGATAGAATGACCGAGTTTGACGTCTCAAAATCACCAGAATTAGATACTCGAGATCTGTGGCAGTACTGGGAGGATACCTGGGCAGAACGAAATCAGATATTAGAAGAACCAAACAAAGAAAAAGAGCGAGCAGAAAAAGAACAGTGGCTTGCCGAAATGGAAAATAAACTTAAATTGTTTGCAGCAGTAGATCGAGTACATTATCCCGAAGATTTAAAAGCATACATCGAAGAACTAGAAGCAAACGAGCCAGGCGATATTATAGATATTATACAGAGTGAACACTCTGACGAGGCAGACGAGGAATCCCCCAGTCAAATATTAGAAAAAAAAAAACCGGAACCTCTAGAACAAACAGAAAATATTTCGAATGCATTAAAATATCCAGAAAAACCAAATGAACTGAATCCTAGAAGGTAAATATATTACCTATAACGTACATAACATACTGTGTATTAACAAAATGTAATTAAAAAATCATTTTTAATTGAACATTAATAAAGCAAAGGGAATGCCGAAAAGTAATTTTATACCTAACAAAAAGTTATTGCATTATTCCATTCACTAATAATATTTATGGATAATAAACTATTATTACTTTAGTATTCTATATATTTTATAAGTATACAAATATTTTCAGTACAATTTTCATTCTCATAATGTAATGACATTTGTGACAACTACCATCATATCCAATTAAAATGTATAAAACATAAATCATCTCCTCATAGCTGCTGTATTTTAAGTACTTCAAACTATGTATACAAATAAATAATGATTGATTAAAATTATGTACGTAGATAATTTTAAAGTTTAGAGGTGCATTCAAAGATACCAAGTTTTACATTTAATGTTCTATAGATTTACAATTTTAGTAAATTTTGAAATTGCAATAATTTTAATTTTTGTTAAATGGAAAACAAAAAATAAACCATTATTTTTTTAAACTTTACCTTTAAGAAAACTATAAGAAAATCAAAAAACGACTTGCCAACTAGATTAAAAATGAAACAGATAAGTATTTTTGGCGTTTTTCTATTGGAGCAATATTTCGGATAGAAAACATAAATTATATAAATTTAAAATAATGAAATCGTAATGCCATAAATTTGTTATTTTTCATTTTACTTTTTCTTTTTCTGATTTTTCCTAACTATTATAAAAACCTCTTGAAAAATCAAAAATGACCTGAAAAAAAGTACTACTCTTGGTAAATCGGAGCAATTTTTCTTTTTTAAAACTTGCTGACAAAAACAAAAAAAATCACATCAATGTAAAACCGATAGATTCATCGCTATACTTCGAATACAACAATATAGTATCTACATAAAGTGCAATTGTTCTTTATTATTTAATTAGATACTGGATTATTGGCGGAGCGTTTAATGTGGAGATGTGGAAACTCCCTATGCAACCTGTAGAACATCGAAATGGCGCGTTGAGTGTGATGATCATCGGGCCCTCAATGCTCCAACCTATCGATTATCATGAAAAATACGAACCGTTACAATTATCAATGGGGTTTTCGTCAACGTCATCGGAGGACGAAGAAACTGACGTTAAAAAACAAAACCAAGAAGCACTAAAGAGACTCGCACTGATAAATATTAAGTTACCAGAAAACGTACTCTGGTTCGAAAATCCTAAACCAGCCATGTGGAATGAAGACAGAAAAGTTTGGACTACTGATTATATATATGATATAAGGTAATAAATTATAATATAGTATTTTTTTTTTTTCATTGCTCATCTAGGATTATTATCAACTAATAAAAACTAACTTATAATAAAAAGGAAAAAAGTACATTTTCTGAGACGGTTAAACGTGGATGTTTAGAATATGGAGATATATTAACCTCCAAGAACTTTTTCAGTTAAATAATTATAAAACGAATAATATCAATAATAAGAAGTGTAAAAGATATTTAAAACCATCATTACCCATGCATCCATTATAATATAAAATGTATTAATAAATACACAATAATATACTTAAACCAAAAATTTGCGTTGTTTCTTTTATGGACAACTTTTGGGGAGAAAACATGTATTGAGATTTCAAAATATATTATTCAAAAAATGATTGCCTATAATTGACAAAAATATGTATTAATCCAATATGATTGAAAATATTTATCATAAAGACCGTCGATAATTTTGATATCTCTTGATAAAAACTGCATACAGTTTTAAAATAAAGGAAATATTAACACTTTAATAAAATACTAATAATGAATTAGTATTATTTTCAATGTTAATTAAATAAATCGTATTTGGCATATACTGATTACTTAAACCCACAGACTAAAAAAAAAAAGACGGACATACTTCATATCATAGATGGGCTACTGTTGTAGGTAAGAAGTTGAGAAGGTAGAGGGGAAATTGAATGTATATATACACACATCTATATGTAATGATTAATCATTTCTAACAAAAAATGATTCTGAGTGGTTTTCGGTTTTACATATTTTTAAATGCCGTAAGGTTAGGTTATTTACGATTTGAAAATAATAAATTTCTTAGATTTTCCCATATTCCTACCGTTTTCCTCAATGTACCATTCACAGAAAAAAAAATAAACATCTTCGTAAAACTATAAGCTTCTTCGCTCCACTCAGAATCTAAAATAATCTAAATATCATTGTAAACCAATACATTTTTCTCACCCCACTCAGAAAGCAAAATCGAAAATAATGAAATCATTATTTTCTACGTTTTTGTTGTTTTTTATTGGAGCAAAATTTCTAGTAGAAAACATTAGTTACACAAATTTAAAATCATGAAATCGTTACGCCCATATATGTTTTTTGTCAGTTTATCTCAACATTTTTTCTCAGGTTTTTATTTTGAAAATCAGTGGAAAAATCAAAATGTAGCCTCCTTAAAGTATCAACTATACACAATTTCTTTTCAGAAAATATGTTACACTTTGATACATTGGTATAAGATTTCTGGTAAAAATGTTATATAGTATAAAAGAAAAACATTATTGTAAAACCAATACACATTTCGCTACGTTCCGAATCTAAAAAAAAAATGAGCTACTTATATGTAATAATCACCATAAATTCGATTATTTCTTATCCTTTTTTAATGTCTTTCGTTATTTACTCTGAAACGTCACAGGCACGCATAATTCTGTTTCTGACCACTTTAACCTGTTGTCTATCTTCGTATTATATTTCTATCTTCGTCCATCATTTTGAGCCTAACCATTGAAAAATATTAGTTTGTAATTATTATACATAATGAATATATTGTAATAAATGTATTTATTATTTCATGGAGTAACTTCTGCATAATCAATTACGTATAAGTTATTACTAATTTGTTTTCTCTTTTGTAATGAGAGATTGTCCTGTTTAGATTTAATAAATCAAATGAATAATTTAACTACATTTGTATTTGAAACTAATAACCTTACTCGACCTTACTATTCGTCCAATCAATAGGTTTAACGAAGAGAAGCAAATGGTGTCTTTCCGAGCTGGTCGAATGGGTTCGTTCGGGCTGGCCGTCAACCGGTATTCGAACTTCCCGTTCCAGTCGTGGGAAGTACGACCTGAAGGCGGGGCCAACGAAGGTGGCGTGGTGCTGTCTGTAACGGCGGCCACGGTACTTGTGGAATTCGTGGTACGCGGTGACCACGTAGCTATGGTTCAGCTGCAGAACGCCACCACGGTTGCCCTGCAGGAGATGATCGGTGCGTATCACCGGCCGGACAGGCTGATTCGATTGTTGCGCCGTGGCGGAGTCAACCTGTTTCCTGCACCAGACGCGCGCCACTACGTCGATAGCCACCGACCTCCCAAACAAGCTGTGACCGAGCGACACACGTACCGTTGCATGGCCGCTCTGAGCAGCACACATCAGTTCACTGCCTCCCGGTGGAACGTCAACGTACCCGCCGACCGAATAATATTTCAGATGAAGGAAATACCGGTTGATGAGTCGGGCAGCAGTGGTGACACCAGCGTCGGAGCCGGCGTGGGCACGCCATACAAGATGGTCATGGTAACGCCGGAACGGGCCGTGCTGCTCAAGTGCAGTGAGGCTAGCCAAGCGTTCTCTGAAGAATCTCAGTCCGCTTCATTTACACCAGATTTGTTTGCACTTGCCACGGAAGTCACGGAAGTCACGAGCAGTGACCAGGTGCGAACGTCTCTAACCAATGTGGACGTCTCAAAGACCATGGAAACTCTATTCTATTTGATGGACAAAATCAAATTTTTCAGCTATTCTTAGTCATATTAATGCTCAATGTTTGTAGAGATCGTCTTATACCGTCGTTAATATGAACCACGAAATAACAGTAACACAAATATACGATCATTGAGTTTTATATTTTATAATGAGTTTAATAGTATTCATCACTCAATGATGTACTATTTTGTACTAGCTAGAAAAAATATTGAACTAAGATCAACATTGAGAATATATATTTTTAAAATATTAAAAGAATCAATTGAGATTTTGAGTTATAATTTATATGGAAAACATTTTATTTAAATAAAACAAAAACAAAAACCGGCTTTGTATCAAATAATTTATTTATAAAAAGGATACTTATAGGATATATGATATCCTTACTTTAGGATATCAATATACTTTTTCAGCACTTTCTCCGTCGCTGTCATAAAATGTATGCCCATCTCTTCGTAATCTTTCTCTAATCGTAATGGTGGACGAACGCCGGTTTCGCGTAAATTATATCGATACGCTGCAAAATCACGCCCAGGCCTCGACTATAGTAATGATGTTGGACAACATGCACACCTTTCCCACGAACTTGGCTAAATCACTGGCATAGCGGAGACCTGGGTGCGGCTAAGTAAAAAATTCGATGTTATTTACGCCGTAATTGGCGATTGATAGTTGATGCCGACCTTGAACCCGGCCAGGCGCCAATCGACGAATTCGATTGTTTGCTTGGCCTTTATTGTGGCTGTGGCCAAGTTAATGTCTTTCAGAATTACGTTACCGCGGTAGAGTATGCAGCTTGCCATGTACTTGAAGTGCCTACGTCGAACTTGACCATCGGATTAGCCGGTCCGAAACACGAGTTTGTGATTTCGGCCACCGAACCACGGACAATTGGTAGTAAGTATTCTCGGCGGATTTGACGGGTACGTACGTGACCAGTGGGGAAGTGTATGCACGGAAAGGGAACCAAATTGATTTGAAAGTCGATCATAATATACACGTTCAGCGACGTGTCGAAACGCAACGGCGCGTTGCCGTGACGCCATAATGGACGACACGGTCTGCGCGATCAGCCGGTTCAGGTTGGTGTACTTAGGCCACTCAATGCCCAGGTTCCGGCGATATAATATGTCGTAAATAGTCTCGTTGTCCATCATAAAAGCGCAGTTTAAGTGCTCCAGAATTCCATGCATACACCTACACATATAGATAATATAAGAATGGATAAGCCATGAGAGTTTATCACAGGAGAACGAACATTTAAATAATTTGAAGTTACAAGTTACAAGTTACTATCAATAAAATTGTAAACTTGATCAAAAATAATCAATAGTTCATAACTCATTTTACTTTTATTTGGTATGAAGTAGTAGCTAGTTAGTAGTAGTAGTTAGTTAAGCTTAATTAGTGCTTTATAATCATATATAATATATGATCATTATTTATTATGACAAAAAAACAATAAATTCGCTCTCCCCCCCCTTCTTGAATAACCCCAGGATTCGCCACTGGCGAAAATTCTGATTTGGTCAAGCACCAACCAGGTCGAAAGTTTCTTTGCCAACGGTATAACCACGTGCGTAACAACTCGCCGCGGATGTTTTGCCCGTGATTAACTGTCCAGGTAAAAGAGCTGTCGGTAAGTACTAGATCATACTTTGTTTAAAAAAAAATAAGGCCTAGATATTATAGCTTTTGTGTAGTTGCGTAGTTTTCGATTGAAAGTTGTTTACAGACATTAACAAAAAGAAAAAGAGATGACACCGCTGTGGGTGTATCACTGTTGTTGGTAGATAGTTAACAATGTAGGATATATAGAATCATTTAATTTATATCTGTACAAAATGATATATCATTACTAACGAAGGACGATTCTGAACAAAGTTTGGATATAGATGTTTTGAACTGCTGTAATTTTTACGGTTTTCGTCAAGATTCGAACTTAAAACACAATAATAAAAAATAAAACTATTTATTACGCTCAACTTTTTTTTTACCACTTAGTAATTAATAATAAATCTCGTAAAAATGTAAATTTCAAGTCTTTACGGTTGTTTCATATTGAATTACAAAAAAAATATCGAAAATAATGAAACCGTTATGCCGTAAACGTTTCTGTTTTTCTCAATTGTTTAAAAAAGCTTCATGGATTATCGAATAAATACAATATTCTAATGCGCCAACTAAACAATGACCCCCTCCGTTATCTTTCCTGGATCTACCCCTTGTACCAACAACCGAAAAATCTATATATTTTTGATAATATGACATAAATAATTTGAACTATCTAAAATTCAAATGTTAACCCATCGCATTTATAGAAATTAAAATTTAAAAATTCAACTTTGGTCCCATCTATGCCAGTGATTTTAATAAAAATGTAAGTTGGTTTAATAAAATGTTTGTTAATATAGCTCCAATACAATTTTTGTTGATTTAGAAGTAAACCGTGTGTTAAATTAAAAAATTATGAATGAATTGATAAAATGTATTATTAATTTTACATACATAAATATGAAAAATAAAAATTCAAAAAAATGGGACTGTATTTTTATTGCCACCGGGTTTCGAACCTGTAACCCTAACCTAATTCACTTATCACCTTATTCACTAGCCTATCAAACCTAACTCTTAAAAGACTATTGATTTCGTAGATATATATATATATATATATATATATATATTTTTATAT